CGAGTAAAAATAACGACACACAAAATACATTGAATATTTTAAAATTCGAATATAGTTTAACAATGTTAAAAATGAAAAACTCACAAGTACAGTATATCCTCTCTCAAAATATTCAAAAGAAAACAAGGCACATTTCTCTCGACAAAGTCAATCCCGGCAATACATTGATTGACAAAATAAATGCAAGTTAAACTGAGTGGTCTTAATATTAATAACTGTCATTTTGGAATCTCAATGTCTTCGAATTATCCTTATCATCAAGATGAACTGTGGCTTATTAAGTCACATGGTGAGCTTAAAGTTTTAAAACCTCTGTCGATAGGTTTCCTGTTTTAAGTTATTTCTGTTCAACATCAATACAGAAAACTCCCCTGTGACTCCTGGTTCAAAAGCTGACCTATTTTCAAAATGGCCCCCATTTTTGTCCCGCGGAATTCACTTTTGGCCCATTTTTTAGCTTTTACAAGTCCTGCAGGTGTCCTGCATTGTAAAAAGCCATGTCACTGTAAAGAGTAGTTGTATGAAATAATTTTGTTACAAACAATCGGCAAAAAATTATATCCATTTTTTTTATTTTCAGCCATTTTAGTTAAAGGCAGAATCTGATCTATAGGGGGTGACAAAATTACAAGCAACATGTATAATTGACCTGCCAATCTATTCCTAACAATATCAATTACAATATCTCCCAAAAGATTCACAATATGAAGTTATTAAAGATTCAAAGTGCTAAAATGAGTGAAAAATGTTTAAATTCTCCCAAATAATAAGAATGGTAACCATTCTTATAGAAAAATAATTCATTATTGCAAAAATCTTTAGTTCTCCTGGAATAAAGTATGCACTTTTGTGATTTTTAGAAAATAGACATGACAAGGAATGACATGAGACAAAAATATTCTGAAATTGAAACAATTTTTTGTTTAGCCTGCTCGCTATATCTGATTCTCTCTTTAACATTGATTTGTCCATCTGTCTCTCCATCAGTCCAAAATAGTGGCAAGTTTCAAAACCTCTGTCAACAATTGGCCTTTTTTAAATCCTCTGTTGATAGGATTCCCATTTTCAAATATTTTTATTCAACATCAATAAAGAAAAAACAATGTGACTCCTGCTTCAAAAGCTCGCCTATTTTCAAAATGGCCGCGAATTCACTTTAGGCCCATTTTCTAGCTTTACAATTTCAGATGTCCTGCATTGTAAAAAGCCATGTCTTTGTAAAGAGTAGTTGTATGAAATAATTTTGTAAAAAATTATATCAGTTTTTATATTTTCTGTCATTTTAGCCACCATTCATTTTTGAGCAACACCATGTGACGGAACTATGTTTCATTCTCTTGCTCTCCTAGGTTGGAACAGCTTCCACTGGTGTTGTAGTGAATCAGCCGCAGGGCGGTATCAACCAAACTGTGATTATTCAGCAGGGCGGGGGTAAAACATGGTCCACTACCCTATGCAGCTGTACGAGCGATATGGAAACATGTACGTATATTAAAGGATCTAAGCCCAAGACTCAATGCATTGTTTGCTGAATCATACCATGAAGGTGTTGTTTCACACATTGCAAATGTTTTTCTATAAAATCATCTAAAAGGAACGAAATCACTAAAATAACACATTTTCAATTAAATTTATGCAAGGGTCAAGTTTGCAGGTCATCAATCCAATGTGAAAAATCCATTCATCACCATGACAACTGTTTAACTAGTGGCCTAATATGTGTTATTGATATTTCACACACTGTTCATCATGTGAATACTCTGTTCGGATTGGCTGGAATCGGACACACCTTGCCGAACTATGTGTGAATTAACTAATTTACTGTTTAAAGTAGTTAATTCACACATTAACTACTTCCACGTTAATTCACGAATTAACTGTTTAAAGGTCCTTTTCTGTTGAAAACCATTCAAAACACTGTACATAGTAGGTGGGACAAAAATTAAAACCATGCTTAGGTTTCCATGCTCCCCCCGTGTATTTGTGTAAGGAAACAAAGCGTAGTTCTCATTTCATTTGTAAAAAATATTTGCATTTATACATTCTGATACTCATAGCATCTATCTCTGTTGCATCGCAGAACAGAAGGAGAGAGATGGAGAGGGCGTGGATTACCACGATGGCATTTATATGTTATAGGTTGTTTGGTCACGTGGTGTGGCCCGTGCTACGAGTGCTGGTTCCACTCTAAGAATAACGAGTCATGTTGCACTCCAATATGTGTCCCCGGAGCTTCGATCGCACTAAGGACAAAGTTGAGAACTCAGCACAATATAATGGTAAATTATTTAATTATTTCATAATTTTCTTCACTTTTCAAAATTCTCATAATTTCAGGCCTCATATTTAATTGATGATAGTTCGTAGCTGCACGTGCAAGTTGTTGTTTTGGAATACTTGGAAATAATACAGGGATGAAGAAATTATGTGTCAATCAAAGCCAGCAGGTTGGCATGCCCGTAGCTTATTAAGATAACAAACTGGCAAAACTTGGCGTTTCGGTTGAAGTTTTTGGGCCCCCTTCCTTCTGGATTTTCACGACCACTCCGATATACCCTTTACATTACGAAGTGAGTTGGTTTAGCATGAAAATTTCTTATGCGTGGGCGGGGCGGAATTTAGAGCCTACACACTTCCCTTATAAAAAGCTGACTACGGGCTAACTACGGGCATGGTTGGCCCTGTGATTGTACACTTTTTTACAAATGGTGCACATCAGTGCAACATTAACAACTGTTTATTGCCGTTTTTTTTTATTTCAGGGCAGTATCATGGACGATTGTTGCGTGGTCTGTTGCTGTAACCCATGCGCTCTGTGTCAGATGAAGCGAGAATATGACATTATTCAGAGGGAGCAAGTCGTAACAACTGTCACAACTTCAACTATACAGGATTACAAGTACTAAATGTATCTCGCATCATGTACTACTGATACAGCAACATTATCAGTTGAATACACCAGTAGGGGTCAAATAGAGAAGAACCAATGATTTCCGATACTAATGTAGCTTGCATCACTTCTGATACTGCGACACGATGAGTTGAATTAACTCAGGGGACAAATAACAGGCCCAGGAAGATTTAAATCCCCCCCCCAATTCACTGTGTAGCTAATGTAAAATCTTTTTCTACCTTATACATAGTGAGTGGGAGGGGGATGAACTCTTGTTCCCGTGTCTGTGGGACAAATAGATAAATCAAGTATGACACAGGAGCTAATTTACATTGTAGTGTGCATCTGGTCAAAGTTATACCTCGTGATTTGAGACACATAGTATGTAGTACTATTATTTTGATGGTCTTGAACAGGAATAAAATCAATGAATTTGTCACAAAAATTGTTATTAAAAGATGTCATGTGATTTTGTTATTCTGTTGACAATAGGATGTATTTAATATATTACAGTTTTAAACGTTAAAAGGACAAACATTTTCCAGATTGGTAATGCAAAGAACCAATTTACTCTGATTTACTTATTGTTTCGCACAATTTAATATCTTAACCCGAGAGCCCGCCTGAGAGATGCTACACTGGGACCAACCATTCTGATACTCATCACATCTTTCTGCCTTCACCAAAAAAATATGAAAAAACCTATAGATTGTTATTGGTAGGCAAGTGTGACCTGGTGTGTTTATCTCAAGTTGATATACTTTCTGCGTTCACTTGCATTTCTAAAGGTCAAGATAATAAGGAGATAAATAGTATAAAATACATATTCGGTTGTCAAGAAATTCATTTCGACGAAGTGGCAAGACTTCAAAGTCGAGAAATATTTCAAGCTGATTGGCTTTGTTTTATCAACTATTTTAACATACGTCTCGATTTTACTGTTACAGCATCATAAATCATCTACTTTTTAACTCATTCATTACCATTCTTCAAATTATCCACAACTACAGTACAGGGTATAATCTATACAGCACTTATAGTGAAATATTCTTAATTCGGTTAGGCTAAACAGACTAATGTAACAATATGTCAACGGATTACAAAAGATTTGATGATGGCCCATCTGGGTTAGAATTAAACGCACCTGCGTATAGCAGATCACCGCAACAGGTAAAACTTTACTTCCTGTGAAAGCTATGTGGATTTTGATATATTTCAAAATCTAACATGGCTCTCGAAGTAAGTAAGTAAAACTAACTTATCTTCTTCCAAGGGCCAATAGACTAGATGCAAGTAGAAATTATCTTGATTTACGTCATAAAAATTCAAAATTCAGTCAAACTGATGTCATATTTGGAATCTAAATGTAAAATTACTTTTAGAAATGTGGTTTTGAAAAGAGTTTATCAACTTTGAAAATTCAATTTTCTTTGAAAATGTGACTTCTCGGGGGAGACTCCCCATAGACCCTATGTTGGAAAATTGTGAAATATCTTTTCTTGTGTTGGGCAGATATTTTCTTTTACTGGACATATTTTAATTTCTATAACTATTGAATACATAAGGGTAATATGAAAAGTAAATCACTAAAACTGATGATTATTCAATTTCAGTAAAGGGAATTTTTTAATTCCCAGCCACGTTATTTCTCCCGAATTAGCCACCTGGTGGTGAAACTGATAACTACCTACTCCCATCTGAGTAATTGACACTGTATAAACATTTAATTTGTTTGTGTATTTCTGGGCTAGAGTTTTGAGTAAAAAACAATGAAATACCAAATGAGAATAATAAACAAACCCGAATATAAATATAAAATGGTAAAACTCAGACGAATACTCAGAAGAAGGACACATTTTCTCTCAACATAATGAATCTGGGTAAATATCACGAGGGTCCTCGGGACGTATCGAAACCAATACGTCCCGCAAACCCGTTTTTTGAAGAGGCATTTCTGTCATTGCCCTCAAGGGGGACTGTGGCTTGTTCTCTTGTTTTCCTAGGTTGGAACATCTCCCCATGGTGTTGTAGTTAATCAGCCCCAGGCAGTACCACCTATGGGCGGTATCAACCAAACTGTGATTATTCAGCAGAGCGGGGGTAAAACATGGTCCACTACTCTATGCAGCTGTACGAGCGATATGGAATCGTGTACGTTTATTTAATCTGTAATCATTAAAGGTGACATTTCTAGTGTGATTGGGCAAAGTGGCGTAAAATATAGGTGCATGTTTATGTCATGGTAATACATTTACACTCTGACGTCATCATATTACACCTTCTGCCGTCTAACTGACATGTTTCCGATTGTTTCGAGGTCCCTTTCTGTTGAAAACCATTCAAAACACCATGTAGACTATAGGAACGACGAAAATTGAGTTCAAGGCATTATTTTGCTATATCACAATATTATTTTAACTGTTTCATGTCTTCACGGGCACCGCCAGTCCCATGTTTTACTATGGCCTGCCATTGAATCTTATACTTATATATTACCCACAAAAACACACTTATGCTGTCATTTCTCCTCCCATGTACGTGTACTTGATAATGTGTTGACCGTATTCTCATCTCATTTGTAAGAATATCATTTGCATCTCCTATATCAACCAGGTTGTTTGGTCGCGTTGTGTGGCCCGTGCTACGAGTGCTGGTTCCACTCTAAGAATAACGAGTCATGTTGCACTCCAATATGCGTCCCCGGAGCTACGATTGCACTCAGGACAAAGATCAGAACACAACACAATATAATGGTAAATTATTAAAATATCCCATAATTTTCTTGGTTAAATCATTATTATTTTTTTAAAAACATTTTTTTCAAAATTTGGGGCAGTTATTGTTAACTGTGCATAGCACGTATTATTATGCCATGACAATAAAATCAACAACTTTCTATCGCTGTTTTTTTTTTGTTTCAGGGCAGTATCATAGACGACTGCTGCGTGGTTTGTTGCTGTAACCCATGCGCTCTGTGTCAGATGAAGCGAGAATATGACATTATTCAGAGGGAGCAAGTCGTAACAACTGTCACAACTTCAACTATGCAGGATTACCAGTACTAAATATAGCTAGCACCATTCACTACTGATACAGCGACATGATCAGTTGAATACACCCGTAGGGGACGAATAGAGTAGAATCAAGTTTTTATATGACATAGGAGCTTATAGGAGCAAAGATATATCTAGTGATTTAAGACACATCCCCGGAGACACATATCTGATGGTCTGGAAAAAATTACATTCAAACTCGAAACCAGCATAGCCCAAAGAGGCATAAAACTAGAGATACTTTGTGAATATGGTGGGCTTATTTCAGAGTTCAAATTACTAGATTAGTATTTCATATATTGATGTAGATAAGTTTAATGGATTTGGTTTGGCATAAAAAATTAATTATTGAACGATGTCACATGATTTTGTTGATTTGCTTTGCCATAAAGATTCAATTACTGAAAGATGTCACATGATTTTGTTGATTTGCTTTGCCATTAAGATTCAATTATTGAAAGATGTCACATGATTTTGTTGATTTGCTTTGCCATAAAGTTTCACTTATAGAAAGATGTCACATGATTTTGTTGATTTGCTTTGGCATAAACATGGGCTTTCACTCTAGTTGAAAGCCCATGGCATAAAGTTTCACTTATAGAAAGATGTCACATGATTTTGTTGATTTGCTTTGCCATAAAGATTCAATTATTGAAAGATGTCATATGGTTTGTCCAAATTGGTAATAAAAAACCAATTGACTTCATGATTAACTTATTGCCTCACACAATAAATCATCTTAAAGTCATTTTCTTGAAATTATTTTGTATACATTTAATCAAAGGGTTGTCAATGAATTGTAGGTGTTTTAATTAAACCACGTCTGTCTTGTATCAAACGGAATTCAAAGGCAAACATACAAGAAGATGAGCGTATGAAATGGCGATCGTTAAAATTTGTTAAGAGTAAGCATACATGTAAGAGTACCCAGGGGGGTGGCTCATTTGAAGGAAGTTGCATAAATATTTGTAAAATTCAAAATAAATCTTATTTTCTTGGCTTGTATATGCCACAATCGCACCCCTGACTGAAAAGCGATCTTTTGGAGATCGCACCCCCCACCCCTGGCTGAAAGCTGGTTACACCCTGGTAAGCCATATACATTGTGATTATTACCATTTCTCATTTTATTGTTTTGGTGACTAGATAAGTTGCATTATTCAAACTAACTTTATTATGATGTCGTATCAGTAGATTGGGGATCGGGTCAAAACATTCATCTTCGACAAGATGTAATTGTGAACAGAGTATTATTGGTTGGTTCCACTATATTCGGATTATTTATGAAATGGAAAAATAAAAAAAATACTAAAAATACTAAGTAGCCTACATAAACGTTGTCGCATCACGCGCGATCCAACAATTTAAATGTCTAGATTTGTTTTCTTTGGGGAGGGGCAAGATTGTGGTCTCGTCAAAACTAAATTAATTACATTTACTGCATGCAGATTTGTTGACACGACCCCATATACGTCTTGCCGATGTCACCTATCAATCTCTAATACTACAATCATAAATAAACAAACAGGTATAATACAGCAGTTTGTCTAGTTATAAACTACCTAAGACGAAGCTAAGAAGTGAAGTCGAACAAATGCAAAGGGTACAACTTGTTCCTAAAGATGTCTTCGAATAAGGGAGCTACATTAGATGATGCCATTGAGAAAGATGGACAGCAACACCAAGGCGCACCACCAGGATACACTGAATACCAAACAGAATATGCGCAGTATCATTCCAAGCAGCAGGTGTTTGTATTATAATATTTATGAAACTGCACTTATTCTTAGAAGTTGGAGATACTCGAAACAGTAAAGTAACAATGTATTTTTCTCATTTGAGATCGAGACCCAAGGTTTATAAATGTAGAAGTATAATAACAATAAAACTGCAACGCCCGGGAGTATAAAATCCAGAACAAACCACACTTTATCAAAATCACTGTGATTGTGAACATTGCATGACAGAAATAACTAGGTATTGTGGCTTTTTGGCAAAATATACACCCATGGGGTGACTCGTCCAGCCATATTTGAGGTTGTTGTTTACCATGATGCCTAAAACATTTTACAATAAAGTATATCTATTTTTACATTAAAATGACCAGGGCATACTTTATGTGTTTTATAATCAAACGAAAAGTTGGTGTCGCCGGCTTAAGACGTATCTTGACATATAGTTAATAGGAGAGTAGTGGATCAAGAGACTGTATTATCTCCAAAACAAAACCACAAGATTGAAATATTTTGCACAGTGGAAGGTTTTATAATTATTAATTAATTTAAAGAAAATAAGCTGAACACTCGTCAAACCATTTCTCCAATAGCAAATCGAGTGATTTTTATTTAATAACTCATTTATGAATGTCAATTAGTAATGACATTACCATGGCAATCTTGAAAAAGCATTTCTGTCATTGGTCTAAAGGGGGTGACTGTGGCTTGTCTCTTCTTTGTTCTCCTAGGTTGGAACAGCTCCTCTTGGTGTTGTAGTTAATCAGCCCCAGGTAGTGCCATCTATGGGTGGTGTCAATCAAACCGTGATTATTCAGCAGGGTGGAGGTAAAACATGGTCCACTTCCCTATTCAGCTGTACCAGTGATATGAAATCATGTACGTATATTTAACATTTATTCAACAATGGTGCCGTTTCCAGTGATCTAAATTAAATATATAAGTTTCATTTTCAATAGGACAATACAGAAATCGTACGTTTACACTCTGACGTCAACGTATCACACACTTCGACGTCTAAAAAATTGAGTTAAATTTATTTTTGAGATCTATTCTTAATACTACCCCAGAACTATTTTCCCTGCTTCGATTTAAAACATATCTCACGAGCCTCACCAGCCCCTTGTCTTACAGGCTTATGTCATTTATCCTATATTTATATTACCCAAAGATAAAATATAATTTTCTATCCCGGGTACTACAGTCTAGGGAACGAAAACAAAGCGTAGTCGTATTTTTATTTAATTTGTAAAAATATAATTTCCATGTACTATAGGTTGTTTGGTGACTTGGTGCGGCCCGTGCTACGAGTGTTGGTTCCATTCTAAAAATAACGAGTCGTGTTGCACTCCAATGTGTGTTCCAGGAGCTTCGATCGCACTCAGGACTAAGATCAGAACCCAGAATAATATATTGGTAAATCACAAAATGAGCTCATAATTCTCTTGGTTAAATCAATATTTTTTAAAACATTTATTCCAAATTCTCATAATTTCCAACTGCTGACTTTGTATAGCTGCAAGTGCTATTATGTCAGGGCAATAAATTTGACAACTCTGACCCTCGTTTGTCGGATCTTTTGTTGCAGGGCAGTATCATTGACGACTGTTGCATGGCTTGTTTATGCGGTCCGTGTACTCTTTGCCAGATGAAGCGAGAATATGACATTATTCAGATGGAGAAAGACGTAACAACTGTTACAACTACACAGAATTACTAATGAATCAAGCATCACTAATGTTACTGTAACAAACACTCGTACGACAGGGGATAAATCTAGATAAACCACGTTCATTTACTTGGGAGCGTATTTACCTTCGTGCACATGGTCAAACATTATATCTAATGATTTGAGACACATAGCACAGTAATTTGATGGTCTGGAACAGGAATTACGTGCAAAATCGAATCATGGATCACAATACTACTTTTACTTTATGAATATGATGAAAATGGTGGACTTGTCTCCAAGTTCAAATTATTTAACTGGTATTAATAAAGTTCAAAGAAATTGATAAAATATCTATGAAAAAATAATTAACTAAATTATCTCTTCTAGAGAAATTCCTCTTCTCAATGTCCTACACGTTACATCCATTTGGAAGTTTAACTTATATCTTTACTACAAATGTACAAGTTTTGGAAAAATACAATTACTGGACGAACAAAGCAAATATAACTCATCCAATCTAGCCTAGTGCCATAATAATAAATAAATAGATACGAATAAAAATAAACGAAATAAATATATTCTTATTGGTATAGAATTTTAGGTCATGCCTTGATCAGTTGTTATGCCATAATCAATAAAAAATAAAGGAAATAAATAATAAAAATATAATTACGTTTTTAGGATACCCTGCGCGCAGAGTCTAGTTATAAACTACCGACGAAGATCTCTTTTGAGAAGCAAAGTCGAACGAATGCAAAGGGTATTTTAAGGAGTAGTTAATCCCCGGGAGTTAATCCAGATATTGTCTATACTGTATTGGCATCGCAATCAATTTGACTACTTACTGTCTCACATTTCGAGTTGCCACCATTGACATTGCTTGTATAGGAGAAAAAATGAAATCCGTACGTTCTGTACAAATTTTGTGGAATCTCTTGAAAATTCATTACTTAATTTCTCGAACATCCACCCTATATCTAGACGTAAAACACAACATTTTTATATCATTATCTATGTCCAATCTTTAATAATTATAAATCTTTAATAATTATAAACAATAATATAATAACAATAGTTTTGGGATCTGCTCTAGCCCCTCAAACAATCGTTCCTTTGCATGCCTCCGGTGACCCACACGCAGGGAATGGCCAAGTTGGAGGTATTACATTCAACTCGGTTGTAAATTCAAGCTCATCACCGTCATCGTTTTCAAATACGACCTGTAAGTGAAGTATCGGTATATATGGCTTTGATAGATAGTTAGTTTTTAAAATTCATAATTCGCCAATTCGCAATTTTGATACCATTTGAAGTGATTTAGCATTAATATTACAGAAGCTGTCATTTTGAACTAATATTACAGAAGCTGTCATTTTGAACTAATATTACAGAAGCTGTCATTTTAAACTTGGTTGTAGCATTCAAATTTTGATCACGATTCTTCTAGGCAAAATGGAGAAGGTATTCAATGGTTTTCAGTTGTTGGGATATTGGGGTGTTATATCGGATTATATATCTTATAACTGTTGTTTGGATATTTGTAAGTTATTAAATATGTTGAGTTAGGGTGAGAGACATTCGTTCTATCTGTGATTGTGATCCTGAATTACCCAACATGAGGTCAGACTAGGAAAACTAAATTTGGAACTTGACATGCTGCTTGAAACTCATAAGAATCGTTGATATTGAAATGCACGAGTGTTTGTACCAGATCATTATGTATTAAAACATATTGGGGTCATACAAGACTTAGTTCAGAATTGTAGACACTGCCCTTTTAATATTCTTCTTCATTTCGAAAAACAATTAGGCCACCAGCAGATAGAATAATACAATACAAGTATTTTTAGAATCAAGGAAGTCTATGAATTCAAAAGTTGTGTACCTCTACAAAGAAGCCAAGCCATCCCTCCGCTGGTTCATTAAATGTTGCTCTCCAGTGCCTGTCCTCCTAAAGCATTGCATGTTCATCATCAATGTTGAATTCAGTGCTTGCAAACACAAATTCGAAGGATTTGAAAGATAGGTCAATGCAAAAGTAAATAAGGATAGCCAGCATTGATAAAACCATGGGCTTTGAACTCTAATTGAAAGCCCATGATAAAACCAATTGAAAAATCAAGTAGAATGGGTTTGAAAGTGTAATTATTTGTTTTGAAAATGTAATTTGTATATTGTTTACCACTATTTCTTCGATGGCGAGTGTGTCTTCATCCCAGACAACTGGATTAATGTCGACCTCTCCGGGAAATTCCTCTGAGGCTACGGCCCATCGGAAATCCCTTCTAATATCTCCCCTAGTAGAAAAAAAGAGTGTGTATTCCAGTATGCCATTGCCTTGAACCTGATTTTTTGAAATTTGATTATGATTCTGAGTTTCATCCGAATGTAATAAATTGACTAACAAACATGTATAGTGAAATTATATCAATTAATTCAATTAAAGTATATGTTTTTATCTACACCATACTTGAATATAATCTGAGTTATTTTAGAGTTTCCGTATCATCATTTCATTTTATTATACCCCCATGGATGCTTCAAAAACCAAATCCCCTCCTGATGAGAGTTTATACCGGCTTTCCTAAGCAAGGTTAATATATAAATATATACCAGTGACTCACCTGAGCCCATCTGCGCTCTCACCGTACCAAGTGCTGACCCTTAAAGGGATCTGTTGAGGGGTGAATACATCAATAGCGCCACTGCCATCACTCTAGATGCAAATTATAGAGTCACTTGAAGTAACTTTTCAATCAAATTCGTAAATGCCATGGTGTTCAACAAAAATGATTTGACAAAACGCCAAAACGTCACCTAATTTTGACACTACTGAACTTTGGTTCTTCATATTTGGCACATATGAACTTGATTCAATGTCTGATAATATCTGAAATTCTTTTAACCGTGACAAATTTTATGAATCAAAAGTAGAAAAGAATCTAAATGGGGAAAATATATTATGCCGGTGTAAAAGGTTAGGTGGTCCTATCAAATTTTGGTCCTACTCTCTATTGATTTATATGTTGACCTAATTACAATTATTTTCGTTATTATTTATACACAGTCAGGGCCAGTAAGGGCCGTAAGGAAAGGGGACCATAATCCACAGGGGACCCTAATTTCATTTACACCGGGTTGTTCAGTGTTCTTGTCTCCAGTATTCTGAAGTCGTGAACTACTTTTAAGAAAATACCTGTGAAAGTGTCCAGTTGAATTCCGGCAAAGTGTAATTCTAGAATAAATAATGCAGAAAATAATTAATGCAAAGCCTGATTGAAATGTAATATTTTTTAAACGAATAACAATTATAACGACTGATGAGAGAGACATTATACAACAGGTCTAATCAATGAAGAATAGAGTTTGAATATGTTGGTATATGCAAATTTGCAAAAATGCAAAGTTAAAGAGCATTACAAGTTGAATGAATTCTGGCTCCTTGGGGTTTACGAGGCTTCGTTGTACTACTTTAACTAGCTTAAAGGAATATTCCTTGCCAGAGCCTTTCTCTCTTGATATGGTAGCTATAATCATATATATAGTTTCCATATTTAGCAAAACATGGGAAAATGTTTCAATATGGTCAATATTGATCATTTAAAAATCTAGTGCTTATTTCCAGTGAGCTGCCATCTTTTAAGATATCTTGCAGGAAGTGATGTCATCAACTCTCAACTTCTATAACCTTGCCCATAACAGTATAGGAAAGTAGCACAAAATCACTTCTAGACAAGTGATCATTACTTTCTGTGCAAAAATATTTTCAGGGCTTGTCAACTTAGAATAAAAGAAGAGATTTTCAGAAGGATTAAATAGGATACAAAGTTGAAAAATAATATTTAAGCTGGTTTTGTAATTCTTAATAGCTTCTCACCTAATGCTATATGCAAAGTTGAGAGTCGATGACATCACTTCCTGTGTGAAATTTTAAAAGATGGCAGATTACTGGAATTGAGAATCACATTTCTAAGTGATCAAATTTGACCATATCAAAACATTTTTGCGTGTTTTGCTAAACATGGCAAGCATATATATGGTTATAGCTACCATATTTGGCAAGGAAAATTCCTTTAAACCTTCATATTTAGTATAAGTAAGCATAGTCGTCATTGAAACAATGGAGTAATTACACATATTCACCTTTGTGGTACTCCCAAAGAAGCTGACCATGTTATTGAAAATGTCCAACTCAGCAAAGGTCAAGCCATGGTGAGTATTCTCCACGATCCTACATAGGAAAGATTGTTAAGATTATGCATTAGACTTTATCATAAAACATTGAAATAATGAAACTAAAACAACAGGCTACCATAAATACTTAGACTTTATTATTCATTTCCAATGTAGTTCAAATCTCCATAAAACATTGAAATAATGCAAGTTAACACTGACAATAGCTTACCATAAATACTTTGGTCCAAGTAGATCGTGAAACCAAACGTTAGGCTCATCTGGCCTAAAGAACTCATCACCAGTTGCCTGTATGACCATCTTAGGCATCGTCAACCTGGTTCTATAGCCTAGAAGGATACGCATAGAGGATAAATGGGAGTGTGTCGCACATGAATTAGTAAATTCAAGATCTACGGAGGAAAATACTGAATTTAAAAACATCAAATAAGCACGAAAGTTAAATATCATGCAAATACTGAGGAAACTATATCTCAACATACGATACCCAAAATCGGACCTATTAATAAGATTATACTCACTATATGGATCAATTACATCAGCCATCATCTTAGTGCGTGGATCATTGATGTACTGCGTGACATTTTGGCTCCAGTAATCATTAAACGCAAATGACCATCCGCCATATGCTCGGTAGTGATAATTGACTGTCTGAAATTAAAATATCATTGTTTAAAATCACAATGCCAGCTCAGATACAAATAGGACCAGCATCGTTTATGTTCGATCACAATCGGGTTTTGGTTCTGGTTCAATTATATCCATCTTCGAATTCCAAGTGGAGCAACTAAAACCTTGAGAATCAAGATGTAAATCACCAGGTCAGGCCGCGTTTCTTTGGGTAATTCAGGAAACAAACTGGAATTACTGGGCATTATTTTTTTTTAATAATGGGCTTATTTTGAAACATTTGGCTAGAATTCTAAAATTTGGGGCCAAAAATTCAAGACTGGGACCAAAAAATTCAGATCCGCCCCTGACGTGAGTCAGATTCAGATTGTCGTGATTGTCGTCCCGGGATTGTGGTCAACCGCGTAATTTAGAGACATGTGAACATATAATTATGAAAATCCTGTTGATTGTAAAATGTGATACTTTTTAAACATCACTGGCACCATGTACCTCTTGCAGTTTCAGTACACTTAGTACGATAGGAGCCATGGCAAATACACGTCTGTCAACACAGCCTACCATCCACGTGGTCCAGCCTCGCTAAAATCGAAAAAAAAAATTGGACTTGCTGGTCAGAATCGATTGTGTTAAAATTTCAAAATGTATCGGGTATCACATAATTTAGTCTGGCTGTTCTTTTTATGATATATTATACGATTGAGCAATTTTAATTTTTTACAAGTGTTTGTCAGTTTGTGTGGCAGTGCATTAATCTTTGTGCGTTTACTGTTAATTGACGTACCTTTGATGCACCGGATGGCAGGAACTTTTGAATATTGAACCGCGTATTTTGCTGCTGTGCGAATGTCGTAACAGTGTCGAATGCCCTCATCACTGCCTGGCAAAATAAAAAAAAAACACGTCATCAACATATACGCCTCCTGCTTGACATTAACACACTGCTCAGCAAGTATCTTGAGTTTATTCTTGGTACATGTAATAACTGTGACCATTTGGTCACAGTTATATGTATTATATAAAAGGAAAAGTAGAGTGAAAGAGCATGGAACAATGTTTAATTGTGTTATTAGATATTTTTATTTTTAGGGACAAATGAAACGAAAAGCTATTCCCTTTATATTAAATGTGCTATAACTTCTAGAAACATCTTATATAAAATCAACCGGACAATAGGGCTGTATGGCAAAGATCAGACAAGGGCAGTGTGACAACGATCAGACTTACTCACTTCGAGAGCCATGTTAGATTTTGAAACTTATGGCTCTCAAACGGAGAAGTGAACAGCTGATCAATAGTGACCTTTGAAATTGAATTAAGTCGATCCGCGGCTTACTTTTGGTCTCTAACTGTGTCTTACATCAGTATCATCAATCCGTGTAAGTATTGGAGCGCTGGAGTACTTCTTTTTCGATCAAGACTTGTAAATTGTTCATCGAGTTAAAGTTTTACAGACCTATTTCCAATATGGCGGTTTGCTAGGTGCGAGATACGCAACGAACGAAATGAATTTTGAGAATTAGTTAGGTTCGGACAACCTCCGGAGATTTACGAAAATGTCCGAGCAGAAACCGCCATGTTGGAATTTGGCAGTAAAACGATTCACTCGACTAGAAATTACAAGTCTTGATCGAAAAAGAAGTACTCCAGCGCTCCAATACTTACACGGATTGATGATACTGATGTAAGACACAGTTAGAGACCAAAAGTAAGCCGCGGATCGACTTAATTCGATTTCAAAGGTCACGATCATTGAGCTGTCCAAATGCTCCGTGGGAAAGCTATTATATCAAAATCCAAATAGCTTTCGCAGGAAGTAAGATCAGACAATATCGGAGTATGACAACGATCAGACAATAGGGCCCTATGGTAACGATAAGACAATACTGCAGTATGGCAACGATCAGACAATATTGCAGTATGGCAACGATCAGACAATATTGCAGTATGGCAACGATCAGACAATATTGCATGGCAACGATCAGACAGCAGTGTGGCAACAATCAGACCATAGGGCAGTATGGCAACGATCAGACAATATTGCATGGCAAGGATCAGACAGCAGTGTGGCAACAATCAGGACAATAGGCCAGAGACAATACCTTCGTCATCGGGTTCCTTAAAAGTACGTCAGGATCAGTTCCATTAGTTTCAATGAAATAACGCCAGGTCCAAGCGATGATTGCATCTTCCGATCTGCTTCTACTTGGATCATCCTAAAAAACGAATGTCAATGTAATGTTGTTGGGAATATTATTGACATATATTATAGACACCACTTTAGTATTTCGATATTAGTTTAAGTTAAGAAAATATTTTCAGTGTCAACCTAGCCATGTACATAAAGTTCATTATATTTTCAATCAACGGTATATTCAAAACTAGATTTTCACTGGTTGCTTACCGACATTGGCAAGAAGACTGGCTGATTGGGGATCTGCTTCAGGTAGGACGCACATGACTGTGTCTCGAAAGCAAATGACGCAGTTGCCATGACGAACGTGTCGCTATCCGGAGTTGGCGGTCTGAAATAGAAATGAACATGGAACGCTTTTGGACCCACTATATATATATGATCAACTGAGACCCAGCCACCTCTATATAAGCTATATATGCATGGGGTACGTTCGAGGTAAACTTGAACTGTAAATCAAACGATGATTTCATTTTTGAGATTTCTCAAATTGACAACTTACTCATCTATTTCTCTATTTCTTCCGCCTCCTATCCACATGAACGAGTGTTCGAATTCAGTGACTTCATCGGGAATGGCTATGGTAAGATGATGGTACCACACTGGACGTGAGCTATAATTCCCTACAATATGATGTGTAGATAGATAGAACTATAGTTATGCAGAGACATGTTGTATGAGGCATTGCAAATTTTTGTTGATTTCAATCGTGATAACACTAGTTCTATGGATCTCTTGAATTGAATATGGGCTTGTGTGAAAAACTCGGTCACACTCTACCGGTTGGAATTGAACTCACAGCTCTTATATCTTTATCTTCAAGAGCTATCATAGTTGGCCATACAACCAAACATAAACTCACCATCTTTCCAAGTCTGTGAGGTCATGTTGAGGACATACACGGTTGTGTCTTCAATTTCATCAGCATTCCCAGCATCGACCCTGTATGTCTCTAGCAAACTCCATGTGTAAGTGTTGTCCTCTCTATTCACATAATTGTCCAGTGGAGACCTGGTGCCCCACTTGAAAGAAGTACAATATGTACTATACAATAGAGAGGTTTTTCACAACAGATTAGCTAAAACGTATCATTTCGCAGTACGTATTTTGAAGCATGCAATTAATAAACGCATCAAAATGCGTGACCTTGGCAATCACATTATTTTTCAAGATGTTAATGGTAACTCCAGAAAATGCTGATATTTCATGAATACACGTTTCCATTTCTTCTCAAAGCTTCTGACACAGTTACCATTGACCTCTTACCAGGTTTACTGAAAGAAGACAATGTAATGATACTTTCCTGAAAAAATCAAGGAAAGTCACACATGCCTTCATTCGTTATGTTGTACCAGAAAATGAGCAGGGAGAGCATTTTTTCAAAAATGTTTTCGTTCCACAAATACCTCATGGAAGACATTTGGTTAATATGTGCGTACGGCGTGATGATACAGACCTATGTGTAAAATCCATGGTAACTGATCCAGCATGGGTTATCATACTTAAAGTGGTGTGTAAAATCGTAAACATGTGATTGGATAATGAAAGTGACAGTAAACTACATGTAATTGTCAACATAGTTGTAGGTCTTATCTTTTACTTACATCCCAATTCGCACCAATGGCTTCACCACCCAACAGGAGCAAAACTAAAAACACCCGTGTCTCCATGATTCCAGAAGTACTAATGGCCACATCTAAGCCAAACCCCTTTTGGTTTGATGCACAGATTTAAGCATTGCTTCAATTAAAGGCGATCTCTATTTATTTACATGTACCAAATTGACTGTGTTTATCGAGGTTGTGCGCTAGACTGATGGTGGTATGTTTTTATTCCCACAGGACCATTTAACGTCCATACAGTTTCAATGTCATTTAAGGAGGGACAAGTGCCACGATGTGCGCACATATGCCTAGATCTACACGAGTATGTAAAAAGTGTGTCAGGAATTCATTAATTTTTAAAAGCGCCGTAACATTAGTAGCTCATTTCTAAGTGCACTAGTGTAACCACGATTGTTGTCTGAATGCCATGAAGTCAAAGTAGCAAGACAATAATAGTAATTTAACATCTCTTGTGGAAATTGATTATTCAATTTACTTTACCTTCCTAGTAAACTATGTTTTACAGGTACAGTGAAACCTGGGTGCTTGAATACCTCTCTTTAGGGAACAAGCGCATGGAACCGTCTTCAAAAGAATCAAGTCCGAGTGACTTGCAAATTAATGAACACTTTTTGAATTGACCACCTCTATCATTTTTACAAGGTACACTATGGGACAAAACAGAGTGTGTACTATATGTAGGTTTTACTATACTATATTTCAAGTTTGACCAAATATGTGCTCATGGGCGTTATCAATATCGGGACGGATGTAAAACATAATATTCATATCTTCCCGTGATCGGCTATTCAATATTGTACTTGATGACATGATTATTCGATCATAATAGTACATTTATTCTGCTCATTTCTGCAGCACCAAACATTTCCCACAGGCTCCATCTGCATAGGGTGGGCCAAAAATCGGAACATTTCATTTTGCAATATAAGAGTTGTACAGGTCATATAAATGTAGAACATCATATACCATTGGAAAGGCCATTCAGATTATACCACGCCGAAACAGTGAATTAGTCGAGCTACAAGCCTCCGTGACCCCCTCTACTTGATTGACTAAATACCCTCACAGTTGTTGTGCAAGGGCTTCTAGCTAGAGTACAAAGAACACCAAGAACTAGATGGCGTGTTCTGACTGAGTCCGAATGAAGGGGTCATGACCTATTTAGACGTCCACTCTTGGTTGTTGAATGAAAAGGTGTCTGCTAGACTGTAGACAGATGACACATTTCATTAGCTTCGTTCGAACAACTAGAAATGTAGTGACACATATACTGTATTGGAAAAATGTACAAAAAACATTAGTTTTCGCAATTCGAAAATGTGTCAATTCTCGACTCGCTGCATGTTACTATGATGTGCTTTTGAAGAAAGCTTGACAATGACAATACACAATCAAATACGCAACTGGACAATTTTTGTGTATTTTTGAGGAAAATAAATTTTCTGCAAACAATCAAATTTTTGGACAAACCTGTAATCAATTTTCTTATTTCATATTTTGATGTTAACTCACGGAAAAGTTACACAATTATTTTCTGTATACCTTTATACTCAATCGGTCAAGCAAACAACTATCTTACAAATGGGACAACTATTGCGCAGACGACCATAATTCCACACATTCACGTACAAGTTTTGAAAACGTGTATCTTAACCTCCCTAATAACTACGGGTTTATCAACGGATGCTGTTTGTTCATTACATTTGATAAATGAGCATCAGAAACACTGTGAGAAAGCTGTTGCAGGATTATTGTTCAGAAAATACAATTAACCTTAAACTCACCTCGTAACTCAATAGTTAGATATGAATTAGAGTCAGATAGGCCTATGAAATACAATTATTTTGCAAATATCATTATAGCTCATGTATCAGAATTTTTTTAAATCATCAAAAGACAAAACTATCCAACATGCGTTTGCACAATTTTATTGAAATTAAATAAGGTTGTCGGACAATAATGCAATATTTCTTCTGAACGTGGACTGGTCATCTATCCGTCAAACTGAAATAGTAAACGTGCCAAGGTGCAAAATCGATGTTAAAATAAACACAATCACACAGTGCGATTCAGCGCTGGTACTTCATTGTGTAAAATTCTTGCAAAAATCTTAAACTAATATGAAGAACAGCAGAACATCTCACTGCATTTAAGCACATGGGCAGCTTCTGCAGCATTCTTCTTGCGTTCGAAAGTTGTTAGCATTTCCCCCACATCCTCCCCAAGTAAATGTCAAACACTGCCCCAGAGATTCTTCGAAGTACCACCGTTCAAAGACCCCATCACAATCCCCTACCTCAGGGGCAAGGTTGCAGGCAGATTTTTTAACTAGAAATGTCAAAGTAAAACTTTCTACAACGGAAGCTCATATGTTCCCTTGAATATTGCCAAGAAGTTTAAGATATCAAAATACAAAGGTAGAACGTTGAACATTGATGCCGTTTTATATGCTTAAATTGACATTGCAGTTCCCTTGATCATTATGTATCTCATGAATATTTACACTCATGAGAGTACCTGGGAAATAAACATTAAAGACGTTCTTTCGGTTAGAAGGATTCTGTTCCTTACAAATAGTCATTCCATGGCAATAATAGAGAGTTCCGACTCCTGGATTTACAAGTCCCTTAAAGTGGAATATTTTGTACCTTTACTAACAGAACAATTTGTATTTCTTACTTTTTCCACCTCCACAACGTTTCAAACAGTCATCGCTAGTCTCAAAATTGTTTCCGTTTCCTTGACAACCTCCGTAGATGAATCTCTCACATGTACCGGTTTCCTGCGAGTAATAAAATCTTGGCATGGCGGCCTCACATGGCCCCATGTCTGCTGGTTGATCACATACACCTTCAAAGGAATAGTTTATATTGAATTACTTTTGATTTTTCTTCTTACATCCAATATACAGGTTATTGTAGGTTATGGCATCCAGATGGGTGTATGACTAACCTTAGGTTCAGAGTCTAGCTAGTGCATTAGATGAAGCTATGTTTAACAGCAAAACCCAATTAAACTCAGAAGGTGTAGTTGGGAGGAAGCAGTTCATAACATATTGTTACACAATGTTTTCCACATTTAGACCTTCCCATTATTTCACTGAGATTTCAAGGGTTAAAATCATATTTTAGCTAGCCAATATGGTTTTGAATTCTGCATAATAGTTCGCTAGAGAAATATTTGTCAAATCAATTTTAACACAATTTGCCCACCATTTTTAATATAATATGAGAATGCATGCACCCTATCTACAACTGCATCTTTTACCTTCCCCACAGAGCGTGTTACATTTCTCGAATGTCTCAAAGTTGTTGTCATTTCCTCCGCAACCACCATAGTTAAAAGATGTGCACGAACCAGTATCTTGGTTGAAGTAGTACCTTGGTACGATAGCGTCACATGGGCCTATATCTACATCTTTTAGACATCGATTCCCATCAGCAACTGAAAATATTGATCTGTTACCATTTTTCAAACATTGCTAGGAGCTCTTCAAAATCTAGATACTCGTCAATATCTTTTTTCTTTCAACAGTCACTATGGTATCATGTTAATCTCTCCATTTGTCCTCTAGTTTCATCCTTTATTCAAAGGACTTCATTTATTACTCAAATCAATATGGAAAGAAGCGAAAAACCCTTGGACCAAGGAAGCGCTAGCTTAACTTTGAAAATAATTTATGATAAAATAATTTCTGGGAAGTTGTCTGAGCATTGTGAGCAATTATGTAAAATTATGCAAAAGGTAAGAATGACAAGGTTACCTGCAATTACAGCAAAACTTAACACAAATCCTAGCATATTGGGAGTTGATAAATAAAGTCCTTGGCGATTGGCAGCTTTTTACCTGTATCAAGTTTTAATAAATATCATAGGGCTGAATCATTTGACATTACATCAGAGCTAATTGCGATATGAAAAAGATCAATGGTTTATTTACAAGACACATTTATTTCACCACGTGTGAACAGGATAGAATATAACCAAGAATATCCTGACTTGAAGGAAGTATGATGATAGTAGACTGTCCAATTGACTTAACAATAAACGTAAACCTTTGTTCGCACATGTACCGTCATTGTATATTTCATGTTTCGATGTGAGAATCAAACAAGCTGACATTTTTAAATATAAAAACAATAATTTTACAGGGCGATCTCCAAAAATGTGCTACATTACAGATACTCTGTGAGCATTTAGGATAAGGCAAATTGAATAATGTAAAACAAACTAAAACAGGACATGATCGCAGTTATACTCACAGTTAATGGGTTCTCTTAGACGCGATGACTTCTACTATCGCATATGATTATTGTCAAGAAAGGCTGGCTGATTTTCGATGGGTCCTCTTTTGCCTCTCAATTCCATATCATTATATTTGGCCGATCCTATCTACCGACGTCTACAGTACAGCTACGGGATTTTCAACAGATACATCCGGGCTAGGTGCACGTTCACTAACTAGTGGTGGGATTCATTCTCAAAATCGTTCCGAGGTCTTCGATTTTAAATGAGAATCTATATCATTTTCGTCGATTTCTCAAGGGCGATATGACCACCCAAACTGCATATTTCTCGAAATGGACCGGTTTGAAAATGAAGGATTGCTAAAGGGTTATAAATGATATAGTGTTATTTTTACAATTAGGGAAGCTAAACAGATGTGAATTCGAGTCATTATAAAATATATTCACAGAATAATATAATTCAAAAATGAGGATGCAAAATCATCCAAGCATCAATACACGAGAAGGAGAAAGCATTAATTAGTTTTTTTATTTGACGCCATGTTGAAAGGTAAGGCCTACGATAACGGACATCATTATGGCAGAGAAGCGTCAAAATATAAAAGGCCACAAATGCAAGCTTTTATGATAGCCAAATTAAAAAACAAACTAAAATATACAAAATTTAGCTAGTTACGTGGAACATGATACAGTCATTGAAGGGTTCAATTTTAAAGATTATTAAATCTCAAAATAGCTCAAATTATTACATTTCTACAATTCCGGCTTTATTTTATGTCTAGACAGATGACAGATCCATAAATAAAGGCATATGGATGCATTTTAATGTGTAATGACCCGAGGGCGCCCCAGGGGAATAAATAACTAACGACCGCGAGCATATGTCCAACAAGCCAGATAAAGAAATTGAACAAGAGTGTGCTAAATTCGATGCCCCGAGTGGGAATCGAACCCAGCTGGGGTGTAGTAGCAACTTGCTATCAATGGTCGTTACAAATGCATCTATAACACAAATCCTAGCATATTGGGAGTTGATAAATAAAGTCCTTGGCGATTGGCAGCTTTTTACCTGTATCAAGTTTTAATAAATATCATAGGGCTGAATCATTTGACATTACATCAGAGCTAATTGCGATATGAAAAAGATCAATGGTTTATTTACAAGACACATTTATTTCACCACGTGTGAACAGGATAGAATATAACCAAGAATATCCTGACTTGAAGGAAGTATGATGATAGTAGACTGTCCAATTGACTTAACAATAAACGTAAACCTTTGTTCGCACATGTACCGTCATTGTATATTTCATGTTTCGATGTGAGAATCAAACAAGCTGACATTTTTAAATATAAAAACAATAATTTTACAGGGCGATCTCCAAAAATGTGCTACATTACAGATACTCTGTGAGCATTTAGGATAAGGCAAATTGAATAATGTAAAACAAACTAAAACAGGACATGATCGCAGTTATACTCACAGTTAATGGGTTCTCTTAGACGCGATGACTTCTACTATCGCATATGATTATTGTCAAGAAAGGCTGGCTGATTTTCGATGGGTCCTCTTTTGCCTCTCAATTCCATATCATTATATTTGGCCGATCCTATCTACCGACGTCTACAGTACAGCTACGGGATTTTCAACAGATACATCCGGGCTAGGTGCACGTTCACTAACTAGTGGTGGGATTCATTCTCAAAATCGTTCCGAGGTCTTCGATTTTAAATGAGAATCTATATCATTTTCGTCGATTTCTCAAGGGCGATATGACCACCCAAACTGCATATTTCTCGAAATGGACCGGTTTGAAAATGAAGGATTGCTAAAGGGTTATAAATGATATAGTGTTATTTTTACAATTAGGGAAGCTAAACAGATGTGAATTCGAGTCATTATAAAATATATTCACAGAATAATATAATTCAAAAATGAGGATGCAAAATCATCCAAGCATCAATACACGAGAAGGAGTAAGCATTAATTAGTTTTTTTATTTGACGCCATGTTGAAAGGTAAGGCCTACGATAACGGACATCATTATGGCAGAGAAGCGTCAAAATATAAAAGACCACAAATGCAAGCTTTTATGATAGCCAAATTAAAAAACAAACTAAAATATACAAAATTTAGCTAGTTACGTGGAACATGATACAGTCATTGAAGGGTTCAATTTTAAAGATTATTAAATCTCAAAATAGCTCAAATTATTACATTTCTACAATTCCGGCTTTATTTTATGTCTAGACAGATGACAGATCCATAAATAAAGGCATATGGATGCATTTTAATGTGTAATGACCCGAGGGCGCCCCAGGGGAATAAATAACTAACGACCGCGAGCATAGGTCCAACAAGCCAGATAAAGAAATTGAACGAGAGTGTGCTAAATTCGATGCCCCGAGTGGGAATCGAACCCAGCTGGGGTGTAGTAGCAACTTGCTATCAATGGTCGTTACAAATGCATCTATAATTCATCATAAACTAAGATTTAATAAACCAAGATCTTTAAAATTGAACCCTTCAAAGACTGTATCATGTCCAACATACGTGGGTCGGGGTATGAGGTAGGAGGTTTTTTATACAAAGCCCTTTCCTACCTCATACCCACCTACCCACCTACGTGGGACATGAAACAGTCATTGAAGGTTTCAATTTTAAAGATTTTTAAATCTCAAAATAGCTCTAATTATTAACATTTCTACAATTCCGGCTTTATTTTATGACTAGACGGATGACAGATCCATAAATAAAGGCATATGGGTGCATTGTAATGTGTAATGACCCGAGGTCGCCCCAGGGGAATAACTAACTAACGACCGCGTGCATGTCCAACAAGCTAGATAAAGAAATAGAAAGAAAGTGTGCTAAATTCGATGCCCCGAGTGGGAATCAAACCCAGCTGGGCTGCAGTAGCAACTTGCTATCAAGGGTCGTTACAAATGCATCTATAATTCATCATAAACTAAGATTTAATAAACTAAGATCTTTAAAATTGAACCCTTCAAAGACTGTATCATGTCCAACGTACGTGGCTAAGTCGGTATGAGGTAGGAGGTTTCTTATACAAAGCCGAGAGTACTAGTATGCATATGCAGAAATGCACAATAGGAAACAACACGAAATTAAGATTACTTTAAACTATTTAGACTTTGAACTGTTTAAGTATACGATTTATGCTGTTGTCACCTTAAGTATTGATACTGAACATGTTCCCATGTGATTCAAATCCAACTTTCAGACTTTAAGTGTACACTTGAACAAACACTGCTTGCTTGATGCATATATTTGGAATAAATAAACCTATTTTAAGTATTGGGCCTACATGTATACAATCAGTTTTATAAGGTAACCTAGATTAGGATGCTTGCTTGTTCACCTGCTCGTAATATAAAGTGATACGGTAAAACATTATGTAGAGGACGACATTTGCTCGGACATTAGGCTCCATAGTATAACGAATGCAATATTATACACAATATTATACTTTGGATTAATTCAAGTAAAAATGCGTGATAAGTAACGCTATTATAGGTAAGAAAAAGAGGAGGGTGTCAAGTTAGCCTTGTTAACATGACATACTTATTCTTATTTATTTATTCATAGCATATGCCATACAACTAGGCCTACACTGACTAGGGGACGCGAGTGAAGGATATGAAGAAAATAAGGTTATACCACTCCCCTGCATGCAATTCATGTTAAATACAATTGAGTTTATGCATGTTAATTGTATTTAAAATCAAAAATGAAACTATTTTGAATACAATTTGAACTATTACATACTAGTATTCAACATTTGCAACACGAAAACAAACTTTAATGTTAGATTAAAGTCCAAGCTGTTCTTGATAAAATTGTTATAGAGGTGTTACCGTAAGTATATTGGAAGGCTTAAAATCGAGAAAATTTGGCTAATTGACTTTTGACTTTTTTGAAGTGCATATTTATACACATTTTACAGTGTGACATAGAAATGTTTGCACTTAGCATTTCTGAGTTTTCTAGAAGAATAAAACCACAGAGTCGGAGTTCATTCCATACTTGAACGTATTTGAGGTATAACATATACACATAAGTCACTTTTAACAATTTTGGTTCAAAAATGGCCAAAATCACTTAAAAAGTGCTCAGAATAATGAAAACCTGCATGATTTTGAAAGAATTTTTGGCCATCGACCCCCCCCTGGCTACGGGTCTGCATGTATAAAGCAAGTTTGTAAAATGCTGTATTTTCAACTGCGAGCAGGATTATAGCATACAAATTTGAGAAAAAAATCTGTAAAGAGTTAAGTTTCGTGAGAAAAACAGAAATATGAGAAAAATAAGTAATCTTAACAGGCTATCAACTTTATCTTATTAAGAAATAATCTGAATTTAAAAGCATCAGCGAGAATTTTCAGATATCCCAATAATATGCTTCCAAGGTAATGTACATACGAGTAATAGGATAAATGGATTATCCTCTGTGAGGTTCAAAATATTGGGATTATCCCTCCACCAATATGATATATTAATATTAGATAACCTCGGTATACTGAACTGAAACCTCACATGGGAAAATCTTTAAAGGCCCCATACAAAGTTTGAAAAGATGTTTTTATCAATCATTTACTATTTTTAGGACTTAAATTGAAACTTTATATGGGGCCTTGAAATTGTCGACAGGTTTTGTAAGTTATCTAATTGAGTAAATGTTTGTTACAGTATAACATGAAATGTGTTAGTGTTATAAATAACATATTACACTTGTTAACACGCTCATACTCACCCTATGCAGACAGAGCCTGTGGGAAATATTGGGTGCGGCGCAAATGAGCGGAGGGTGCGGAGCTAACGGTCATTTTTGAATTTAAAATTGGGATATTTCTGAAACTAAGCCGTTTTGGGACTTCAAATATACCAAGATATGTGTATTTGACACCAAATATCAATAAGATTGTGAAAATAGTAGTGCAATTTATTTTATAGCGACGCATTATGCCTTAAACATTTCAAAGACCTATATATTTTGAGAATATCCTTTTAATACTGCGTCCCCAGCATTCATAAAAAATGGTGTTCAAGATACACTACCCATGCAAATTATTTTTGCATCTTGGAAGCCAGACAGTATCTGTGTGATTTTATAAAAATTCGGAAATGTTCTTCAGATATGAGCCCCCTCTAAATATTGGGTGCGGAGGTACGTTTATGGAGCTCTTCCGCACCCAATATTTAGAGGGGGCTCATATCTGAAGAACATTTCCGAATTTTTATAAAATCACACAGATACTGCCTGGCTTCCAAGATGCAAAAATAATTTGTATAGATAGTGTACCTTGAACACCATTTTTTATGAATGCTGGGGACTCAGTATTAAAAGGATAATTTCAAAATATATAGGTCTGGGAAAGGTTTAAGGCACACTGCGTCGCTATAAAATGAATTGCGCTACTATTTTCAGAATTGTATTGATATTTGGTGTCAAATACACATATCTTGGTATATTTGAAGTCCCAAAACGGCTTAGTTTCAGAAATATCCCAAATTTAAATTCAAAAATGACCGTTAGCTCCGCACCCTCCGCTCATTTGCTCCGCACCCAATATTTCCCACAGGCTCTGTCTGCATAGGGTGATACTTATTGATAAAACTTTGATTTCAGAGTAGACACTCGTAGACTAGACTGACGATACGAATGTAAAAATGGGATCAAAATACAAACACCTTGATAAAGAATACCTTGTAGAGAATGGAGAGAATGACACTGTGCCCCATTTGCCACCTGGATCCCCTACGCACGTGACCGTACAAGGGACTCCAGTACGAGCGACAGGTAGAGTTGAATACAAATATTTAGCTATCAACGTCAGATATGTGAGATTTAAATCGAGAAGTTATGTGGCATATGTGGGATATGTGAGGTTGAAGTTGTGGGTATGTGATATTTGTGAGGTTGAATCATGCGTAAATCATAAGTATGTAATATATGTGAGGTTAAATCGAGGAGCTATGTGGGATATGTGAGGTTGAAGTTGTGGGTATGTAATATATGTGAGGTTAAAATCGAGGAGCTATGTGGGATATGTGAGGTTGAAGTTGTGGGTATGTAATATATGTGAGGTTAAAATCGAGGAGCTATGTGGGATATGTGAGGTTGAAGTTGTGGGTATGTAATATATGTGAGGTTAAAATCGAGGAGCTATGTGGGATATGTGAGGTTGAAGTCCCGTCGGGTGTGTGGGATGTGTAAAGTTTCAGTCGAGTTGCTTTTTGGGGTATGTGAAGTTAAAATGCTGTGTTTTTGTGAGGTTAGAGTCGAGTAGCTATGTGGGAAATGTGAGGTTAAGTCGAGTAGCTACTCGTATATGGATAAATGTGAGGTTAAGTCAAGTGGGAGATCATTTGTGGATAAAAGTTTTAACCATAATATGTGGCAATGAACAGATGAATGAATGGAGATCATAACATACCATCCATATGTCTAAAACCAGCAATATCATTATTAATGTGGTCCCAAATACGAAGGAAGACGTCGAGTAATTCAACCTCCGAATTCATAAATAATCTTCCAAACGTTGTGCTCTAGTGAGACACCATCTACTCTGTTGATTCATTAGAAAGAGTGCAGTGGGTGATGCTCGGAGCACTGCGTTCGGAGGTTGTGACTTTGCTCATATGATTTCTTTATTTCAAGGTGACGGACATGGAATTTATATGAACAACCCGCCTCCAATAAATGAGGGGACCATAATTCCCCCGCCAGAAGGTTTAGACAAATCACGTCCTGGATTCGCAGAAACGAAAGTGTTCAAGCTTTCACTATTGCAGATTTGCCTTGGTGCATTAGCTATGATACTTGGGATAACTGTGCTCGTGACTCGGACTTGGACAACTGGCGCTGGAATATTTAGCGGCTTGTTCTTTTGTGTGACTGGAATTGTTGGTCAAAGTGCAGCTCGAAAGAAAACAAATTGTACTATAGTTGCATATCTCGTGCTCAACATTCTGGCTATTATTTTATTTGCAATGACTTTAATAACTACTGCTGCTATTGGTATAACTCGCGATACAAGAGTGATGCAAGTGTATGACGACGATGGCGTCACGACAGTTGGCAGTGTTACAAACAACACGATAGAGTCCACGAGTAACACTCCAATAACAATATCACACGACTTTACGACTAATCCCATGAGCACCACAACACATCACTGGCATTTCGTACGGCAAAACTACCCATATCGGATGGTTCAACACGCTATCTTGATGCTGTGTGGCGTTCTCCATTTCATCATGTGCATTTTGGGGAGTGTATTTAGTGGAAGGGCGGTATGTGGAAAAAATGCTAACCGACCTAAAATTGTATATTATGTACCGGTACAGAAGCAGCAAGAAATGACTGATATGAGCACTGCATAGAAAAAGGACAGTCACTATATATACCAGTCAATTAAAATGAACAAAGATTATTTAGATTAAAATGTTTATGACATGATTATGCTTCACAGGGCTGTAGTCAGGGGTGTCACCTGTGGCCCAAAATTCTCTCAAAACCATGCAGTTTTTACCATTCTGAGCATTTTTCAATGATTTTTGGCCAAAGTTGTCAAATGTGAACCCCCTGGAATTTTTTGAAAAGTGAATCCCCCTTGGTAAAAACGGGCTACAGATCTGCTTCTTCATCAATTAAAAACATAGAAAGTTATGTCACCAGCTTTTTTAAATAAAATATTATAACCATCACCTTTTTGGGGAGGAACTTCCAAAAATATTCCATGTTTACCATTTTCACCTGCTTTACTACAATTTTTAACCATTTACCATTACCTATATATAAATATACATAAAATACAAACATCTTTGTATTGGTTATTTAGCACTGTAGCAAGGTTGTATTGCTTTATTATAACAGGGCATGCACAAACTATTAAGGTTTTAAATCATCAAAACGTCATGTTTTTTGTGATAAAACAAGTAAAAATTTAAGAAACATTTTGTAAGGTTTACTGAGAAATATCAATCAATAGTTCTAATGTTTAAAATTTATCCGCTTGACATGCTCAGGAATATTTAAGATTTGCACCCAACTCATAACTTTTTCTCACTTGGCACCCTTAAAGGTGGAACCTGGCTATGGTATTAATGGTTGAGAAAAGGGTTAAGTTCATACTTTTAATATAGTAATACATTATAGCACACAGAGCCTATGAGTTTTACAATAGGGCAAGAGTTTATCAACAAATTTCTGCCATTATGATGCTCATACTCATCACCTTTCTTGTTTTAGTGTATACGTTTCAGTGAATACGTTATGTGATTGGGTTCTTGTGTCCAGCATCAGCACCATGTTTTGCCAGTGGACTTATCAATCCAAGAATGCAGATTTTTGACCTCCTGTGAAATTAGAACAGGCCAGCTTCTCTATAAACTCACAGTTCAAACATTCACAAACCACAGTGTACTTTTAGAGTTTATTTGTATCAAAGTTAATCGTTACAATGTCAGACTATACACAGCATTAACAAGTCAACCACCCCAAGTGCATGTGCATCTTAAACACCCCATAACAATCTCGTTCTATCGTTCTACTGTTCTATTAATTCCTTCACGGCATAACAAGAGTATATCGTGCTACCTACATCAGAAACACACCTTGAACTATTTTCACAGAAGTCAACTTTCCATTTCCAGAAACGAGAGTTTTTACACTTTTCAAATGACGCATTTATATCATATAAATACTCTAATATTGTGGAGACGATATGTGGAGTAAACATACAAACATCTTACTTCATAAAACAAAATATTTCTAAAATATATATTTTGAAGTAATGCACTCATCAATTCATAGCACTATTGAAACACCCATAAACACACAACTGATCTATACTGGCCTACAGGTATGACAGAAAGCATACTGATACACATTATTTCAATGACTGATTCATTCTTACATATATTCCATTTTCAATAGATATATGTTCATCATTCAACCTTATAAATTTCTGCAGGATATATATAAAGAGAGAACTATGAAATACATACAGTACATATATTCACTGATAATAGAACGTAGAATGGAATATTTGTAATATATTGAGCTGTCTAAGAACATATTTAGAGCTTGTATAGTATGGTTCACTTAGACTTTATGTACAGGTGCTGAATGACAAGATTATGCAAATATTGTACATTCATTTCTCCAGCAACTATCTTGGCCATTGCATTTGCAATTGGATTGATTCAATATAAATTGTATTTAAATCAGGAAAAGTCTTCATTGTGTATATTCTCAAACATTTCACAAATTCTACATGTAATTCATTCTGTTGAAGTGTACATCATCCATCAAGCTTTGGAAATGAAATGAAGTGTGAATAACCATGAGAGAGTTTCTTTGTAAATTCAAAGATCACTTAAAACTTCAACTCATGATTTAGACAAGGCTAAAATTCACAGTTTTTTCATACTTTTTGGAGTCGAGTGCTCTCTGATATGATTATGAATGGAGGTATTATTCACTCAATATATACTGAAGTATTGTTTACTCAATAGTAAAGCAATCTTTACTCAGTAGTAAAGCATTCTTTCCAGTTATCTTTACTCAACAGTAAAGCATTCTTTACCAAATTACAAACTTAAAATGAAACAATTTCAAGAATTTGGTGAGAAACAAAAAAGACACAACCTTAGTTCTCACATTAATGTTTATGGCACATACTGTATATATAGATTACATACATGTAACGATCTATGTTATATTATGGGCATTATCGGCAGCATACTCGAGTGACTAACCAATATGTTGATTTTGGAGGGCTCATCCTAGTCTAGCCAAAGAGGGCATATACATAAATATTCATTGCAGTAAGCAATTTATAACATACTATATAAAAATGTAGTTATTTCATACATGGTACCTTTGGTATAGGACATTTCCGTACAAATCATTTGCATTGTTTTATGACATCACTGTTACATACATATATTTACCAAGCAGTTCCATAGACTATGTGATGGAACATACTCAATAAGATTGCCATAACAACCACAATCATTGCTTCCAGAACAGAAGATTGTCCACAGCAAATGAGTGCATACATTTTAAAAAGTTTAAAGATACATGTTTAGGAGGTGTAAAGTACCATAGTTATCTATAATGAATACATGAATCTTGAGAATTAGCATATAGCATGAGCATGAGATCATTAAGAGATATCTACTATATCGCTGATCTCCCCAGCATTAAAGCAAGTGGGCACAGCACCCACCTGAGATTTTAAAAAAAACTTGCACCCACCTGAAAATCCATTTGCACCCACTTGAATATGAGAAAATGGGGATATTTTGACTTATTTGACTTAAATTGTGAAAATGTGATTTTTTCACCCACCTGAGAAAAAATCCTATGGAGGTTTTCAGCTCAAATTCATAATATGTCAAATAAATTTGCATTAAACTTTATGATTGAAGTAAACTCTGAAATATGATTGTAACAATCTGACAACATTTTTCTCACCCACAGTGACTCTTAACTTCTGAACTTGAACTTGTTTAAAATAACATGAATTAACATGGTAGATAGCTTTAGAGCACTTTGAAAGTTAAGCAAACATGCCCAGCATGTCATAATATATGTGTAGATATAAGCCATCATTCCTTGTTGCATTTAAATTTGAGACAGGTATCACAGGAAAATTAAAGATATGATTTGATTAACTATAAAATTTACTTTTGAACTACTGATCTACACTATCCCTATCTTCAAATAGCAACAATTTCATATTGTACTCTTGAAATATATTACATCATTTTGCTTGTTTTTATTAGCCATTAAACTTACTTTCTTTTGAAATATCTATCATTTTATTTTACTTTTAATATCAACCATTATATCAAAGAGACTTGGAGGCATAGAGAGAAATAAGAGGAAGATTCAGAAAAATCAAATGAAGTCAAGACATTTCTGCATCTAAAATTTCACAAGTAACAATGGGAATGTGGCAGATGTTCCATTGCAGGAATTACATTGAGAAATGTCCCAGATGTTAAATTCCATGTGTAACTTTGGCAAATGTTCTAGATATGAAATTCCATGTGTAACTTTGGCAAATGTTCTAGATGTGAAATTCCATGTGTAACTTTGGCAAATGTTCTAGATGTGAAATTCCATGTGTAACGTAAGCAAATGTTCTAGATGTGAATTTCCGTGTGTAACGTAAGCAAATGTTCCAGATGTGAAATTCCATATGTAACTTTGGCAAATGTTCTAGACGTGAAATTCCATGTGTAACTTTGGCAAAGCTCTAGATGTGAAATTCCATGTGTAACTTTGGCAAAGCTCTAGATGTGAAATTCCAGGTGTAACTTTGCAAATGTTCAAGATGTGAAACTCCATATGTAACTTTGGCAAATGTTCTAGATGTGAAATTCCATGTGTAACTTTGGCAAGGCTCTAGATGTGAAATTCCATACGTAAGCAAATGTTCCAGATGTGAAATCAAATGTGTTACTTTGAGAAATGTTCCAGACATTAAATTGCACAAGTAACAATGCAAATTGTGGCAGATGTTTCACCGCATGGGTTACATTGGGAAGTGAGCTTGCTGGTAGAAATCTGGTTCATCTTCGTCTTCATCTTCACTCTCTTCTTCTTTGTCCAACTAAAAAAGAATATATCATTGAATAGAGATCATATAATAATATTAATACCTGAAGAGATATGCTCTTCACCAAGTTTTCCATTTCCAAACACTGCAGACAAAATTACCAGACACTGAGAAATCAAGCAAAATTTATGGAGAATTAGCCCTGGGAGAAGTGGATATGTCACTTAAGTATAGATCCTGATACAATAATTGTAACACAACTAAGTCAGATTCAGTATTCATATTTAATCTGGAAGGATTAAAATTTAATCCCAGTTGAGTAATCATCTCATTTGAGTACAGTTTACAGCATTAATTCTTATGTTTAATAAAGATCATCAAAAACATTAAAAATACATTTCTTATCTCCACAGGGTGTCTCATATTGCATGAGTACATGAAGGGACACACACTTAACGGTTTGACACAAGACATACCTCATGTAGCTCCTTCTCTGTAAATATGTACTTAAGAAGTTTAAGTCTCAATGGCACGGTTAATATGAGCACAAACGGAAAGGCAAGAGCAGCCTCTGTAGACTTCACCACCCACAGTGCAGCCAAACTTAGTAACTGCACACATGTGTAAAGATGCATCTTCACTGACCTCACCTACGAGCACAATCATATTAAATATAAGATATATGAAAACTCTAGTCTGTTCATTATGTTCCTCAGTTAAATCAGTTTGGGATATTATGAAAATGATAATTGCAATACCCAGTGACCCCAAAGGGTATATTTCAGCATGTGACATTACATGAGGAACTTATTTGATATATTTCTAAGAGCTTACCCTCCTAACATATCCCACATCAGGATGGTGCTTGACTGGCATGAACATCAGTTCTACTCTGTTTAACAGCTGTATGCCTGACATTGATGCTACCCCCATATACATGAATACACCAAACAACACTGCAATAGGCACCTGGCGGAGCACTGGGCCCATCAATACTGACACCCCTGAAACAGTCAATGCATGTGTTAAATATTTGATATTTATTTTATGATTTTATGAATACATGTACATAATACAGTAAAATCTGCATCGTGGAATAGTTCAAAGTCCCGTTATCCGTCAAGTTATTATAAAATGGACCTCTGATAGTGGAAGAACTCCCAAGTTGAAGACTTTCTGGGTACAAAGGGTATTTCAATTGAACAAGTTCTACGTTAATTTGTAAGAATTGAGGCCATTAGGCATCATAACTGTTCAGCATAGTCTGTGACCAAGTATTTTGAATAATTAAAACCTAGATTATAGCAAAGATTATAACAGGAGATTTGGCTATTACAATCTATTTCAGATTCCCTTAATCGAAAACAAATCCATACCTATCATAAGATGTACAGCAACATTTGTGACCCGTTGTTCCTTAACCTCAACTATTTTAGCCTGCTCACCAGGGGCATGTGTTTTGCTCATAATGGTGAGGCTTGAGACGTGGGCTACTGTACGGACAGCAGCAGAACACACTAGGGGCATACCAAACAGACCAAGGCCCAAGGAGAAGAACCCTATAAGCAGTAGATCTAAGTGGTACCCCGAGCCCTTCCTTAGTTTACGCTCTTTCTTGTTGACTATGACTCTGTAAGAATGAAATAAAATAATTCAAATGGGTATTTGCTCTTCAATACAGGGTGAACTAATTTTTGAATACCTTTTTTATTTAATGTAAAAAAGTGATAATTTTTTTGATGTTTGAAATATATCAACAAATGTAAAGAAAAGGATTATGATGACATTGACTATGTATACAAATTTAGCTTTTATCAATCAATTTTGCTAGATTATTTTTATACAAAAATACTAATTTCACAAAATAAAACAATGTTCAGGTGAAGCTAACAGACTTTTTTCTCATTTTCTCAAAATAGAGAATATGAACAATGACTCAAAACTTCTACATTTAATGTCATGGTCTTTCTAGAGATCACGCAAACTCTTTCTGAAAGTATCATGAGAACCTAAGATAAAAACAGCAAAGATAGCACCATAAAAAACTATAATATATTATTTTAACTTACGAGGTAATTTGAATCTCCATGAACATCAGTATAAAAATAAGCAGTGCAGGTATGATGGCAGCAAATATTTGCCACACTTGGAATGGTTGGTTGATCCCCATGGGATTTATAAACCACCCCCTTTTCTTGGGGTCTGTAGGACTCAAACCATCAGGAACGTTTAGCTTCTAAAATTTCAAGAAAGAGAAATTATTTTTGGCTCCATTTCATGTATATTTAATTTGAGAGATAGAAAACCATGTAGATTTTTGGAATTTTTAAAATAATATATGAAACGATATGAACTCTTAAAAAATACCTGAGTATATGTGTCTTGTATAGAATAGTCTACTAGCACCATTATGATAATTGCAATAGGGATTCCGAAATCTCCAACTGCTCTTCTGGCCTGAAACAAAAACATGGATAACATATTTATTGTGGGTACACCACACTGATATTTTGTTATTGTTTATACTTGTATTGTAACATGTGAAACTGATTTGTAGTTGTAGTTTAAAATTTTGTTCACTGTTACGTGACTGATATGTCATTTATATGACATGATCATTGAGTCAATAAAAGAAATATATATACAGAAACACAAATAACATACATCTTAAAAAACTTTATATCCCTGAAGCCTATTGCATACTTATGACTTTGTAAATCCCTTTTTATTACTTTATCATTCAAGTTGAAATTGAAATCAATGTATCAATTACTCACATTTCGCCCTAAAAACTTGCTGTTCCTGAACTGCTTTAGAAAATAGGCGATAAAAAATGTCCCAAATGTCAATATGACAGATAGCAATGCTGTATTGGGCTGGCCCGTGGTATAGTCATATTCCTCACGGGGGTTAGGGAAAGAGGCATTGCCATCTAATGTGTAGTTATCCATCGTGAGGTTATTTGCCAATGTAGAGTTTAACTCTGGGAAGATTGGCGGTGGTGGGTAGTGCGCTGCTAAGGGGTGTTTGATGAATATCTAAATACAACCATATAGAGTTGTTTTAAGTGAAAGGCACATTAAGTCAAATTAAAAGTTTTGTTGCAATTTGTTTTTGCTACAACATCACATTAAATTTTCTGTTTCCTTACTTTTTAATTGAATGATTATTTTCACTGAAATACCTCAAATCTATTCAAAATAAATTTTTTAAATCCATGATTCAAGATTTTCCATAATGTACATGTATGAGGCAATTACAGCTGACACTGTTTAACTTAATTCTATGTCTTGATTGTCAAGTTTTATGTTGTAGGAATGCAAAGATTGTTAATACTTACAGTTGCAAGTTTTTTGAAGACTTCATATATAAATATGAATGAGATGAGAAGGGCAAAGATCTCCTCTGTGAATCTAGTGACGTAGCGGATGACAAAGCTCCCCTCAAGGGCCACAACTATGATAGACATAAGTGCCACCCAGGCCCCAATCCACACCCTCATAGGCATAAACTCTATGTGGATACTTTTGCAAAACTGTAAGAGAAATTTGGTAGTAAAGCAATGTCAATATAGCGATGACTTGAGATATCAATGTAGAGAAGGAACACAATAATAGAAAATGATGCCACAACCTTTTTTTGTAGTGTTACGAAAATCTTTTATGAGCAAGTTATAATGTTGTTGTCTAATACATTTCTATGTTTGCTTTCTACAATGTTAAATTACATTTTTTTCTAATACCTTTAACATACAGCATCAATTTGAGTAGCATTAGTATATATGCATGCAGATACCAAACCTAGAGTTGACCAAACCATTGGATGGAAATCGAAAACATGTTTAAATAGGGATTAACTATTCAGCATGACAAATGTCACAATTTGTTACAAAGGCCAAATGCAGACAATGAACACCAACACAGGTGGCAATAACAATATATCACAGCTTCTTGATTTTGACTTCCATCCAATGGTGTAGTCATTTTAGATGTTTAACATATTAAACACTTGAATGCAACAAGGGGGCAAAGGTCATCACAATCATACCCCTAGCAGACCCTGGGGTACATTACCAGAACATTCTTTAAGCAATAGAAATTCCTAAATCAACTGTTGTAACCATGGAAATTATGATAGAGAACAAAGACTCAGGAATTCTTAACTTATAAATTCTTCTGTTTGTGTACCCATACATTTTTCAGCACATACAATGGCATTTAGTACATGCATGCGAGCACTCACACAGCGAAGCATTTGGAGCAATGTTATTGGTATCAGGTAACAAGGAAGCCATGCAGGTAAAAATGGTTTGATTTTACAGTTAAGTCTATGTTGGAAAGTGGTGAAAAGTATTTTCCTCTGTGTGCATCATGTCGTTATGGAGTTGTTAGTGTGAGCACTGTATTCACCTGTTGACTTGGACCATGAAATCCTATATAATGTTAAGAATATGAATTCACGCCACAAAATTAGTATAGTAGGGAAAGTTAATGGGGCTTAAGTCTCAAAATGGTTTGGTTGTAAAGCTATTATTGTTAGCTCAGGGAATGATCATGCCATTAAGAAGGTCCATGGTTAACCCTGAAATTCTGAAAAGCATGCAATGGATTTGCAAAAATAGACATAAACATTGTATTGTCACTATGCAACAAGTACAATAGAGTACACATACATGCAAGAATAAAGAAAGCAAATGATGCTACCATTAAATGTTATTTTCGTTTTGTTAATATTATGTCCATAGTCATTTTTGTTCATTAAAGAAACAGTTTTTTGATGACATATTATGTCCATAGTCCTTTTTGTTCATTAAAGAAACATTTTTTTGATGACATGTGATGGTCAACATGCACATGTGCAATAGTCAAAAATTGGATTGCTTAAAATTGTTGATTACTGATTCATTTAATCTTTATTGTGAAAAATGACTATACTTGGAATTTCTGGTGGAGAAACTTGAAAAACAGCATGTAGTAGCAAATCCCACCGAACAAAACATATTTTAACAATTTACTTGTTGTTTTAAACATTTCAAATAAAAATAACCAGGCAGTATATAATTGTCACTTTTTGGCAAAATCTACATATTCAATGATGTGACATGACATAATGTTAGAAATGTCTTTGCAGGTTCTTTGTCTAAAATGCATCGACCTAAATTCATTCTTGAGCAAAGTTCTACACTAATATGTGTAAGGCATTAGCACATAAATTCTAAAATGAAATCTGTTAACTGATGATTACATATTTTCAATGAAAAAAGATGGCCATTATTAACTGAAGCACCCATACTCAGGCCATGTTTATTCATACTTTGTTCGGTGGGATAAAAAGACACACTTTAAAGCCAGCATATGTAAATTTATGTAGAGAAACACAAAGATAACTAGTCTCAGATAGGATAAATTTCAATTAAAAACTCCAGATGAAATATGACCTAGATTTGGCCTTTAACCTTCAAAATCTAGAGACAACTGAGACTTATGTATGGTATAATATTGTTCTGATTGTAACATCTGCATAAAACATTGAAAATTCTCCCTTTCACCTTTAGCATAACACAGAGGGCCAAAGGATTGTAGATAAAGAATCCAGGAAAAAGCTGTTTTTGTGAAAAAGATGCTTCAAGTTATTTAAGAAAACAAAAATACTAAAGAAAAAGACAAAAATAGATTTTCAATCTTGAGTCTAATAAATAAAATAAAATTATAATAGACATCTACGCTGAATCTACATATAGTAGAGGTATAATACAGTAAAATCTTACACTGTATAAGCCCTCTTCAAATACCAGAATTGGCCCTGTTGATCCCAGAATGACCAGTGGTTGGCCACTCAACAATGAAAAAATAATTCCACAGCCTGCTGAGCCAATCAGCATCTCTCCTGCACCCATCCAGTTATTGGTGATTTCACCTAGAATGGATTGAATCCAAAGAGACGTGTACATTCTCATGAAATATAATTTTGCATGAGTATACATTGGATACGTCCAAAGTGTATGTGTTTGATACCATGGCTCTAGTCAGAAAAATTGCTTGCAAGTTCAATATGTGTTCACCTGATTCAGTATATATTAAACTGTTTTCATTTTATCAAAACCTTTATTTTGATTACTTTTCGATATGATTTGGTTCCTTTTTCATTTCACGTCTGAACAGAAACTTTGTCATTAGGTTAAATGAAAAATGAAAAAATGTTTATATGTATCAAACCAATCTGAATACTGAATAACATGTTTAGGATTCAGTATGGTTTGAACAAGGCTGAATTGGTTACAACAAAATTGAAGCTGCAGTGCTTGAAACCAAAACAAACTGAATTCCAAAGAGAACGAAATAATGGTTACTAAAGGCACACTTCAAACTGTAGGTAGTCAAATTTAAAAGGAGCCAACATAAATGAAATGTGAAGATACACTCAATGAAAGAGGAGAATAAGATGCCTGGAGATATAGAGGTTATTTAATGGGAGGGATGACATATATAGAGGTTATTTAATGGGAGGGATGGATTATATAGAGGTTATTTAATTGAAGGGCTGTCACCCTCGGTCAATATGATATTTTCCTTGGTCAATATCATATTTCCTTGAGGAGAAGTTCATATTCCATCATAACCATCAATAACCTATTTATTCCATAATGTTTTTCTTAAACTTGTCAAGCGACATTTTCAACTTTTAAAATAGAAATTATTTATAATACTAATATGGATCATACAATGCCATAATAACACAATATTAAGTCTCATGAAATTTTCTGATAGTTCTGATATGGGATCTGATATGGAATTTTGGCTGATACGGGATCCAATACGGGATCTGATACAGGATTTTGGCTGGTTTTGGCTGATTTTATTCCCAGTTTATTTCCCAGGGAAAATATGTTATTATGGAATAAAATAGATTGTTCTATATCTACAGACATATTACAATTTCAGCTCCTCCACTAAAAGTACAATTGCTCCACCCACCAGTCAAGAATGATGAGGGAAATATCATAAGCATTCAAAATGTGCATGCATAGTGGAAAACATAGTAGTTGTTCAAAAATGATTCTAATGAGGATTTAATACAGAATTGGAAAGTGATGTTTTCAAGCTCGCTTAAAAATGCAGTCATATCTCAAAATAACAATTCAGTGTAATTTCAGATATATTTTTGAATCATGTTTTCATTTTTCCTATAAAACAGATAATGATATAAGATCTGACTGCACGGTTTATCTTTTCCCCAAAACCATGCACATTCTTGATTACTAGTATGTAAATGAGGTGAGAGATGATTAAACCAAACAAAATGAATTAAAAAGTTAAAAATAAGTAAGCACATATAATTCCAATGAACATCTGCAATGGTTAATTAATTCAAAGGCTGGAATAGAATTGAATAGAATGGTTCACCAGAAGTGGAACTTTGCAGAATTCAGAACATCACCTCTAAGATGTACATGCAATAATATATAATCATTTATATGGCTGTACCAAATACTTCCATAATCTTAAAGTATGCCATGTACATTGTACATACTATATATTGAAAGGCCTGATAGTCCATGATATCAAGAAGTTTGTGACTGTTTCTTGATCAGCTCAGTATTTACATTTAAAGGTATTTTCATTAACAGTAGAACCCATATATCTGAACAACTCTCTAATCTTAACACCTTTCAATATGAATAATTTTTCTTGGTCCAAATTTTGCTATCACCCTTTGACTCACATATTGAAATGTGAACAAATGCTAATCATGTTTGGTGTTCAGATTAGATAAGTTCTACTGTACAGCAAATTATTGATAAAAACATGAATATGAAAGTTCTGAATTTGAGAGGCAAATTTCTACTCCTGGTTCTGATCAAAAATCAATTCTTCCAACAAATATCAAACAATCTGTACAGACGTAGTTACTACAATATAATTATGTTATTACACGATACAATCACCCTGAAAAGAAACAAGAATGTGAGAATATTAATTGTTGATCACACATAATATACAGCATGTTATACAATACATGAATCTCAACACAGGAAAACTGGTCTTATCACAAAAATTACAAGTGTGCTTCAGAGCCAAAAATGTGCCCAAGAGTAAGAGGGAAAATTTGCTAAATTCAAATCCGTCTTTTTGGTCTATATCTGCAAGAAAATATTGTTAAAGACATAAGCCACAGCTCATTTGAAAGGTCTCTTTGTCCTTTTTAAGATACAAAACATCAAACATCAAAAATATTGAAATAATCTGTGATAAGACCCCTATTCCTGTGCCCTAGCTCATATGGCTTTTATTAAATAACACGTCATTCTAACATCTTAGAGGCCTTAATATAAAGAAGATTTAATCAGTTAAAGGGATATAGATAAGGATGTAGTGGGGGGGGGGGTATTATTATCAAACATGTGATCGAGAGGGTGGTTACAAATACCACAGTTTTAATAATTTATAAGTAATGGGTATATATTTAGTTAGTAGCGCAAAAGCATTCATTCATACTTAACATACACACAAAGAGATATGAGAATAAACAGTGTGGTATGGCTCATTTTCTAATTATAGGTAGAGCTGAAGAGGTTAAGAATGTTAAGTTTGATAGCAGTCACACATACATACAATGCAAAGCCCCTGCCCCCTTGTTGCGCAAGCATACGGTATATACCACCTGTTACATGGCTTACTTTATATATGGCAACCTCAAAAACAATAGTGGGACCAGTTGCTCCTATAACTACTAAAGGTTGGCCAGAAAATGCAGCAAAGACTAGACCCCCCAGAGCACTGGCCAGCATTGTCTCAGTGACACCCATCAGATTGTCCATCTTTTCTCCTGTAATGCATTGGGAAGCCACAAGCATAAAGAAACCTGGATTTGACACCTTAAAGGGGAAAGGCGTTCAACAAAAGACTAATGTTAGGTAACAGCAACTCTGAGGTGTAGCAAATCCTATCGGAGAGCCATAAAAATGGCTGCAATTTTTGGAAATGGCCACCAATTAGCAAACTGTCACTAGGCAGTGTAATGTGCTTCTATTTCACATCTGAATATTAGCAAAACTGCTCCACTTCTTTTCAAGTTATAGTAAACACATAGAATGACGCATAAAAATGGCTGCCATTTATTAAAATTGCCGCCTACTAGATAAACTGTCATGAGAAAGCGTAAATGCTTCTTAGCATTCCCAAATAAAATTTCAACAACATCGCTATGCTACTTTTCCAGTTAAAGCATTTGCATTTAATACATTAAAATTACAGTTTTATATGTTTGAACTAAAATACTTAAAATTGGTGGCCATTTTGAAATCAACAGCCATTTCCAAAACTGGCTTTTGAGTAGAACTTGTACTCACATGTATAAAATACAAAAGATATTGGGCCACTGGTATCTGAGTATTACCTGCACAGGGTGAAAATTATATTTTTCAAAACCATGAAAAACATATATAAAGGATTGTCTCCCATATCCTGTATATGCCGTCCTATAGATGATTTTTGAATTGATTTTGAATTGATTTTCTCATTTTCCCCAACTTTTCCCTCTTTTCAGCACATTTTGCACATTTTCATTTTCAAGTGGAGTACTTCGCAAAGCTAGAAAAATGTTAGTAAAAAGAGTGAAAATATTCAGTGTTTGAGAGTTTTTACTTTTGCAAATATCTATCTATGCTTCAGTAGTTAGTCCAAAGCGTGCTCAAAGATCTATGTGTATTTCTTTAATTTATCACAAATGAATAACTTTTTGTTTAAGTATATCAATTATACATGTATTGCCAAAAAAGGGCAACTCTAACTGCTCAAACTTTTCCTCGAAGAAAAGTCCTTTATACTCCAATATGAAGCTTTTACCTTTTCCAGGTCTGTCTGGCAATAGCCAGTTTGTATATATCTAAAGGTAGAACAGTCTGGAGTTTCTGGGATTATAATGCAATGATTAGTACATGAATATGGTTTGGGGGGGTTTGTGGTCACATACTACCCTCTGCACTTTCTGAATGTTCCTTTGAGACATTTAAAATGATCATAATAATTAATTCATAATACTCCACCCTCCATATAATCTCCTTCAGTTTGGCACACTCGTCTTGCTTCAAGACCCTTAACCCCCCCTCCACCCTCATCTACTTTACTTGTTTAAGTAGAAAGTGGGGGGGGGTCTTGAGTCAAGACTATGACCCACCAAATGTACCTAAATAAAAAATATAGAATTCTTATTAGTAATATATTCATTGCCTCTCTCAGTGGCACTTTAAAAAGATAAGGTTGTAGAAAATCAGGTTGCAAATCAAATTTCAGAACATTTCATGTCAGGCAGATTTGAAGTTTATGAATGAATCATGCATGGAAAATGACACAAAGCAGTGACTAAGTATGTAAGATGCATGCTTTAAGTGATAGATGAGCTTGGAAAATAACTATTTTTCATAGAATTTCATATGGACTGCACCTGTGTAACTGCTACATAATACATGAAGGCCAGACAATTTCAATTCTGATTCTAATGTTACAATGAATAAAAAATTGAAAAATTATAGTTTTTATTTTTTTAATAGTGCCCTTTGTTAACAAATGATTCCATATACTCAGAAAGAAGACCAGGATGAATATAAATCATTTAAAGAGAAAACTAAAATGATTATTAAACGTATTAACTTACCAAGCAAACCACCAAAGGTAATTGCAGGTGCCAAACACGCAAAGTAAATGAAGATAAAAGATGCAAAACATTGGAAGTTCAGTCCATCTTTAATGTCACTTAAATAATGAGGATAACGTCTCTTTATATCATTCACTAGACCTCCAAACAACTTCCCTGTTCTCTTGAGAGGGTCTACTGGGATGCCACCCTTATCTATCACTAATCCTGGAAAATGAAAGGTGCATGATTACATGATAGGTTTTTATTTGATCGTTAAACCAAGCAACACTACTTTACGAACATTTACAGTGTATAAAACCAAAAGAAAAATACAAATTTGACACAAGATTTGAAATGATTAAGATCAACATTTCACAATCTATGATTCTGAATCTCGTAATTTGTTTTGATTAAAGTCTGTAAACCTTTTTGAAACTTAATATAAGCTTTTACTTTACCTGCTTTTTCTTCAGCTTTCTTTGCTTTTTTCCTTCTTCTTAGATTTTTCTTTGCCATGTCCATAATTGGCATGAGTGTTTTCTTGTCCCAGTCACCAGGTGGCAGGACCATAGAGTCATCTAAAAACTCGTTTATGGCACTTAAAAGTTCAGATCGCTCTTCAGCTTTGTACGCTGTTTCATGGAAAACCTGGAAAAAATTGTCAGAATCAAAAGTTACATATGCAGACTTTTTCAACGATTATCTACAAAATGTTTTCCTTAGGAAATAAGGAAGGCTGAACTGGAGTGTCAATGTAATAAATATGTTAAAGCATAGGCTTTCAAGAGCTCTTGAAAGCCCATGGTAAAAGGAGTAAATAGTAAAAAAATAAATCTGTGGAGGATTACTAAATGCATTCTTTATTTTTTGAGTTCATTATTCTTGATTTGCACCAACTGGAAAATGAGAAAATTGAATCATGAGTAACTTTTACCTCACTTATTGTAGAGTGAAACGGGAGCATACTACCAAATGATAGGATATCCATTGCTACAACAGTAGAACGAATACTTGCAGAAAGTTAAGTTACATTTTCTTACCTCATTTGACATGAGTGTTGAAATAGACCGACCAATCTCGTGGTAATCCATATTAGCTGTAGGTGGCCCCAACAGGAGGAAAATAAACCGAACAGGAAGTGGAACCTCCGTCAAATTCCGCAACTGCCGTCCCTGAGAAAGTCGCACAAATGCCATGGTGGGTTTTTCCAAAAAGTCTACAGTACCTACTAACACAGTAGTAGCTTCCGCTCCTTTAGGTATACGTTTAAGAATATCTGATTCATCACTTTTAATTTTTTTCACCTTAGACTTTTCATCCTCCTAAAAAGCAAAACAGCATTATCAAGTTTTTCTAAATCGAATATTGAGCTAATACAATTTGTAATGCAACTACCAAGGTACCAGTAGTTAATTACCAATTTAACCACCAGGTGGCTAATTTCGGTCAAATGACATGGCAGGTATAGGAAAAAGTTCCTCTAAACTTCAATATTTATTCAATAGGTTTATTAAATAAATTTGACAATCATACAACTGAAAATATCTCCAATAAAAGAAAATGTTATCTGTCTAATACAAAAAGGTATTTCACTTTTCATGGTTCAAAAACATGGACTCTATGGGAATCTACCCAACTTAGAAAACTAAAATTTCAAAGTTGATGAGCAATATTTAAAACCCCATTTATAGATCAATTTTACATGTAGATTTCAAATATTATATCACCTCAACTAAATTTTGAATATTTAATGACAAAATTCAAAATAATTTCTTCTGGCATTTAGTCTATTGTATACACATATCATATAGTAACAAAGCAGAATGTAAAGCTTTAGCTTGGATACTTTAGCTTCAATTGGCTACAACCAGTGTAATGTAATAGATATAATGGTTTATAAATCTAAAAATGGACAATTGCAGTTTAAGCAAAATCATTGTGATCATGGACCTTTGATTAAGTCAATCATTTAATTTAGCAAAGCTTTCTCAGTGACCAAGATAAAAGTTAGCCTTTAGGTGTCATCTCATGTTTTGCAATATATTCTACATGAGCAATTTTGTAACAGGAACAAGGGGGATAGAAATATTAATGAATATGGATATTTCTGCCTTTTTATGCTCAATAACATCAATGTTTGTTTGGATATCTCAATCTCTTTTCCAGAAAATAAATTTAAGATCGTAGGGAAATCATTGGCATGATTTTTGGAAAACATTGCTTCTAGAAATTTTTCACTTTAAAAAGCTAATTCATTTAAGTGAGTGGGTGTTCAATGGCAGATACATTAATCTATGCTATTAATATCATTTCCAAAAAAGACTAGGGCAGGTGCAGAATGGAATTTTTGTCCAATTTTATATTTGAAAACAGATTTGTAACTGCCTCATGTTCTGATATTTTTAGAATTCATCATTTTTCATGAAGAACATTCTCCAACTCGCTAACTCACTCACTTTCAAGTCTAGTTTCATTAACAAGAGTAGATGGGTGGTTTGGCAGTTAACAAACTGAGTTACATGTAGAATTTTGAAACTTTTGAGATGACACCTATGTGTTAGTTATGTAAGCACTTAACCATATTATTGTCAATATCTACACGAATTTTGTCAGGCTCTGTATGCACAGAGAATGAAACATGCGTGCCGTCCCCCTCGCTAAGCGTTCGCACCGGTGGTGCCCTCTGTGTGTTTAAAATCAGGGCATCTGCAATTCCGTCTGTTGAGTCATTCGCCAGTGATTCAATTTTATCCATACTCGAGGCCTTCTTCACATTGTGGGCCATGTTATCTATGACTAGCTCCTCTTGAGTGTGACCCCTACAAAAACATAGAAAAAAGATGTTATGATTTAATCACAGTATTTCTGTTTTTGTAAACAGAGTGTATTTTGGAGTAGTTTTTACCCGATACAACATTTATATTTCAGGGGTTTCATAAGAAGTTCTTCTCTCAAAAAGTTTCAATTTTAAAACGTTTTGCCCATTCAAATGAAACTCCTGTATTTTATTTATAATTCTGACAATGTTCTTGGTTAGTGTCCTCATTCAATATTACAATTTATGTCACAAAGGAAAGAAACTGAAAAAACAAATGTAAAATCAAAAGAAATTAATCAATTAACTGTTACAGATAGAAAGAACAAGTGTCGTAAAACTCAAAATAAATTACAAGAAAGGGAATCCAATAAATGAAGTCTCATGTGAGTAAAACAGTTCAACCCAACACCTTCATGATGTAGGACAACATACTAAATGAAAAGATTCAATACACAAAGACTTCAAGTTAATACATAACAAAATGTCTCACCAAACAACATATACACCTTTACCCGAGTTTTATGAATTTTATGCATTTTATTCTTAAAATCTTTGATCTGCGTTTGAATCTTTTCCCATTTGTGTAAGATTTCCATAAAGTGGGAGCTCTACAAAGTGACCTTAACTAAAGCCAACAAAGCATTTTTACCTAATATTAAAGAACTTACACACTACCGCAAGTTTATCATTTTTAATTTACTCCGTAACATTATAACATTTCCTTGTATTAATATAACCACAGTAAAATTAGGCAAATTAAGATTTTTTTTAATTTTTATTCATTTAAGAAGCCATTTGGAAGGAGCAAGCTGAAAGTAACAGGCTTTTATATACAATCTATATCACAGATTCATAATTACGCATTATTGATAATTAAAAGAATTTAACTTGCATTTAAATGCAAAAGAATAGATCTTGCAAAATCTTGCATAAAAGGGCTCATATTTCCAATCTAAGCCCATGCTCTCAAAATTTCAACATGGCAATGTCAAACACAAAACACATGGCAATGCAAAGATATATTGGAGCTTTGGTACTACATTTCCATGCTAAGAACAGTAGTAGGCTGCATGAGTGTTGGTTGAGAAGGGAGATTGATATTGTTTAATTGCCTACAAGACCATTTGACCTCCCTCTTGAGACAGTACATCGTGAGAAATCAGTCTCAAAGAACTGCTTTTACAATTGGTTTTGAAGTTACATGACTAGAAACTGCCCAAAATGGCTGACATATCAAATAGGTTTTTGAATTTGTCAAAAAAGAAACTTATTTGCTTCACATAATTTTTTTCACAGATGAAGTCTGATTAAATGAACATAGCCCATGAATGAAAAATGGACCAGGAATGAAACAACCAATAATCAAAATATTCTTGTATTGAAAATAAAAACATCTAAATGTATGAATTGCTGCTTTATATTGATGAAAAATGAATACCACGCCGATCACAGAACCCATACATATTCTTTTTTATGTTCTAATTACTACCAGGAATTTCTTAAATAATCTTAATAAAAGCACTTGCCATTACTTTCAAACTCATTCAAAGGTACAAATCCTAGAAGTTCTGAAAATTCTACAAAGCATCTCATCTTGGAGCATTTAAAAGCAACAGATAATCTCCATCCCTGATCAACCCCCAAACAGCCTACAACTCTGTTTGTTAAGTTTTAAAGTTCACCCATTCTACCTCGGCCAGTGTAAATGTGCCCAACTTGACCACCCGTGGCTAGAAATATATACATTTATACAGTAATAAGTAGGAGAATTACGACAAAATATCAGGAACTGTTATTGCATGTAAACTTACATTGTACATAATGCCAGGTGAAAACATGCAGAAAAACCTGTATTTGTGACATTATCCTAAATGCTATCGACTCCCGTGTTATGACCTATGAATGTGAAAACTTAAAAATGAGATCACTTTTGGCTGGTTTAGCAGTACATGTATGTGTTAACTTTAGAAAGGTAAACTTGATATTTCACTCATTACACCAGATTTCCCACAGTTGATTATACAACTTGTACCCTTACACCAATGCTATTGACTCCCGTGTTACCTGGCCTATGAATGTGAAAACTTAAAACGAGATCACGTTTGGCAGTGGTTCAGCAGTATGTGTTAACTTTAGGAAGGTAAACTTGATATTTCACTCATTACACCAACTTGTACCCTTACACCATGGTAATAGGTTATTTCTCATGTCAATGTTAACATTCTGATGACACGGTTACAATTAAGAGAGTAGAGTTAGACATTTTCTATCATTCCTGTTCTAAACCTTTCCTTATGTTTCAGAGTTGAAAACCACAGGACCTTTCCACTAGGTTTCTTTTGTTTCAATAATTTTAAGTCTTAAGACTCAATGGAAAGTTCCAATATAAGCTTTTAACAGGTTTTTAACTCTAAACGATTATTTCAGTTAAAATGACATTCACACCTCTAAGCTATCTCTTATGACTGGTGTTTATGTACCTTCAATGAAGTCCTACATGAAGTTAGTAGATGCTGATTCCAAGTTTTGTATTAATTGATAAAATGTGAAATCCTAAATAAAATTGCTGTAAATGTAAAAAATGTAGAAGAGGGGTTTGGTAAGCACAGTACATATATCATAGGTTGTGCCAATTTTATAAATACATGTAAATAAATAAAATAAATATATTAAGTTACAAGAGAGAGAGAGAGGCTATTGGACTTTCATGATTATTTCAATTCATGGAAGTATACTGTAAAATGTGTAACAAAAATGGCTGGCAATGTAACATTTGCAGTGTACATGTACATGTATAGACCAATAGGACTGTAACATCACAAAGGAAGAAGTATAACACAAAAGTACAGTAACACAACAGTTCTATGCTGCAAACATCATACAGGGACATAGGGTGTCCAAAAAGTCTCTCTACAATACAAAGTCTTACCTTTGTAAAGAAACTTTATAGACATCCTGTATATGTAACTCCACTACCACAAGGAAACACACAAGGATTTTGTTCTATGAATGTGATAAACACTTGTTATCAATTCAAATATACTCCATCTCGGAAGATGCATGGATTTGTATCAACTCAACATGTTAATAAATTAAAACTCTAAAATATATTTGAATTGATAACAAGGATTTTGAGTTACATATAGCAAACTTTGCCATACTTGGGGAATCTCAAAACAAAACATCACTAAACCAGACTATTTTTACTTAAATGACACAAACAATTTATTAAGGCAGGTCTGGTACGTCACAACCAATCTATTAAGGCAGGCCTGCTAGAATGAAGTTTGGTCATTTTGTGCATGACATCAGTGCAATTTCTTGACTGTGGCTAAATTTGAATTTGTGACTATTGAACTGTTGCATAATGACATTACAATGATTACAATGCTAAATGTCATTATTTGTGATTGGCGAGCATCGTGCTGAATAAAGTGAACAATTTTCCAAACATTTTGATAATCAAAAATAAAGATATATAAATAGAATAACACTTTAGAGCTTTTCATGATTAGAAAAATTGGTACTTGCCCCACCCAACCCCTACCTCTGTGTTGCTATAGCAACCATAACATTAAAGTAAGATACAGAAACTTCAGGATATAACAGATAACACTTCAAGTGCAATATACAGAAAATTCCAGCTGAATTGACGAATATTAAAGAAAGTTAGAGCATATAGTGCACTACTTCCAGGACAACCCTCGTATATTATTTTACCAGTACCTTAATTTATATGACATGACAGGTATATTGGACTCTCTTCCCATAGTGCCTAAATAATATTTTCATGAGTCAGCTTAAAGGCAGAATCAGCTCTATAGAGGGTGACAAAATTACAAGCAACGTGCATAATTGACCTACCAATCTATTCCTTACAATATCAAATACAATATCTCCCAAAAGATTCACAATATGTTATAAATTGGTGAAGTTATTAATGATTCAAAGTGCAAAAATGGGTGAAAAATGTTTAAATTCTCCCAAATAATAAGAATGGTAACCATTCTTATAGAAAAATAATACATTATTGTAAAAATCTTTTGTTTTCCTTGAATAAAGTATGCACTTTTGTGATTTTTATAAAATAGACATGACAAGGAATGACATGAGCCAAAAATATTCTAAAATTGAAACAATTTTGTGTTTAGCCTGCTCGCTATCTCTGATTCTCTCTTTAAGCAAAACAGGATTGTTGCGTCACTTAAGTAAAAATGTAGCACATATGTTAAAAGACAGCACACAGCAGAATCCTTATCAATAGCCCAGATGCAGCAACTTACATATCAGTATCAAATTGAGCATAGGTGTTAATACAAAATTATAAATGTACAAAAATTCAGGCATTAGAATTCTTGTGGTTTTTCACTCAATCCCACTTGATTCTTCATTTTGTGATCACGTTCATAAATCTGACTGTTATGAGTTAGTAAGGGTAAGAAAGTTTGCAGCTTGATTCATGGTGAAGAGATGAGCATTAAATACCTCAAACTGAATCTCCGCATAGTGTGCATGACAGTAGACCTAATTGCGTGTAAGATCAACCAAATAAAACATGTTAATAACATTACATAAAGCAACCATTGCAAGTACATATACAGCACAAGCAATGAGACAACTAAATATGTGCAGATAAATTGGTTTTATCTCAAAGGCCGCTACAATCAGGGTTCCTACAGTCAGGAGAAAATGATGGTTTTGCCGAAATTGTTTCCCCAAAATTGCTAAGATATATTTTGGAATTGAAAAATTGAGGTAATGTGGTTGATGATTATTCGTGAAAATAAGTATGAGTATAACGCTGAATCTAATCTATGTTTCATGAATGCAGATCAGAAATGCAAAAACATCATTGTGGGCTAGAAAAAATAAAATGGTTGCTCGGGTATTTCCATGGAAATAAGGAAATTTTATTGTTAAAAATCTGTAGGAGCCTTGTATATACAAGTAAACATAAAAATTATTTTATTTATATGTTTGGCCTATATCTGAAGTAAAAGATCTGGATATTTTAAGTAATATCTGAATTTTAACATGAGAAATTTTCTTAATGTTAAATGACAAGCATGCAAACATACAGCAAAATACAAAAATTTAAAGGGCCAATTGCTGTAATGCACATCCTTAATACTTCTGACACTAAAGACTATATGAAAATATTAAAGTTTAAAAAAGTATTTTCCTTTTAGGCAGTACAAGAAATTCTAAATTGAAACATATACTTGCACCTTTTTCAATTTTAAAACACAATTAAATCAATTTCTATAAATGTTTCCAAGCCTCAAAAATTACAGAAATGAAAGTTTATGTCCTAGTTTGTTAATTGTGTAAGTCTCGTACATATCAATATGAATTCAAAATATGGTATGGTTATTTGGGATGAGAATTACAGCTATTAGCCCTTTAATAATATAATACTACTAAAATACAAAATATTCTTAGAGCATCCCAAAATAATCTGTATTGAAACATTATTTTTGAAAAGCATGCAAACAAACATACAGTGATAATGTAAAAGTACAACTTAAAGCAACTAAGTTTCACAAAACAATCTCAATTGAAGAATTATTTTCTGATGTCTCATATAAAAAGTCATCTCATGAGTTCCTCTATATTCTACAAATAATCACTTTTGTTAAGCAACAGCCCATTTTGTTAACTTAGCAAACGTTTTTAAGTATAACTTTTGAGACAATGATTAATACTGAAAATGAGAGAATGTATAAGAAAACAACAAATGGTCAATTTTGACCATTAAGTCTTGAAATATTTATTTGTGCAATCACACATTGGCCAAAAGCAAACTTAATCTTTCACAAAGGAACCAATGTGTGAATGCATGTAACAATTCTAGGCAAGTATTTTATTTCAAAAATAACCTGTAAATGCATCAAGTTTGAATAAAGAAGCATCCATTCATATTAAGTTAAGAGAAGAGTTCTAGCATAGTGTAGAAGAATAAAAGAGTTATTCTCTCAAGAATTATTACAAAACAACAAAAGTCAATGTTAAAATAGTTTGAGCAATACACAGGAACAACAGAGTACTGCAGAGTCTAGTATTATAATCTACAAAGTAAATAAATACATCCTTTAGAATAAAGTGAAGTTTTTCTAACTATAAAATTGTACTGTCTAACATTACATAAGAGATCTAATTAGAAAGACCCAGCTACCATAAAGCAATATGTACCTTCTACGACTCCAGCGCTTATACATTTCACTAAAAAACACATGCAACACCAAATAAACAACAAAACAAAAACATAATTCATACAACATTCATTGTACAGTCCAAAGCAGGGAACCCAAAAATAGCCCCACAAAAAGTTAACAGATCTTTAGTTCAATGAACCGAGGGACTGCTAAGTTGAGCTATTTTTGGCATTCTGTGATAAAAGGATTATGGACAACGTAATATTTGTTAGGAAATCAGGTCAAAAATGAGAATTGTCCCTACAAGGAACTACTATATAGATTTATATTTTTGACCCAATCCCAACAAATTCACAATCATAAAACATTGTAGTGGGTATAATAAATTGGGAAAAAGCAATTGACATTAATTTACAAAATAATAATTTTAAAAACAAACAAAATATGTGACACCCAAAATACTTATATGTAGTATAAAACATGCATATAATATGAAATCATAATGTAAATAAAAGAGCAACCCATGGAGGAGCAAATCCCAATGAACAACAAGTTGCTATTTCCAAAGAATTCCACAATAATTGAATATTATGGGGACATGAAATGCCGGAAGGCGATTTGCCCCAACGCTGTCTTTCATTGTATATATGTTTGTATTTATGAAATAAACCTATTGATGCAAAGTAGGAACAAATAAATCATAGAGAATATTACAAATGTGATTTATTTAAAATTCAAACACTTGGCTGCAAGTGTTTGAATTTTATATAGCTTCTATTTTGGATATGATAAATAATGTATGTTGAATGAATACCATTACATACATATGTAAATGCTACAGAATGAAATACACAAATAAATGATAAATATATAAATCAAGGAACATCGCAAATACACATTCCTTAACCGTTTTTAGAATGATCATTTTGAAAAAATACATGTCAACGAATAGATTTTGTCACCTAAAAGTTGACTCTATCCCCATTAAACTTTGTTCATTGGGATAATAAGTTAATACTGGATAAAATTAATAAAACGTAAGCTTCATGCTTTTACAGCCAAAATAAAGCAACTTGTTTCAACAACACATTATTGTCATATTTGATGGTGGTCAACGAATAACCAGATTTGACTTTGATTATTTTGGAAAAAAGGTCTCTTTCAGTAACTTGACACCTTTTCTGTTTTTGACCAGTTGTCTAATCCTCTCGCATACCAAGAGCACCAAGAAAACTAGTCGCTGAATTTTTCACCAAAATGGGTTTCACTCTCCCAATATCTATCATATTTAGACATCATGTTAGGTTTTAATATGTGTGCAGTTGGTCTACTTTTACCAAACTGAACGTCACATATTGAATATACAGGGTGGGCCAAAAAAAAGTTCACCCTTTTTCATTTTAATCTAATTTTCTTATTTTTGATGCAATGCCTCTAAAAATTGATATGTATATAGCTCAGACATTTCTGTACATGTTGTTAGGATTTGAGTGAAATTTATGAAACAGTGTTGTCATGACATCTAAAATATATTTATGGTGTGTCATGAAAAAAAAACCAGAAATTCACTTCATTTACAAAATGGAGGATTTCAAAAAAGGAGTGAAATTTGAAAAGAAGTTATCATGGTAAATATAATTTTTATGTCAGTTAATGCAAAATATTACAAAGTAGAGTGTTAATTAAATTGTCAGTGTTGATGATAAACACCTCTTTAAACAATTAAGTACTCTTATAAACAACCGATACTACCATAGATGAGTTGGTCAACAAGTTACTGAAAATCCATGGTTTTATCCAATTTTCCTCATTTTACGTTCACAATATTGATAATAATTTGATGGTTTTATGTAATACACTTATGATATAATTACAAATGAATAAGTTATTAAATTCTACATAATATAATTTGTACAAGATGCCATTTTAATTCTGTTCATGCTTTATAGTGCAGGGAAAAGGGGTACTCAGAGTTGGGAATACTAATACTGGTGATTTTATTCCAAGCTCAGAGTCATTGGGCACCCCTTAAGAGTTGAGTTCAAACTGGGATTAATGAAAATTACTATTGAGAAATGAACTGCAATTCTTTTTCAGTAACTGTCACAGGATATCATGCCTCCCCTATCAGATGAAGATAAGGCTATAATCAAAGTACTGAGAACAGAAAAGAAATATGGGGCAAAGAAAGTCTGTAAGATGTTTCCAAATAAAAATGGCGTCATAGACTAAAACTGGTTGTGCAGGAACAAGGAGGACATATTGAACATTTACTTTAAAAACAAAACAGCCAAAGACACACCTAATGTTATATATCGACCTTGTTTAGAAATGTCTCAGTTATCTACATATCAATTTTTTAAGGGATTGCATCAAAAATAAAAAAATGAGATTAAAATGAAAAAGGGTGAACTTTTTTTTGGCCCACCCTGTAATGGTGGCATACACAAGCAAAAATAAAATACCCAAATATCCAAGAATTTACTGACAAAACATGACCACATTGACATAATGTATATCCCATACCTCTCTTTTATATATGTAATATATAAAATTTGATTATTGTTTAAGATTACTAACCTTTGATCAAGATCCAGTAAGTTCTTATATGAAACATTTCTAGGCAAAAATGCTTTCCTCTCAGCGACGTGTCTATGATAGAAACAAAGATACATTAAATTAAAACTGTCGAATGTAAGATGTACGCCTCATCATAGTATTGCAAAATAAAGAAAACATTTTTTAGGCCAGTTCCAATGGTCTTCCGAATAGACAGGTTTTAAAGTATATTATTTCTTCATTATAAATATCTAATGCATAATGCATTTTTTGATTCTTTAACAGACAAAAAATATGTCTTACTTGTGTTTGAATAACAAAGCCCTCAGCACACTGTCTTTATCTTCTGGTCTTATTGTATGGTTCATTGCCATTCTGTTAACAACCGCTGAGGCTATAGATGGCAGATCTTTGTCTTCCATGTCCAAAATAATAGTACCTGAAATATGCAACATCACAACAATGTATAAATAAAATATGGCTGTCCTTTCAAAAATGTAAATCCAATGGCTATAACCAAGCTTAGAGAAAGAATAGCCAGTAACATACATGATTCTCAAGTAACTGTGTCCACTTATAAATATTTAAACTGAACAGATATACTTAGAAACAGAATGTTCCACTAAAATTAAGATAGATATATTGCACAACAGAACACAGTTTTCGTTCAGTGAAACTTCATTTTTGTGTCAATTTTAGTCACTACACTCCTTGGATAATTTCTCTGTCCATAAAATACATAAACTAGAAAACAGCAACTCCACGGAGTAGCAAATCCCACCAAACAAAAAAATGTTTTAATAAATAGTCGCCATCTTGAAAATTTCAGCTCCCTTGAACCGAAGTTTCAGCATATAAATTTTGAACCAATTCCATTAACTGGTATATGAGTTATCATTTTGAAATTTGGGTGCCATCTTGGAGATTTCTTCTTGGGCAGTCCTCCTTCGTCCCTTGGCATCAAGCATACATAATTTGAACCAAATCCGTCAACTGGTATTTGGGTTATGAAAGATTACATTTTTAACGACAAATGGCGGCCATTTTGATTAAAAGCCGCCATCTTGAAAATTTCTTCTTAAGCAGAGCTCCTTTTATCTCTAGGCATCGGCATATAAAATTTGAAACAAATTTGAGTTATCAAATATTCCATTTTTTACGAAAAATGGCAGCCATTTTGAAATTCAGCTATCATCTTAGACATTTTTTCTCAAACAGAGCTCCTTTGTCTCTAGGCATTGGCATATATAGTTTGAACCAAATCTGTCCACTGGTATTTGAGTTATCAAAGATCATATTTTTTTTACGAAAAATGGCGGCCATTTTGAAATTTGGAAGCCATCTTCTCCCATGCCTCTTAGCATCAGCATATCAAATTTGAACCAAATCCATTCGGTATTTGAGTGATCGTCCGGACAGACGGACAAACGGATGAACAGCTTTCTTATATCCCTCTCGAACTTCGTTCGGTGGGATAAAAATAGTTAAAATACTATTCACCTTCTTCCAGGCATTTCCGTAATTCTAGCAGACTATGAAATGAAAGTGAGGCTACGTGAGGTTTACCCCATCTATTGGCACCCTCCTCTACATCCTCCTCAAACTTGATCCATCTTGCCTTCTCATGCCACTCATAGTCCTGGTTGTCTCCAACTTCAAGCTCTTCTAACTCAACGAACACCTGCAGGTTAACAATACTTTTATTATAAATATGAAACATGGACAGGAGGATAGGTGATGTTCAAATTAAGCATGCCAAGATTACAAGTAGTAGTATATATATATTAATCATACACATACTATACTTATTACTACTTACTAGTACTTATCTCTACGCAAGTTGATTGCATTTAAATATTTCTGTAAGATGCAAAATTTGAAGACCCAAATTTCCTTATTGGTCATTGACTATCCTAAGTATTTAAGCTTGTTTATCAGTGTCTATCATTTGAATTTTAATATTATATTTTGTTGGAACAGGTATATCTCCTGAAGGATATCAAATACATCCTTTTATCTATCCTTGAATCCTTTGTCTTTGGATAGATATAATTCATCTTCTATAAGATATCCTTGATATCCTTAATCTCATTTATCTCATATAATATTGACTTCAATAATATACCTCATGTGGACTATGATCAAACTTCTTCTTTAGAGGAAACAGCTTCTTTGACTCTTGCTTGGCTATTTGAACAATTGAGTACATAGCATTCTTGGGTGCCTTGGGTCGCCTCAGTCCCTTAAGATTCTGGAATCTGTTGCCTTAAATACATCGTCATCATTTCTTTTTATGAATGATATATCACTGTATAGTGTTTATTTATTGGTAATAAGGGGTTGTGGGTTACATTCTCACTGGGGTGGACTGACTGCCACTGGCCCTTAGCAAAGGATTTTATGTGTTTTTTACCTTAGGTTCCATATGATTATAAACAATATTTTCATATTTTTCAACAACCATAAGTGACAGAAAATATCAGGTTTGTGTCAAAATCCTTTGTTGGTGAAAGTGACACTAACATTACCAAATTTTATAATTTGGACTATTTGAGCCTCTTTTAAGGACTACAGATTTAGCGAGTATCTATCTTTCTTTTACATGTGAGATGTAACCCCAAAGAATGGAATGTCAATTACTTATTCAAACACGTAGTATAGTGCTTTAGTTGGTATAGTGATTTAAGTACATAAAGCTATTAAAGTTCAAGATCATGAGCTGGAACTTGGATTTTTGTTCTTCATGACCAACCTTACGTATTCCTCATTAGTACACAGCATCTACATGTACTTACAAGAGGATCTGAATTCTGAATATCATTTATAATGGAATATATCAAAACATACTGGCCATTTCATCAAGATCAGCCCCCTTCAGCATGGATGCTTCATCTTGCTCTGTAGGCACTCTACGTAAGGATTCATTTAACTTAATGTCACTACCACGCCTGCTTCTTCCACTCAGCTGATCATTAACTCTAAGCTGTGGTGTTTTTTTCTTGTAGTATTTACGAGGCTTTTTAATATCAAGTTGGCCAGGTATATCTTCCCCAGAGTCATGGTTGGCATAACTGCAATAATAAAATTGTAAATACAAATTTTTCTTAAATATGAAATATGTTAATGGTTTGAGCCGTAATTCTCATCCTAAATAATCTCAAACTATTTTCGAAATTTTTAATTCATAATATCGAATAGACATTTATGTGTTTTTTTTCAAAGTGACAGTTGTCATATTGCTTATTGATTGGTTATAGGTAAGTAAGGTATCCAAGAGTAGGGTAATTCCAGTCTGAAAGAAATAAAAACTGAAAAATACAAAATAATTTCCAATAAAATATGATAAAAATTGGTATGTTGCTATTCAAGTAATGGATAACAGGTGAAAATGGATAATAAAAAGTGAGGTTCACTGTATTCACACAAAACTTCATTCATTGCGATAGCATATCAGCTGTTTGTGTATAGCCCATGTATATGTATAAAAAATGTTGAATTGAGCTTGTTCAATAGGTGTATGGAAAAATGTTACCTGTAGCCATCTTGCTCCTCATGTCCATCACTCTCTTCTCCATCTTTGCCTAAACCTGCAATGGGAACACAGTAATGATCACTGGGAATTTATACAAGATCACTGAGGATTTATCCAAGAGCACTGGTATTCATTCCAATGTATCCGAAAAAACTGGTAGGGTATCCAAGAGCACTATCGGTGTGTTAAAGAGCAACATGTATGGATCCAAATGTCTCCAAAAGTGCTGATCATGTATCTACTGGGCACTGGTAGTGTATCCAGAAGTAATGGTACGGGAGATTAGGGTGACATTGGTGTGACATACTGAGATAGAGCATAACCTTGGATGTTGTTGCAAATGGTTTCAAATGTGTAAAAAAGTGTTACAGATGACAAATACCGGTCACAAAAATGGTGTCTATAAAAATTTGTTAACGCTTCTTTGTAAAATAAAAAAAACGAATGATATGTAATATTTAGCACAGTATCACATATATATTGGACATGATACTATAATGTTCTGTACAGTATATCTGTAAATCTGTATTAGAAATCACTATTCATATTCATATTGTCCTCATATTGTACAGGGTGGTCAAAGAAACAGCAACCCTAGTTTTTCCTCATATCCTTGTCCTTTAGAGAAATTTCGCACTGATATTTTACACATTTGTACATTTTTTGACCACCTTGTATTTCTTTCTTGTGAATTACCTTTTGTGGTATTAAGACAAAGAGTGTTCATTATATCTCCACCAATAGAATAAAAATACAAATACACCGATAGGATACTAATGTTGTTAATTGAGAAAATCAAAGAAATACTGATTTCTTGGTCAGTTTGTACATCGGAAAATTTGACCTTAAAACATTTGATATTAACAATTGAAAATACAATATAATACTACTTTTTCAAAAACACAGTTGCTACAGAATCACTACATTTAGTATCTACGAGTAGTATTAAAAAGAAACATGTTCATAACAGCAAACAGTTAAATTGCGCTTTAGAAGAAGGGATCTACCATTGGCAAATGATAGCCCCCTCTCTCATACAACTACATAAATAAATATAATTTTTTACAAATAGGATGATCAGAAAGTTCCAGGATAGGGCCAATCATTTTGGCAATAAATACCAATATAGATACGTGAAATGGTATTTTGTAATTAGAGCCATTTAGTGTGATTCAATGGATGTACATGTTACTGCTTTCAATTTCATTGAATCAAATATCAATGTAAAATGAAAGAGATTTGTGGAGATTTAATTCCAAATGTTGATGCTATTCCACAGCTTTTTGTTGAATCATTTACATTAGCAACCACTCTGCCACTAGATATAAAATTACATTTTAGGCAGGTTGGTCTGGTATAACACATTGACAAAGCATACCAACCAAGGGAAAATAGGTTCTGTGATTTATGTGGTAAAGGAATAGGTGATAAATTTCATGTCATTTTAGAATGCAAAGCTTTAAGTTATATTAGAAAAAGGTACCTTCCTAAATGTTATACCACGAGACCAAACACACAGAAGTTTGAGAAATTAATGAATTCAAACAAAAATATACTCATAAAACTTCAATTTTTAATCGAGGCTGGGCCAAAAAATGTACTTAAATAAATGTTATTTTAATGTGTATTACTGTATTAGTTAAGTGGGGTGAATTGAGAAATCAATCAATAAATAAATAAATATACAATCACTATTGCTAAAACGATAACCCATTCCGGGAACTTCCTGACACAACAAGTGTACCTTCATAATCATTTAATGACATTGATGAAGAACCTGAAATTTCAACACAGTTTGCAACTAAAACAAAAACGAACTGTAAATAATGTAAGTTTATACCTATGACATATAGGCAAACACTCGAGGATGTTTACTATATTTTGAAGAGACTATTTACTGTGTCACTGGTTTTATTTTTCTGCTAGTCATGAAGTTGAAGTATGTCTGTCAAAACTCAAATAATATGAGTCAAAACGAAACTAGAATAACTCCCGATTGTCCATATTACTCAGTTTGAGTGATATTTGCTTTTAAAATGTGAAAGATGATATTTGAATGGATCTTAAAATAAATAAAATAGGGTGTACATTTTCAATTTCAGATTGAACTCCTTGCTCATATTTGAAACAATGAAAATCAGTTTTCCGAGTCACCATTCAGAGCCCCCCTTTATGTAACAAGAAACAGTCAATATTTACAAGGCAGTGGATACCAAAGTGAAATTAGCATGTACTTTTAAGGGATATGGTATATAAACAAAGTAATTATGCATTACCTACTACAAAGGACACTTTGGGCACACTGTCTGTTCGCTCAACTTTTTCAGATTCAGGCACTTGAGGCTCCTTAGCAGATGCAGAAAATGATGGCTCTTCTGAAGGCCCCTTGAGTAGAAATAGAAATAAATATTAAAATACTAACATGCTTTATAAAAATTTAGAAGTACATGTTTTATCCATAAAAACACCTAAATATACCTATTGACGACAAACTGTCCAATATTTAATGTTCCTCATCACTTATTTTCTGTACACAATAAATTAAATTACAATTACAGTATGTTTTCATAATGAATTAGCTAAATTGTGTGAATAACATTTAACAGATTACCAGATTCTCTCATTTGATCTTATTAATCAAAAATGCATAATTTCCCTCTGAATACCACCCAGGGCATTATTTTGAATTATTTTACTTTTAAAATAATTGCTAATGGCGATATAATTATGCAAGGGGTATTATTTTCAATAAAATCTGGTAATACATACAGATCACTGGAACAGACAAAATAGCACTAACTATCTAAACGGTCATTGACACTAATACTTTAATTCACTAAAAAATAAATAATTATAATAGAAATAAATAGTAATTTAACCAATGCCAAGCAGAGCCCTGAGCCATATGATGTTCTGGATTACAGTCAAAGACGCAAGCCAGTATAAAATGGGAATGCAACTGTATTTGTATTATCCTTAATGATAATTTTATCCATGAAGGAAGAAAAATTGATGATGGAAAATCCATAGCAGACAATTTTAATAAATTTTTTAGCACAATTGGTGAAAAGCTAGCTAATGAAATTAACTCTGATAAAGACCCACTTGATAATGTTAATAAAATCGAACGTAATATTAATTCAATTTTCTTGGCACCTGTTGATGTTAATACTGTCCAAAATCAAATCAAGAACTTAAAGGACTCAGCCGCAGCCATTGATGATATTAAACCAAAGGTTGTTAAAGTATTACATGATCATATAGCTGATCCTCTTACTTTCATTTATAACCTCTCTATGACCACAGGTATTTTTCCTGAAGAACTTAAACTTGCTAAAGTTATTCCAATTTTCAAAAAGGGGGAACATGATAAATTCACAAACTATAGACCAATATCTATTTTAAGTGTATTTGCTAAGATGTTTGAAAAAATAATGCATGACAAAGTATCTACTTTTTTAGAGAAATATGAATTATTGTATTTACACCAGTACGGCTTTCGGAAACATAGATCAACTTACATGGCACTCCTAGAATTTATTGAAAATGTCAGACATTCATTAGATAACAAAGAATATTGTATCGGAATATATTTGGATCTATCAAAAGCTTTTGATACTGTTAATCATGCAATATTACTTAAAAAAATGGAACATTATGGTATAAGAGGAATTGCACTTTCATGGTTTTCATCTTATTTATCAAATCGAAAAATGAAAACTGAATACTCTAAAAGTTTATCCGAGAAATATTTGTCTGAAGAAGCAATCGTTAACTGTGGAGTACCCCAAGGGTCTGTTCTAGGCCCCCTCCTATTTATCATATTTGTAAATGATTTCTATCTAGTTTCTGATAAACTCAAACTGGTGATTTATGCGGATGACACTAATATATTATGTAGTGATTCCAATCTTGATAATTTGACCACAACCGTAAATTCTGAACTGTGTGACATCAATGATTGGTTGTTGGCCAATAAACTCACTTTAAATGTTAAGAAAACAAAATACATGGTCTTTGGAAATAAAAGAAATATATCTGTGAACAATGAAATAAAAATTGCAAATTCTAACCTTGAAAAAGTAGATGAGATAGGATTCCTGGGAGTAATTATTGATTCAAAATTATCTTGGGCTCCCCATATCAATGCTCTTCATAGAAAAGTTTCAAATGTTATAGGAATGTTATATCGAACAAATTATGCTCATACTTTAAATTCAAAGATGATAATATATAACTCTCTGATTTTTTCTCATCTTAATTACTGTAATATTTTATGGGGAAATGCTTTTAAGAATCTATTAGATAAACTATTGATATTGCAAAAGAAATTTGTTAGATTAATAACAAATTCAGATAGATTAGCTCACACATTCCCAATTTTTCAAGATCTTAAAATACTTAATATTTATCATATTCACACAATCCAAACTGTTTCATTCATGAAAAAAGTTATAAGCAAATCTGTACAGTTCCCTTCAAAATTATACGATCACTATTTCAAAACTAGAGAAAACATACATCAACGTATAACTCGATTTGGTCATAACTTAGATATTCCTAAACATAGAACCAGAATTGGTGAAAATTCTATTAAGGTCCATGGTTCATATATATGGAATTCCCTCAATGAAGATATTAGAAATAAACCATTAAATTCACTCATATCTCGTTTGAAAATTGACCTCCTGAGTACAGAGTAACCAAAACATTTATTTCATTTCTTTATTGTCTCATATTATTGTATTTGTATATTGTATTTATATTATATTATTGTATTGACCTATGTACCACTTAAAATGTTCACAGTTTATCATGTTTATTGTAAATTTAATTATGGGCAGTCATACACCCCCTGGGGTGTCATAGCCTGTATAATGTTGTAATTTTTGTAATGAAAACTGAAATAAATTATTTTGAAATTGAATATTTTGAAATTGAATTTGTATTTTCTATTTTTGTATTATGAATTAATATCAAGCAATTGTTAATGGCCAGTCTGAAAGCATTTAGCATTATCATAGGCAACGTGTATCAACATTTTTCCATAATCTAAACAATACAAACTGTACTTAGTATCAGCTAATTATGAATTTCTACGGAAATACATTTAAATATACAGTAACTCTAATATTACTTAAAGGTACTTCAAATGAATTAAGCAGATAGGCCATTCAAGCTGATATTATAAGGTGAAATTTTGATTTCTAGAATATTTTATGAAATTTGAAAAGTGAAGCTAAAACTTCAGACAACTTGCATGCAAAACAAAAGCGAGAAAATTACAATGATCTCATTAAATAAGACATGAAATATCTGAATTAATGTTATTTGAAAAATAACTAAGTGTTAGACATTATGATATGATTTGGTTTAGACAACATTATGATATGATATGAATTAGACAGTATTATGATATGATTTGATTTAGATAAAAATTATGATATGATTTGAATTAGACAGTATTATGATATGATTTGATTTAGATAAAATTATGATATGATTTCAACTGCGTTTAATGATATAATTTGACAGCATTATGATATGATTTGAATCAGACAGTATTATGATATGATTTGATTTAGACAAAATTATGATAAAAATTTCACCAAGACAACACATTATGATATGATATGAATTAGACAGTATTATGATATGATTTGATTTAGATAAAATTATGATATGATTTCAACTGCGTTTAATGATATAATTTGACAGCATTATGATATGATTTGAATCAGACAGTATTATGATATGATTTGATTTAGACAAAATGATGATAAAAATTTCACTTGAGAACATTATGATATGATATGAATTAGACAGTATTATGATTTGATTTGATAAACAATTTCACTTAGACAACATTATGATATGATATAAATTAGACAGTATTATGATATGATTTGATTTCGACAAAATTATGATAACGATTTCACTTAGACAACATTATATGATATGAATTAGACAGTATTATGATATATGATTTGATTTCAACAAAATTATGATATGATTTCAACTGCGTTATGATATAATTTGAAAGCATTATGATATGATTTGATAGAGTAAAAATTACAGTGAACAGACATGTCAATACAGCCTGATGCCTAATTGCATGCATGGAAGATGGCATTATACAAACCAAGGTAAACGGCACACTTGACTCTTTTTTAGGCTCATTTTCTAGCTCATTTATAACATCAAGCTTTGGTTTAAGTGAAATTTCTCTCTCTGGATTTATTTCCTTGTCAGGTATCAGAGGGATTTGGGCATCGGATTTCAAAGGAATTTTGGCTTTTTCAGAGTTGTCTGCTTGATTTTGATCATCTGTCTTTACTTGAAACATAGTAGAAGGGACTGGGTCTTGAGATACATTTCGTTTAAATGCTTGTGCTGCAACGCTTTCTACTGATTGGCTAGAAGGTGACGTTGTAGGTGGCAGCAATTTTGAATCAACAACATCGGGTCCAGCAGGTTCAGGGGTTGAACGTCTCACTGGTGAACCACCTTCTATTTCACCTACATAGAACCCAACCTGAAAGGATAAGAGCCTAACTTTCTAAAATATTATTGTAGGTTGGTAGATTATATTGATATATGACTTGATGCGTCAATAACTGAGTTCAATGGGTTGAGGCGAGTACTAACAAGTGTTTGTATGGCTGAACAACATACCAGCAGGATGGAATAAGGGGTAAATATTGTATTGTATTATATTGTATTGTATTGTGGTTAGGCACAAACTTTGTCTGAGCCAAGAATGGAACCCGATAGTGGAAACCTTGGCTCTACCAAAGAATCATAGTGTGGACTAACCAAGTGTCATTTAGTTTCATTTGACATTAGGGGGGTAAGAGATCAGTTTTGTTAAAATAAAATTGAATAGTGAGTGGAGGATTTTGCAACATCAAAATTCGAACAAGGAGGAGGGGTCTTCATTAAAACCTTAATGAGAAATAAATACTTTGATTAATGTTGACCCCTTGACGACCCCTAGGAAAAATCATGTAACTGCCATAGCAAATGCATGTTTCAAACTTAATTCTACAATAATCAGTTTCGTTTTATGGGCATGTGGCTAGTGTAAAAACAAAAAAGGCACTTCCAAAGTCCCTTTAGTGAACAAGAGAGAATGGATTGTCAAGCATTTAATAAAACAGATGAAATATGTGTTTAATATAAACATATAGAAACTTTTCAAAAAACTGTCCATATCAGAATCTTTTTGTATTGTTGCTATGTATGCCAGCATCACCTTTAGCTCTGTACTAAATAAGTAATAAAAGCATGTTACATTCCAAGTTAGACTTACTACATTATCTTAAAATCCTTATTCAGGGGGTGGAAATGTGTAGAATTTTTTCATTCGAAAAAACAGGTAGGTGTCATTTTATTTGGTAGTCAACATTTTTTAGTGTTTTTTTACCTTAAATAAACTCATCATATTCCCAGTACATAAGGGAGCATTCATTTGTTATAAATTGACACCAAGTCACCAACCCATCTAGTTTTGCCAGAATGTGAGTTAATCAAAAATATTTTCATTTTGAAAACAATTCTGTGGTTAATCCCATATTAATTAAAAATAAGAATGTCAATTTGTAACAATTTAATACTTCGCGGAAGTACTGGGAACACGATGAGAAAATTGGAAGGAGAGAAGGTATGATAAACCTTCATAGACAAACTATTTTTTTAAATAAAATGGTGGTTTTCATAGTGTTTTTCCTTATTTATAAGCAAGGGAGAATGTGATCATGGTAGCTATATGACAAGGTGGAAGGAGACTTACTCTAGGGGAAGATGAGGGTTGAGGTGAAACTGTAGATGAACTAGGCTCAACATCCTCAACTACAATTCTTACATCACCATGGTCAACCTTGGATTCATCTTTTGGTGTTTTAGTTTCATCAGCTGTCTTTCCATCTTCCTCTGGAGACTCCTTCATTTTTTCATCTATTGACTTGGAGAAAGTTTCCATCTCCTTCAAATAATAATAGTTTCAGTGTTAAATATATTTACTTGGAACAGCCAAGCTCACAACTCCTACAAACCATGCTAGTGAAGAGATGTTGGCCTCGCTTTCAGTCATTTCTTAAAGATAATGTAACTAGTAAGTTAAATTCTTTCATATAAATTCCAGAGTCATATCAGTAACCAATGATTTAATATATACAACATAACATCATAAGTTATTCACTTGTTAAGAGAAATACATAGGGCTTTTGGCCCCCTTTTCAAGTCTGTGTTTTAATGTGTTTTGATTTATGCCACAGTTGAGATTGAAAGCGAAAGTAATTCAATCGATTTATCAACAATTATAAGTATTGATAACACTTTGGAGTTGGAAGAGCCAATCTAAACAAATAGACACATTGAGAGACAATACTGGTGATCTAAACTTAAACACACATTTCAACATACGAGTAGTACATATACTTTGTGGGGAATATTGTAAAAATTAATGCATTTTGGAGGCCAGTTTGAATTTCACATAGTACATCTCTTCAAGGTGAAATACTCTTTGAGATCTGCATGAACTGTCACTGCATTCTGCATGCTCTAAGAAATATCTTATCAAAATGCAAAGCAATCCATAAATGACAAAAGCACGATTCAACACCTATATATGCTAAGAAGATGTATTTTTGATGGTAATTTTGAGAATGTGAAATATCATATTCAGACAATAAAGTCTTACAAACCTGTTTTAATTCCTCCACCTTTGACAGGTCTGGTGAATAGCCTTTCTTCCATGCAGGTACGCTTTTAACCTTTCCTTTACTTTTAAGTGACTTTGGTTTATGTTTACCAGCGGCCTTGGTCCCTCTACTATGGTGTAAGGACTTCAATGTTTGATGCATATGAATACCCTCCCTTCGATGGCCTAAGTAGAGGCAAGTAATAAAATAACAATTATATAAAATATAAAAACATATCTCAAGTATTGTTTGTTGAGTAGTACTGTAATGTGACCAAACTGACACATTTTCTTTAAATCGGGTGGTTTTCTTAAATTACAGGAAACAAAATATTTTCATTTAGTTCAAGTGTATACTGCCTTCAATCTTATATCTGACTGATATTCTTAAAAAATAAAGTTTTAAAAGAATGTTTTTATAACTTCGCAAACTTGATAAAACAGCGTTAAAATAACTAGGATTACAGTACTGTCACTTTCCTCATCTGGAATTCACAGTATTATTTATTCCTTTTTTCATTTATTTGAGTAACAGGGCTGATATTGTGTTATTGCATTAGTAAAGATTTAATACTGACTTAACCAATTTCATTTTTGGCTAATTTCATTTTTTGCCACTTAATTCTAGAATTAAATTTGACAAAAAAAAGAAATATATATTCAAGGGTGTACATGGTGGTACAAAGCCACAAATTGATCTTTTATTGGAATTTTAGTACTTCTGAACTTGATCAATACTTATCAACTTATCATTAAATATCAGTTATTGTCAAATGCCATTTTTTGAAACAAACAAGTGGTCATAAAGAAACAGTTAATGTGACTAAGAAAAAGTAAATAGTATAAGGGATATACTTTATTTTAATGCCTGAATCAGAAGGTGAAGAGGTGACAGAATTGCAATTAACATTCATCTTTGACATAATTGAGTTATTATTTTCTTTAAAATCTTCTTTTAAATAAACACAATTTAACAATAAAAGTTCACAAATCATAAGGTATTGGATATTTAAAAATGGTTTGGATGGTCATTTTTCATAAATGTATTTGAAAGCTGAGAAATATAGGTTAGAAGTTGATACCTTTTTAAGAAAAACATGTTTAAAATTGTCTTAGAGAGTGACCAGATCAGCTTGACCTTGAAGTGTCATACATGTCATATATTGCCTTCCAAATATGGAATGTGTAAAAATAGAAACTGTCAATCAAATCTGTGAAGGTGAAATAAATTCAACCTGGTTATGGTATTGATGTTTTTGATATTATGAAGAGCTAGAGAAATCGAAATTGATAGAATAACTGAATTTAAAATAAAGTACATGTTGTTATTCATATAATTTGCTTAGATCAATAAATAGGTTGATAATGGCAACACCAAGGCGTAGCAAATCCCATACAACATCTAAATAGGAACACAGAGCATGAAAGCTAATTATATGAAAACCTATAGTTGTGCTTTACACATACATATTTATCCAAAATGACAGAGCATAATCATACATTGGTTGTTCACACATAAATAGAATCATAAGTAAATCAGATAATAAGAATTCAGGTCATTTTTAACGCAACATTTGAAGTGACTGGAACAAAGTGATACAGGAGGTTAGCTTAATTTATGAAGACTATAATTTATTGGTTTTTAAATTCAATAAGTTTTCGAGGGTCAGCTGCATTAGTTGTTACAAACTTTTGACATTTTCACTGTGCCTTTAATTTCACGGTCTAGCCCCTTCAGCGAAAATAGTGAAAAATAGGGCACCTTGAAAATTTGGGCTTTTACAGTATTTGCATTTAAGGACATCATTATATAAGTCATCTGAACACATTTTCACATCACTTATTTCCTAACTGAAAAAAAATTTCCATTATGGGTCTGAGCTTAATTAATCATCATGATAGTAAAAAATTGTAATTTCATATATAATCAAGATACAGAAAAATATCTTACTATCAAAGTCATTCTCATCAAAGTTTGGTGTTTCTTGCGTTGGTTCAGGCTTATCTCCAACAAGGTCAACGAGTGACACCTGGCGCTTTGGTTTAGGGGTATAAAGCTTTTCAAAGTCTTCGGAGGACATTGGTGATGACAGATATGTAGATTGCTTTGGGTCACTCTGTACAGACATTTCTGAAAAAGATGCCCTTGGATCTCTAGTGACATCCTCCTCTGTCTCCTAGAAAGATTTAGATTTTTATTAACTTTATTACATGTACCTACCATATTTTAATTATATGTAGTAGTCATAAATATACCAGAACTGACAGTGGTGCATATAAGTGATTTTTTCTTATCATGCTATTATGCTTCTCAATTTCATACAAGACCTCTGGTCCAAAGTGAACAAACTACAGAGTGACCTATAAAAATTCAAATCATGAAACAAAACATTAACATGGTGGTGGTGACTCTAGTCTTTAATTCACATAACCAATACCAGCCAATCTTGGGAGGCCCTATATTTGGCAAGAATAAAGGCAACTTTGTATTAATATCTGCATGAATCTGTGTGCCATTAGAATTTAGTAGAAATGAACAAAATGTCACAATGTTGTCAGACATGTTGTCAAATAAATGAAATAGTCATATGGGCCTGTACAGGGTGGGCCAAAAAAACGCCACTTTTTTTTCAAAATGCTATAACTTTTTCAATTTTTGATACAAAATCATAATTTACATACCAAATAAAATTTGAGGTTGTTATCTAGCCATTGATCATGAATTATACACTTTTACTTGAATAAAATATGTCACCAGCGTCTCACTTAACCATGTGGTGTGCCATGAGAAATAAGCATAATTTGCATAATGTTCCTAAACTGATACCCCCTGGTGACCGCAAGCTAATAGCCCTAATTCAAACCCAAGTGAGTATAGGGTATGGGGAGGTCTCCAGGAGATGGTATGAAGGCACCCAATCCAAAAAATTGCTTAAATAAAGCTGGCAATTAAGACACGTTGAAAAAAATATAGCTAACATTTCATTGTTACTGCTATATCAGCAAGGCGACTAAAACTAAAATCTATCAAATGGGGTGGTGGACCAATAACCCAGATGCGAGTAGAAATAATCTTGATTTACGTCATTAAAAATTCAAAATTAAGTCAAAGTAATATCATATTTGAAATCTACATGTAAAATTACATCTAGAAATGTGGTTTTAAAAAGTGTTTATGAACTTTGAAAAATTAATTTTCTTTGAAAATGTGACTTCTAGCTCGGGGAGATTCCCCATAGACCCCATGCTATAAAATCACAAAAAATGAAATATCTTTTCTTTTAGTGGACAGATAATATTTTGCTTTACTGGACATATTTTCATTAGTATAAGTATCAGACACATAAGGGTTATATGAAAATTGAGCCACTTAAATTGATAATATTCAAGTTTAAGGGAACTTTCTTATATACCTGCCATGTTAATTGACCCGAATCAGCCACCTGGTGGTGAAACTGGTAACTACCTACTCGCATTTGGGTAATTGAACTCCTCTTTTAGATCAAATACGAGGGTTGTCCCAGAAGTAATGCACTATACAGTAAAACCTGAGTTAGTGAACACATCTCTCTAGTGAACACCTATTAACAGTGAACGTTTTTATTCGGCAAAACCTTTTTCTCCCATTGACTCCCATGTTAAAGTGCAATCCTATAGTGAACACCTACCAACAATGAACAGTGAACACTAAACCCTGGCAAAATCAATTGAATTATCCTGTCTCTAGTGAACATTGAATCAGACATAAGATTTCTCGCGGATTTTCTGCAACTGCCTTATCAGAGTTAAGCAGTTTATGTTTATATTTCCTGCCAAAAATAATTAAAAGGTCAATTTGAGATCTTGATCTCTTCTATTGAAACAGGTGTGACTTATTATAGTTCTTAATAAGCTTTGTTTTTGTTACAAAGGATATGCGTCTGGGATTGATTGCTTGGAGATAATCTGGCTAACTATTATTACCTCTATCTGCTAAGTCCCAACTTAATCTTTTTTCTCATCCTGTCAATTTAAAAAAACGATTGGATCAAAATTATAATTCATGATCATTTCACTATTAATTGCATCTATCATGTCCTTTAACTTATTCAATAAAGTCCTTTAACTGATTCAAAAATTCCACTATTTAAAGGACCATCTTGATGAGATAAAAAGAATTTTCGAAATCGCTGTTCCCTCTTCAAAAGAGGAGACGCGAAAATCTTTCCATATAAGGTCAAAATATTTCCCATGATGCAGTTCGCGGAGGAACAAATTTATACTTCCTTGTTTTCCCTCATAGGTTTAACATGGGGATTTTCACACCTATTTTTCAAACGATATATTCGTTCATATCCCCGTACGAGGGTACAGAAAAAATTATTAGAAACGATTGATCTCTTATTAATCTTAATATAACAGCTATTTTTTCATTGTATTGATTCATAGCGTGGTGAAAACGATGATTGAAAAGTGAGAAAATATTCCGGAAGAGAAGGTCACATGATCAGTTGACTAGTCGCCATATTGGAAAAAACAATTCCATTCAACTTTCAATACTTTCATGCCAATCTTACCGCACTACAAACTGCAACATCGATGCAACAACTAAATAAAAGTATTCATCTTCAAATTACATCATAGAGTTACGTTGAAAACCAACAAATAACTGAGCAGTAGACCAAAGAAGAAGCGTCGCTATTATCTAGGTCACTCTGTTCAGTGGTTCGAAAGCAAAGCTATAATACTCGTTTCCGAATTTTGTTGTTAATTGTACAATCTTTTATTGATTAAAACTCGGTATACTGACTATTAAAGCAATGACAAAGAAGAATACTTCCGATGTTGTCATTGTTTTATTTAGCGTGCGGGTGTAAAAACAAATTGCGTAATTAGTTTGATTTAGAACTTTCGGGTCACGCAAATAGCTACGCGGAATGCATAGTGAGAAAATATTGACCAATCAAATTTTGTCCTTTTTGATTGCTTTTTCAGGACATATTTGCGAACGTTCTGATTCAAAGAGCGAATCGCGAAAGGGAGAATTATATAGAGATAAAAATTTGACAATAAAAGGATGAACCATTCAGATAACAGTTTGTATATAGCATTACAACAAATTAAATACTTAACCATTGAGTGTCATGGGTTAATATGGGTAGAAAATACAATTTAAATTTATTATTCAAATATATATATGTTTTAATTCTTTTTAAGACTCATTTTAGTTTGATAAAATGTGCTGTTTTAACCAACATGGAATTGTGGATATTTTTCGATTACATGCACCTTAATGTAAGAGTGCCACTGTTAAAAAAGTGTATGTCTAAATAAATAAATAATTAATAAATAAATAAATAAATATTCCCTCCTCTCTTTTAATAGCTGGTCTCTTTATATAATACGGCAAAATGCCGCGAAATCAAATCATTGCTGTAGTGAACACCTACCAACAGTGAACATTTTTTCTTGGCAAAAAATTGTTCACTATACACAGGTTTTACTGTATGCTCTAACTTTATCAATAATTGATATTTTTCCATGAAATTTTCAGTAAATGTTCCTTAGAGACATTTTTTTTATACTAGAAATTTTCATGTTGACTGATAAAACTGTATTGATGTTATAATAAAATCAAGTTGGTGAGTTTGGGTAGGGCGGGGCAGGTTATACAGTCACGTCAAAAGGAATAAAAAATTGAAAATCTGAAATAATTAATCAACAAATACCATTTGGTGTAGCTATGAGAGGTATGCTCAAAAATACATTTAAATATACTAAATTACTATGAGCACATCCTAGATTTAATGGATGTATATTGCACAGTGTCCCATTTCACATTTTCTCAAAATATTGCCCTTTGCATGTTATGTACTTTTGATGCCTGTCATGTCAAACACTCTAGGCAATTTCTTCCACTGTGACTTGTGGAGTTTTTGCCTCCCATGTTTGGAGTTGTCATACAGGGTCAAATCGTCTCTTTTAAATCTCTTCTGCCACCCCATAATTGTAGTTCTATCTGGAATATACTCCTTATATACTTTCTTCATGGTAGCATTGTTTTGCGTCCAAGTGAAGTATGAAATTAGGGCACCAAACGCAAGGCCTTCTGTTATCAGGTAAGAATTGCAGCCATTTTGCAATTTCTTGACTGTGACTGTATTTGAATTCGTGACTATTGAAATGTGGTATTATGACATCACAGTGCTAAATGTCATTATTCGTACTTGATTAACATCATGCTGAATAAATTTAACAATTTCCCAAACATTTTTACCATTTAAAGGAAAGAAATATTAATAAAATAACACTTTAGATATTTTCATAATTAGAAAAATTGGTACCTGCCCCGCCCACCCCTACCCCCATGTTGTTATAGCAACCATATTAAGACTTAATATTAATGTTGGATGCTGGAACTTCAGGATTTAATAGATAAAACTTCAATTGTTATATAAACAAAATTTCAGCTGAATTGAAGAATATTAAAGAAAGTTAGAGCATATAGTGCATTACTTCTGGGACAACCCTCGTATAATCCCAGTTGAAGGACTTGTTACATTATATTATTACTAAGAACCCATGGCACTTTATAACTGCAAAATTTGGGGTATTTAGGTTGGAAAATAAAAAAGTTATAGTGGCTTGAAAAAAAAGTGGCGTTTTTTTGGCCCACCCTGTATATCTCTACTTTTCAACTGACACTCAACAGACATACCCAGGCATTTAATTCACATACATTAAGTACATATGAAAATTCAATTCATAAAAAATTAAGTATTGTAAGTAAATCTACATTTTGTACAGGAATGAAAATTTTTACACAAATTCTATTGTTGTATGTATGTATGATGGCAGCTCATATCATGTAAGTTTTCATTTTCCCAGCAGTTTTGTTCAATACCACCGCATGCAGACAGATCGCCTAAACACGGGTAACTAGAGTATCCGCGTATATTGAGTATGACCGGTTCTAAGCTTACGAGTGTGACTGTATTTCTGTTCCTATAAACAGACGAGGTGAGTACTTGGTTTTTATGAACACTTTCGAACGTTTTCTTTTTATCCTACTTGGTCAATGAATGATACTTGGTATACTTATAATGCCAGGCATATCACAAGGGGCCTTAATCAAGAGAAAACGTATTAATATTAGACTGAAGCCGTAAAATCCTAGTTTCCAGCATCTTTGATCAGTTTTTGTGTAACACAACGCAACTCCGAAGAGGATGACACATCTAATGTATAATATATAGCTAGATCTACGAATTAGTCATGAATATTTTAAATAATTTAGCCTGCTCTGTCCAAATATGATACATCTTTGAATTTTTGAGAATACGAATGTCACTGGTGCCCCATTATTGGAGAATACGGTTGTGAAATGTCTTGGATCGGCATTTAACCGGTGTTTGGATACGACTTTTAGCGGTGACAGATGCAAAAAGTAATTCGAAATACCAGAATGTTGAGGCTCTTCAGACGCTTGCAGTAGGTCTCCAATATAAAGTGGGAAGAACTAAATAAGAGTAGATGACTTATAGTGTCAAGAGCCTATTTTTCCAAAAGAATTCAGTTAAACGTAGACCGAAAACAATAGCCTTGTTTGATTATAATTACTAGTATGTTGTCCCATGTCAGACCTTTTGTAGATTTGTGGTTAAATCAGTTGACCCGATTTCAGAATGTTGGCGAAAGTAATGGCAAAATATGCTTTTAGAACATTTTTTATCGAATTTCAGTAATATAATAAGACAGGTTTTATACCAATACATTACAATGTATGGAAAGAAAAGTTTATCATGTATTTGAAAATATAAACATATTACTCTGTAACCAAATTGCTGAAACTACACAAAAACTTAAAATACAACATTTTTTAGATGGCAGCATCAGTAACACCTCTTATTGAGGAGCTTGACCTCAGTGTCATCAGTGTTGGCGCAGAAGAGGAAATGCATATTATGTCCCTGGATGAAAACAGAAATGAACTGGATAAAGTTTGTCAGTCTACCCCTAAAGGTGTTCAACAGCTGATTGGTACTAGCGAACCCGATGCCACAAAACGCAAGATACTGTTGTGCGCGTTGTGTGAATTTAACACCACACACAAAAATAGTCTTACAAGGCATATGTCCAGAAAGCACACCTCTGTTTATGATGTACATAATATATGATAATAATAATATATGATATACACTCGTATTCTACACCGGTAACATTCCGATCACATCAATCAGTGGGCCGTGTTACACTCGTTTCCATGACATTTCACAAGCGTATCCTCTGGGAAAAGATAAATCCTTCTCTTGCTCACTCTACGGGGGATCATATAAAGATTTGGAGATCTTGTTCAGGTTAGCCATAAAAAGGTTTGGGATTTGTTTTTTTCTACTGTGATATTAATGATTTGGCTCTAAGGCGAGAAATCTGTACTTTCTTATTGATATTCCATTATGAACAGTTACATTGCTAAAATAGCTCATGTTTAACATTTTTTTGTTACATTACTATTAAATACAGCATAAACTATATTCAACAAACACAATTTCAAAAAGGATAATATAGAAGTTAACCTTTATTTTCCATTTTTAAGCAGCTGTGCCTCTCATGACTTTCCAAAACAGGTCATATTCGTAGCCTAAGAACCGGTCATACTCAATATACGCGGATACTCTGGTATCCCGTGCTAAAATTACATTTGTATGATGCGAGACTCAACATTCAACAGGAAACTAGAAACATTTTGTCACTAATGTAGCAAATTACTATCTTTACATCGTAATTTCAATCACCGCCATCACTTTTCAAATGAGTTACCTTGAAATATAAAGACATCATGCTATTCTCATACTTATAGAACATAATGTGACTGTCATTCACCATATCAATTTGCTTCATGGGTGAAAAGATGTTTCTAATTTCCTGTTGAATGTCGAGTCTCGCATCATATGAATGTAATTTTAGGCGATCTGTCTGCATGGGGTTAAAACATTCTCTCTTCCCTGAAGATGTCTATTTAGAATTCCAAAGATTTTCATGATCCAGCAAAATAAAAGGTTTCTATTGTTACACTATTTTGAACAGTTTTTAAAAAACAAACATCGTTTCATTATTAATCACTTTTAATTTGATACAATAACATTAAGTATATTCAAACAACGAACAAGGTCCATGTAGTTCTTCAGAGGATACATATATAGAGGATACATCACTCAGAATAAAATGCTGAGGGATTAGCATTTTTTTTCTAAAAATACTAAAAATTCAAAGTGCATACAAAACTTTCATATACAGATGCAATAAAATCTTTTTGTGTAGACAATGGTGGGAGACTGAGGGTATGTGCTATTATACAAGTATGTGAAAAACAATAGACATTTTCAAATAAGACTCCAATATTATTTTGACTGATAAACCATGGTGTCTTAAGGTATACCTTTACTTGTATAGTAATGCTTCCAAACAACATAGAACTATTGACAGGTGCTACTTGCTCCAATTCTTGCACTTGCTTTAATGCTGGAGATATCAATGAAAGCTACATCTTCTGACGTCCAAGATGTTATAGCACAGTAAATAGAAATTCATTCTTAGGTTACCAAGGTGAAGTTGAAGCAAAAGTCTGTAACCTTGTGAATAAAGATGTGAAACCTATACTACCACAGACTCAAATATATGTAGCAACTCTCAGTTCATATCTTAATTTTACCAACTTGAAGGTTATGAGGTTTGCCCTTACCACAGAGATGGAGGTTGATGCCCTTGGATCAACCTGGGGGTTTGACCTTGATGCCATAGTCTATGATCTCTCACTGCTGGCACACTTATAGATCTGCAACAACATAATAACATAGCATAGAATCAACATGTTATTCCGTACACTATACAGTATCAATTCCATGGATTGAGTTTTTACATTTAGCTCAATTGAACATATACTGTATATGCAAAATACATAAGTAAGGCAACAAAACAAATAAGAATCATGTTTGAATTTTGAAGAACTTTAGGACAAGGTCTACTTTATACTAATGTGTTTTAGTTTGTTTTTCTCTTGTGAAGAATAAACATTATGACTACATTGAGTGTGGTAATATTCATTCCACAAGGGAGAGAGATCAAGAGAGGGAGATCGTGGGAGGGAGAGAGGGAGATGCAGGGAGAGGGAGATGCAGGGAGAGAGGGAGATGCAGGGAGAGAGGGAGATGCAGGGAGAGAGGGAGGAAGGGGTTGATTGCATGCATGTGAAGTGGACCTCACATGTATTGACTGTATTATTCACTGTAACTCAGTATGTAAGATCTTTGAGAAATACAAGGACAGGCAGTGTCTATTTGTGATCAGCACAGTAAATCTTGTCTTAGCGAAGATTATATTAAGCCCAGGGTTCACACCTAAAATCTTTAGAACCTAAATAGAAAACCGCCATTTGCACCTCCCCTTCTTGAAATATTTCGCAATTATCTGAGAGTTGCTGATTTTTCAGACATTATTTTGCATATAAGAATATGTATGGTAAGTAAACACTTAATCTAATGTTTTGAGAAGTTGCAGCTTAATAACTGAAGATGCTAATTTAAATAATTTGAACCTGGTACAATTCAAGGGACAGGCTAGAGATTAGAGAATGGTGCAGTCAGATTTGAACATGAGAGAGAATATTGCTATGCCAGGTTCTAAAAGCCAGCGAGAACCCTGGAGCTCAATATAACTATATTCAACAAGGCATTACCATGCAAAACGTCACAACCTGCCATTTGTTATAGATACAAACTGCTGAAAACCAACCACCGAACACTGTCCACAAAAAAGTTGGAAGCCATAACAATATGTCACCACTAGTGGTCGTGATGGTGACAAAAAAATCGAGACCGAAGATATGTTTTTAGAGACGTTTGTGTTCAAAGCTGTTTGTTTAACTTTAATTGACCTGAAAGGTCTGATCTCAAAAGCAGATAAACCATATAAACATGTTTTTATTTGATTATGTAAATTCCCTTAAAAATTATTCATATTTTGTTAAATCTAGGCAAACTGAATATTTGAGCCTCATTGAGATATATTTGATAGCAGGCAACTAAAACGATTCCAGGTAATTTGACATGATCAACTTCATCAATTGAAAAAATAGATCTACATGTAATATAATTGTAACCCTGTAATTCTTTGAAAATATTCTGAGAAATAGCAGTTAAGAATGTTTCATGGAAAAGGGAAAATACTGTAAATTGCTTTAATTTGGCAGATTGGGCAAATTTTGAAATTTTGGCTGCTATTTGATTTGGCGAATTGACCATCATCAATAATATTACTCACTTGACAGCTAACCACCAATAATGCAATTTTATCTCCCTTGGTATCAGTTTGTTTTATCTAAACCCGCGGGACTCTAGATCTGCGGAAATAGTAAAAAATTGACATCCATGATATAATCTGGATTTTCACCAAATGTTTATTGTTCAAGGAACACATGAGAAAGGCACTGGACATAAATCCCGGGAATTTCATTTTCCAAAATTGGGCGGAGACTAAATTTGGCAGTTGTTATGAAACCTCTAAATTCGCCAATTTAAAATGGCTGTCAAATTAAAACAATTTACAATATCAGGATTGTAAGGGAGAACCAGTTGAGTTTAAGAATTCTTACATGCACTTCGTATTGTCCCCCCCCCCCCCCCCCCCCCCCGTATGTTTCAAGTGTCTAAATTATGTCACTTTAAAGTAAGTGTCCTAATCATTTCAAAGGATTGAACATTTAACATTTAACTTACTTTTAAACAATATGGCACCTATTTATTAAGTTTCAATTCGTAGAATTTGAGTCTTATAATTCTCAGAATCAAGGTATCACATATTATTGTCATGATTATTGAAAATACACACACATTTTTCTTTATATAACCCATACAAATTTATGGGCTTGCATCACTGCCAGCGAACTGAGCCCCAAAAAGGGGGAAAGGGTGTATGGCCCATTTATGTTAAGTAAATTGATTTTTTGGAATAACATAAACTAGATAGTTGTGAAAATTAAATGATTGCTTATTAACATAATGATAAAAACAACAGGTAGTAATAAACTGTGTACTGTGAATCATTTTAAAGAAGCTACAGTTATTTCGCTAAAAATCTAAAATGCCTATATTCATTTCAAGTGGCCCTTCTGTTTGCTTGTCTGAAGTCACATTCTACTTTTATTGATACAGTCTATGTATTACTAGTTTTGCTAGCCCCTGTGATATGGGGGGGGGGGTCTAGGGACAAATCTCTTACTAAAATTCAGTACCAGATCATAGTTGTACCTATTCCCCGGGGGCTAAATGAAACTACTATAAAGGGACAGACAGAGGGTTGGTACTATTAGAATGAACAAAGAACATTTTATAAGTACATGTAGTAAAAGTTGGGTTGTGACATAAATACAGATCACAATGAAATATTCAATCATACAAATTATAGGCAGGTGTGAAACTCAATACAAAAGATTTCCTCATATACAGGTAAAAGGTTAATGAACCGACTGTTAAAATTATCACGAAAAGCAATACTACTTTTTGTCAAAAACACGTAAAACTTAAAAACTGGGAGAGAGGGAATAAGGTTTCATTTTTGAATATACGGTTACATACTTAAACATTGCAATCAATTTCATAGAAATTCAATGAAACTTTGAATAAAAAGAGTGATTATCAAACACATTTTGTATTTTTTGCATAGGCTGAAAAAGGCAATCTATCTACTTGAAAGCAGTAGCTATTGACATTTTGTTTTCAGGACTGGGTGACATTTCGATAAGACCATTCTGTGATGTCATGTTTATGATCCTGGAGAACCTCATGCAAAACAAGATAGCGATGAGACTTATACTCAAACTATTAAACCCAATTTTATAGTAAAAACTGGTCAAACCAAGCATGCACAGATTCTATATGTTGCATTTATCCGATATCAATTAGAGCCAATTAGGATTATCAGGAAATTACTCTTGACCAAAATTTGCAGAAAACATCTTAATGGTTCCATATAATACACCAAGGTTAAAATTGCTTCATTACAAAATACTTTGACAAAAAGCTTCAAGAAAATTCTTTGTTGCGAAGCTTTTTTGGCAAAATACTTCTTTTTGGATGCAACTAAACCTACTGTGCAACTCTAACCATTGAAGAATTACATCATAACAATGCACTGTAAATATTTCACTTAGAAGTTGGCATATATACAAAAAAATTACACTTTTGATATCTAGATGTTTAGCTTTGAAAACAACTTGCAACAATTTGTACAAAGTAAATATGACACAAACAACTTCCTTAATGTTATCAGCCTTTTTTATTGACCTGCGATTTCAATAAGAAATCAAAGGGAATCCCATCTGTTAAAATTATCAAACAACATTTTGACCCATACTTCACTGACTCTGAAGAAAACATACAAAAAAGCAAATCTTAATTGATAATTGCATCTCCATTACATCAGAGCATCTTGCTTGCAAGACTACTTTAGAATTATGACTATACTATCTGCTAACAGAAATAACTTCTAAAATTCTTACCTTTATTGATGTAATTAAGTGAAGAAAGATGGTGCTGTATATCTAGCCCATCTTTAACAGAGAAATAATCCTTCCGTAGACTTCCATGTAAAATTGTTGTGAAGAGGTAGATGTAAACAAATGAGTGTATATCACTGTTAAATAACTAGTTTATGTAATACTGTTTGTCTGTTTATTCCATACGCTGTAGATTCATGTAAATATATCCAACATTTTAGACCATTGGTGTGATGTTCTTCTTATCAGCTTCCAAACTTTAACCTATAGACTGCACCTGAAAAATAATATAAAGCACCTTATTTTTCTTGAAAACAACTTTCTGACATTAAAGAGAAAGAAAGGCCAGAGCTAGTTCCATAGATAGCAGTTTATTTTTTTTTTTATTTTTCTCAGGGTGGGGGAGGGTACATTTAAAAGAAATATGCACCCCCCCAAAAAAAAATTCTGCTACCTGTGACTATTTGAGAGTAAATTTTACAACTTATGTTATGCTTTCTGATCATTCAATGATGCATATCTTCTAGCATTTTTGATCTTATTTCAGGCTGATTCTTTGATTTTTGATTATCTGGCAATAGTTCCCATAAAGGGGATATCCTCTTTTTCATTCGAAATGAACTTCCCTTCTAATGATTCTGCATCTTATATCTTTGATAGGCCCGTAGCCAGGATTTGCCAAGGGTGTTCACTTTTTGAAAAAATTCCAGGGGTGTTCACATTAGATGATTTTGGGCCAAAAATGGCCAAAATCACTTAAAAAGTGCTCAGAATGATGAAAAACTTCATGATTTTGAAAGAATTTTTTGGCCAGGACCCAGCGACCCCCCTGGCTACGGGCCTGTTCAATATATTAGGATATATGTATTAGGGAAACATGGTTTTTTAAAAGACTGCTTCAAATATTCTAAACTCTCTAGTCTCTATCTCTTTTAATTCCTTTAAGGAGGATTTCCTATAGGATGCCCCTCATATTAACATGTTTAATGTTTACCTTAAACAATTACATTACATCTATTCAAATTGCCACTTTGGCAAAAATACATGTCCTACATACATTGTTACAATAATGAGCTATTTGATATGGTGTGCATGTACTTTTGTTTGCTTTAAGTAATAATTAGCCCCTTTATTCAACTGCCTATTCTCTAGTTTTTATGATATTGCAATGATGTATTTACATCATTACATGTATTTGAAGATCTCAAATTATTCTATATTATGGTTGGTACATATGTACTGAAACAGTTTTCCGAAGAACCTTTTCAATGGGAAAGATGAGGGGGAACATTTTTTACTCTGCTTCAACAATAAACCATGCCTTTCAATCCAAAACCATCTCGTGTACTCAAGTCCTGGAACATTCAAATACATTTATTACAGTGTATAGGATATTGATATGGAAGGAAGCTAAACCAAAATGTTCAACAAATGTAACTAGACAACAGCAACGCCAAAGTGTAGCAAATCCCATCAAAAAGCCATGGCTGGCATTTTAACAAACAAAGTACCGTATTATCTCTATTAAACGCACTCTCTAATAAACGCACACCCGACTTTTTGTCCCAGGTTAGAAAGTCCTGCCCAGATAATATTGAGAAATAATGCATCATGATTCATGATGTCACGATTTCCCATCATGCAACGTAAGAAATTTTTTCAGGTGTTCGTGTAAATAACACACAATAGTGTATTTATATACTAAATTTGTCATCTAGGAGCTCACAATTCAAGGTAAAAACATAACATATAGCATATTCTCTCTAATAAATGCACATATCTACTATATTTGATCGATTTTAGGTATAGAAGTAAATTTTCACCCATTATCGCCCACCATCATAATTTCTTAGAATTTCCGGGGATTTAGCTGCTTGAAACCTCTCCCCACGGGAATTTGCTAAGCGCACTGTGCGTTTGATAGAGATAATACGGTATATCGCAAAAATGGCAGCCATTTTTCAAAATGGCCATCTTCTAGTGTCATTAGTGTCAAAAGTGTCATTATACAGAATGCCATGCTTATAGTATTCACATACCAAATACATGTATGAATAAAATCTACCCTTTCATTTGACTTCACTTCTTAAAAGAGAGCTTCGTCTTCACTCTTTCAAACTAGAATAAACCTGTGAACTCACCGCGCCAATCAGTGTTCGTCGCCAAATTTGACCGACATTCAAAATATGGTCATTCCCTCTGACGTCATCGTTGAGCCCGGAATTGACCAATGACATGCGCGTATTTAATTAGAACGCATTTGGTGTGTTTCTTCAAGCTCGCTGATTGGTGGAAGAAAGGTCAGCGCGTAAGTCAGAAGTGATTTACTACCCAAACTGTCACTGGTACCCGTCGTGGGGGTGAGGCTATTAAACTGCAATATGGTCTCTCCTAGGCAGAGTGTAGTTTAACTAGACTCTGCACGCAGGGTAAACAAAATCGCTCCACTACTTTTTGAGTTATAGTAAAATATGTTAAAATGGTGGCCATTTTTCAAAAATGGCCCCCTTCTACCAAAAGTGTCATTAGACAGTGTGCCATGCTTATAATATTCACTAAAGATGTCACGGAACAAAAAAAAAGTCGGTACGGTTCGGTTCGGAACATTTTGCTTCGGAACGGAACAGTTTCGGAATGGTTCGGAACAGAGTGACTGCATATATTAGATTAAAATAATCTGATCATCTAGGTCTATTTGGTAGCGAAAAGCTCTTCAAAACTCTTCAAAGAGAAGGAGTAAAAAGAATGAACCTCTTTTGATACAAAATATTGAAAGAAAAATGCTGTTTTGTGGAGATTCAAGGGCCAGAAGTTGTGAAAGGGTAAAATGTTCTTGTTCCAGAACCGAACTGAAATTCTTAATTTTTGTTCCGTGTTCCGTTCTGAGGGCATAATTCCTCGGATCCGAACAAAATCGGGTATCCGTGACACCTCTAGTAATCACATACCAAATATGAACAAAATCGCTCTACAACTTTTCGAGTAACAGCAAAGATCGTAAAATAACGAGTATAGGCCGCCATTTTTCAAGATGGCTGTCATGTGCCTCTTTAAGATCTACATTTCTAGCTTTATTAATGTCCTATATAATTCTTTTACATTTAAAACATATTGCTATTACAGTTTTACATATTGCACCTAAATTACTGTAAAATCGGCACTAAAATGGCCGCCACTTTGAAAATCGGCTTTTGAGCAGAATTTCAACCCCCATGGGATATATGTGTACAGAATATGAATAAAATCGGGCCAACAGTATTTGAGTTATTGCCCGGACAGACAGATGGACGGACACACAGAGGGACGGACAGAGGCGTTCCCTATTCCCTACCAAGCTCATCCGTCCACAGAAAATAATCCCAAATAGTTTACCGTTCACTGTTATGATCACATGTTTCCCAGTTATTCTGTGCATTATATTTCTGCAAATTAGAGTATTCTATCCAAAGATGGTACTGCAGTATACCATTGAAGTCCCAAAAAAGGTTTTTAATAGAACTACTTTCCTCATACCATGAAATAAACACACCGAGTAAGGATAGCACACTCCTTGTGAAACATATAAACTGTACACCAAGAATAAACTTCCCTATTATATTTTTATACATTGGTACACTGGTACATGTTTCAGTAGCAATATCTAATTTATAGGCTTATTATAAATAATCTTTGCATTTGATAGCTGGTAAACTATAGTCTATAATGTTTGTATATGTTCTTAAAAATTGTGTATGTATTTTGAAAAGTGTTTAACTGTGAACACTAAGAAATTAATAAATAATGTGACTAATTATCCCATGGTTAACATATGATGCAGCCGTACACTAGTCTAAATTAATTTTCTGTCTTTGATTTTGTAGCACCATATCAATATTATTTTAATGCAACTTTTATACAGTCACAGTAATTTTACTCTGATTACAGGAACTGTGATTAAATTCTTGAGGTCATACCATAAATAAACTTAGCTTGTGGTTACCTAATGTCTCAGTGCAGTCACATTTGATTTACGGCAACCATATGGTGGCTGTATCTTCCCAAAATCCAAAGATATATGCAGCATAAAATATAGGGACAAGCAGTACGATGTAGATTTTCTATATCCATACTATGGATTGATTTGGTAAGTTGACATAATACTTTGAAAGGAAATGGCATAATACTTGACCTTATATCTTGACCTGATGCTACCTTTACATACAGCTGATGTAATCTCTATTGAACTATAATAGTCCTTTTATTATATATATTCGTGACCTTAACTTGGCAAAAACTTGAAAATAATTTATATGTTCATTTCAACACCTTAACTATGCTAAAAGTTCACATTATCAAATACTACTTAAAGCCTTGTAGCATACTCACATTTTGACAAGAAAATATATATCAATACTTAAATATGTATGATTACTTAAGTAATTCGTTCATTTTTTCTCAAATTTTCAAGAGTGAATTAATCAAGGCCTACATGACACTTTTTGAGAGGGAAAGTTACAATAAACTATATAGAATTACTTACCAAGACTTTGATCTTAATGTGGGTTCATTAAAAATTCATAACTGATATGATCATCATTTATCATCATCATACAGAAATTCATGATATCATGATAGTAAATTAATATGTCACAATTTCAAGTGTGTCAAATGCATCATGTTCATTATAAACATATTATTTTCACTGACTGTACAATGTTCATGTATTTTGCTCTGTTTTATCATAATTAGAAAATTAGTCATACACCCACCGAGAAGCAATATTAAGACAATAACAATATTATACTTTTTTACTTAATATAATAAAAATCTCTCAATTATAAATACATCTTTTACTGTCACTTTGCATGTGGATTGTGGTCTATTTTTGCAGACATGGGAAACAGAGAACAGTGAAGGAAAATAAATAATTCCCCCTCCCCAAGTAATTGTTAAAAAACTCTGGGGGGGGGGGCTGTTTATTGATTACTTTATTCTAGCAAAGGCAAATAAACTAGACTTTACAGTAACCTGATGAATTTGACTGTATAAAGGATGGATACTTTCATGAATAGTGTTTTCATGATAAATATATCATAAAGATCATTGCCAAAATGATTCAGGCAATATATCAAGGTATGAAGCTAGACAATATGTTTATGTTTACTCCTAAAAATGAACATTTTTGACACATAAAAGCCATCAATATCCAATTATAGGGGTTCAGTCACCTCTGTGTTGAGATTGGACAACCTAAAAATGATGCAATTACAGCTGTTGCTAACTCACGCTGCTATGTATGATTCTTTCAAAATAAATATATCCTACATGTATTATGTCTATTTACTTGTAGTTTTTATTTTACAGCAAAAACCAACAAAATGTGTAAAAATAAGCATGTCTCTGCATATTTTCTTATCTAAGCAGGTGGACAGATTTTTTGAATATTCTTTAAACTCACATACCTTTGACCTTAAAATTCAAACCTTTAACGGGGGGGGGGGGGGTATAGTGATATTATATATCATATGGGAGGGTGAAAAATTATTGTTTATTGTAGATGAAGGTGCTAAAGTCAATAGATAATGATATTTCAGATGACTGGATATTTTCAGGAAAAACCAAGACAACAAAGATGTGTTTTTGCGATAACTTTGTAACCATAAGTCCAATTTTAAATCTGTAAAGAGCAAATGAATCTCACCTCACCGATATCTGGGTTCTCCCCAGAATCTAATTGCATGGCGCTCCCCCCTGCTCACTCGTTTTCCCCGCCCTGTTCCCCCCTGCTTGCTTCGCCCGCCCTGCTTAGCGCCCCGCTACTTCAAAACTTACGTACATTATTTTATTCTCCTGGATATTCGACGAAATCACATAAAATTCAAAACTTTTTCAAAAAGTTTTTCCCGATTTGCCATTCCGAAGGACGAATCTTAAATGTCTTCTGATTGGCTCAAAACTCATGATTAGTTACGAAATATCCAATCAAATTATCTATTACTCATTGTGCGTCATCGACATAATCTGCCCCAGGTTCGGTTCGATCACTTGATTTGACTACGTATGCGCCCAAAACATTCTAACCTATCAAAATCGTTCATTTGATGCGTGCGTTCAGAAAATTAGAAAAAGTTAACAGTTGAACCTATACTGCAACGCGGAGTGATATGATCACCGATCATCAAAATCGCCAATTTGGAATAAAACAAACATAAAAACGACTAAAACTACAATTTGACAATGAAGTATTATTTTTTATTAATAGTTATTATAATTGCGAACGAATTAATGTTCAAATCTTGCTTTTGATGGTTGTCATGATAAAGAAGTTCGACTTCCGGTTCTTTATGCGGGAAACTCAAAAAAAAATGGGTAAAATTAAAAAGACTTATCTAAAGAATAGAATGAAAGTAGAAACAGTGGACAGGGTCCTCAACATTATCATAAATGGACCAAGGGAAGAGGTGTTCGATTTTGAGGCAGCATGGGGGAGGTTGGGGGGTGGTTTGACATGCACCCCAGAAGATGTAGGGACAGAAGACTTTAAGGAAACACAATGAACAATGAATACTCATGACACTACAAGCATATTATCATGTATTGTTAAATAAAATGTTTTCTAAATGAGAATTGGTGTTTATATAGCGAGCGAAGTGAGCGGCGAAACTTGTTAAAAAATCCCCCCCTGCTATGAAAAAATCCTGGGGAGATCACTGGATATTATTACCATTACAAGTGCGTTCTAGCGAAGCATAAAAATGACTAGCAAAACTGCTCTAGCCTAGTTATCTACTCCCTGACTAGGTAGATCTATGATGTCAGGAGTAGATAACTGGGCCAGGTTTGGCTAAAAAAGACCTGAATCCCTTAGATAGTCTACCCCGGGTAGTCTACCAAATTGCACATGCTATCTGTTGCAAGACTTATGCCTGGCACGACTGTCACCGTGTTATTAAGTATTTTTAAGTTTCACAAGGATCCTGCCATGACTGTGGTAGTGTTATCATGAAAGCCTGGTATAACCATGGGCTTTCAACTAGTGAAAGCCCATAGTATAACCATGACAATGCTGTATTATATTGCAAGGCCTGCCATGACCTTGACCATGTTAAAGCCTCATATAAGTGTGACAATATTTGCAAGTCCTGATGGATGGGTAGGTACAAAATATTTCGATGAAAATGTGCGACATATACAGTATCCCCGTGAAAAGTCCGAACGACAGTAATCAGGTAAAATGCGTATTTGTGTGACATATTCTGTCATGCACAAATAACTGGTGATTTTCCAGCAAATGCGTGACAAATACGCAAATTGCGGGACAATTGGACAGCCTGCGGTTGCATAAGTCTTGCAACAGATAGCCCTAGGGTCTCACCAATTGTTCTCTTTTTCATCTTTAGGGCACATCGCGAAAACATTTATTATTTAATGTAACTAGTAACACATATCACACTTTACCTTGAAATGTTTGATTATCACAGTACTTAGTTAGGAAAAGAATGAACTGAACTTCACAAGGATGACTTTAATAATGAAATAAATGGGAGGCCAACTCAGCAAATTGAAAATCTTGAAAAATCAACCATTTTATTTTGGATCAATTATAGACAAAAGTACTAGGTTTAATTCCTGTGTTACATTGAGATAAATCATACATAAAACTTTGAAGAGTAAGGCGTAAAAGATAAAATCATTGTACCTACCCTATAATTCATGTATTATGAGAAATAAGAGCGAAAATTTTACACGCTCGTACAGATTTTCGGTGTTTACCTTTTCCACCAATCAGAATGCAGAATTAAGAAATCTCATCCAAATCTCATATTATCTCGAAAACATCGAGAGAAAATAGCGTAATCCTGCCCATCGGGATTCGTGTTTTGTGGTAAGTTTTCTAAGATATCCACAATAAACAGACAATACTATCGTTATCAAACAAGATAAACAAACGAGCAAGACAATTCTCATACTTAATGATATGTAATTCGAAACATAGGCTCTTAGGATCATACACTGACTTTATTTTATATCAATACTGAACAAACTTTTTCTGTTTTCAATAATTTTTACAAAATATTTGACCGGGGAAATCTCTTTTCTTAAGGTGTGAGGTTCCATATCCATCCAACAAAAGTTGGTTGGTTATATCCTTTATTCTGGTGCTTTAATATGACCTCTATATAGTCCATTTAATGTAAAACCTGTAATTTTGTTATAAATAACTATCCCCTCAGTTTTATACGAGTACACGCCTGCATCAAAATTCTGCATATTTTACCTTGGCCGCACAATCCACACATAAGCGTATAAAGTTACATAAAAGACAAAAATTCCCACTTACTTGCAATTAATGCCAACTCGGCCATTGATTTATAGATTAACCTGGAATGAATATGTGTTACTGGAGGCTATGGAAAGGGTTCGGACGTGCAGCGTTTTAGTGGATCTTGATTGAATGAGAAACGTGAAATGCAAGTCCTGCAGGCCCGTGCAGACGTCCATGAAGTTAACCCCGTGCATCGTGAAGTCAATAAACATTGCCTCGTGCTTGGTATTTTGAATTATGAGACCTCTGTGACGCCGTTCAGTCTTGTTATTTCGTGCTACGTTTTCAGAATAAATGAAAATTCGTTCGGCGAGAATACATTTGATCCTACATTCGCTTTTGTGATACATCTTATTTATCGACTTTGTAAACTCACATGTAATTAGTTCCTATTTCTAAACTTTTCTGTTTTTAGCCAATCATAACACCAGTTAAAAAACGCGACAAAGATTAACATAAGAGAGGTGTAATACCATCGGGATATCAATATTTTAATTTCTTTTCTTCTATTTTGATTGGTCAATAATAACGACTTAGTAGGAATTCAACCAATAGCAGGCCAATCCAGCGAATACAAAGATCGACCTGATATACTGAGATATCTGGACTATGTGACCATCATCTGGACTTTGCAAGTCTTGCAAGCAAAATGGAGAGTGATTTCGCTGAGTCTGTGTTTTGCCATTGGACAGTTTAGCGATTTATTTAACGCCTTTGAAACATGAAAGTAATGATATTTGATCTTCGTGAAATGTGAATGTATTATTTTGATGATCAAGGACGTGAAACGTGAAAGTAATTCTGATTAGTAACGTGCAACATGAAAACGTATTACCACCTTATGTGATTATGTGACAAAACCCCCTTTTATATTTACATGACCATTCTCATACCAGAAAGTGGAAAAATCCAACCATTCCCGTACCTCAAAAGTAACAATTTTGGGGGGCATTCTCATACCAGATCCTAAAATTTGGATCTATATCCATACCAAATGTCAAAAAAGGTACCCCATGTACGCCGAGGATCCCCGTCAAGATTTAAATACAGTGAACCCCCCAGGGTCTCTACCTTCTTCTTCTTCTTCTATATCCCGGGCTTGCGCTTGCTATGAAACCTTGTTCGTATTCATTTTTATATTAGATCTATTTTGGCACACAAAGAACTATTTACATTATTTTCATTGCTTGTTATTTGTTGTTTTAAGAGCATAGGGTTCTTTCAATCAATGTAGCCATCTTTTAAAGTCTAACAAGTCTATGGCAAAGATACATCAGTTTTATAAAATAATCTATATAGTATATAGTGATGACAAATCTGGTAGACAAATTGTAATAATACTGGAATCTTCATTCACTGGAAATCTTTGTTAACGTTGCAAATTAGTTAAATAGTGTCACACTCACATGTCATGTCACATCATGTAACATTAAGAAGCAAGAATTAAAATGAAAGTTGATGAAATGTTGAGCACATTTCAACAACAATAAAACAATCAAAACACCACATTTACTTGTAAAGTATGGACTATTTATTATAAATTAAGTACTTGGGCTTATATAGATATGGAGCATGATATTTGGATTGGATGGATTGGATTTGTCAATTGAGTCATTACCCCCATTTTTGCATGGAACATTGTGTGGCGGAGAATCTATGAGACATCAAATACAGTGAGTAGATTACACTGTGAGAAAGGTTTGGCTAGACCATCACCATGACTGACACTGTCCACGATCTTATTCTGGTAGACCAATCTCATCTCACTCTTCTATTCCAGGTTTAAGAAATGGTCGACATACTACAAAACGCAGAGGTTGCCCCATTTTGTTCATCACTCAACCTCAGTTAAAATGACTTGCTTTGTTGTACACTAGTCTGTTAGTCAAAACTTATTATTCAGAAGAGAGAATTTTGTTTCTCAAATGGTAAATTTACAATGCTTTTAAAAATATTAACCTCTTGAATACCCAGAGTGGCGGATAATTATCCGTCACAAATGAAATAAGACTGGTGCCCAGAGGGACGAGAAAATCTGTCACAAAATTTTTCACAAAAATTGCTCTCATTTGAACAATTTTCATCCAATTTACACAAAAATTGTTTTAAAACGTGTAGAAATCATCTCTGCCGTCCAATTTTACTAAGCATCTAAAGTTGTATAGGTATGTAATAAAATGTCAAAAGGTGGCAAAAAATGAAAAATTCTCTGGTTTCATGCCAATTTTAGAGCCTGGGATTCAAGAGGTTAAAAAATATTGAAAAAGAATCAATGTATCAAAGTATTCAGTCCATATATTTTCAATGCTGCAGTGCCAGTTACACCTCCTGACATGATACTCCTTCATAATATAATGATATTTCCATTTGGCGAAACACCCTTCTTAAGTCAGTAATGGTTTCCAGATTCAAACAGAAATCTGTCTATGGCAATGCTGCATGTATTTTATTTTCAGGGATCTGGATTTTCAACTGGAACCATTCACTATGTATAATAAAGCCAAGGGATTTGGGTTTGGAGGGTTTGCAATGAAGTCTAAAGAAGCAGAGAGGCCTGCATTGGGAAGCATGGATATGGACTCTGGTAAGTGTTTAAACAAGACACAGCTGACAGAATTTGCTTCACAGGTTGTCAAATTGCCACCCGCCACATAAAAATGAAAATGCTGACTATGTTAAAACATTATTTAAAATTTTATTAATAGTACATGTACTCAAAAACTAGTTATAATGATGACAAATAGAAAAATTTTACTGTCAGTAGAATTTATTTGGCTAATCTTCATAACAATGGTTTTCTCAGAATTGAAGTTTGTTCAACTTCAATGTTCTTATTGTACAATGTATTTATTCTGCAGTTCAATGAATCATGAAAAATTGGTACTTCAATATTTTTGGCAGGATATTGAAAAACGACTCTCTTGGGAATACTATATTTTGGAGTTGTTGATATTTACATTCATAGTATAGCCCTGTAAATGTGTTTCAGCTGGAACTATGTTGGGAATGATGCAGGCCCGACAGATCGGCATGTCAACTGGGATAGGCAAGAAAAGAGTAAAAGATGAAGATGAGTGAGTCTTTTAAATATTTTTAGCTAGAGCTCTTTGTCAATGTCATCACCACAAGTGATTACACTGACGTGTTATTATAGTTTCCAACTTTTTTTGTGGATAGTGTTCATTGGTTGGTAGTTGGTGTTCGGTGTCTGTAAGAAATGGCAGGTGTTGGCATTTTGCATGATAATGCCTTTTATACAGTATTGGAAGATGCTCTAACTGTACTGTAATTGAATTTGTACAATTCCACAATATAAGATAAACATACCTCTTTGGGTACAATATAATTATTAGAGGTGTCAAGTATTAACCGGTTAACCGGTTAACCGCCGATAATGCCTTGACCGGTCTGAGTTTTTATGGGCGGTTAGTTGACCGTGTATAATTCTGTTATTTCCCGCGCTTACTTTGCATGCTAATCCGTTTGGTTTTATGGTGTCAGTTTCACGTTAGCTACTCATACATGTCATAAGTCCCATAACTCCTTACAAACATCCAATCAGCAACTTTAATCCCTGCCACATTGCTTTCCCGCGCTTACTTTGCATTTTAATCTGTTTGTTTTTCAAGCGTCAGTTTCATGTGAGCTACTCATACATGTGATAGGTCCGATAATTCCTTACAAACATCCAATCAGCAACTTTAATCCCTGCCACATTGCTTTCCCGCGCTTACTTTGCATTTTAATCTGTTTGTTTTTCAAGCGTCAGTTTCATGTGAGCTACTCATACATGTGATAGGTCCGATAATTCCTTACAAACATCCAATCAGCAACTTTAATCCCTGCCACATTGCTTTCCCGCGCAAAAGCTTGACGAACGTAAAAAATAAACGCCGATATATCATTTTTCCAATTTTTTCAACTTTCAAGATCGAAGATGAAGATTTCATTTGAAATTATAAGTTCAAATTTCCCGCCGGTTAACCGACTTTAACCGGTAAAAACCCCCGGTTAACCGGTTAATGCTCAAGCGGTTAATTGACACCACTAATAATTATCATTAGAATATAAACCTGAGAAACTGCTCCTGCTTTTTCTAATGAGCTATTTGAGCTTAAATCTATATTCACTGTATTTGTTTATGATGATCGATAATTCCAAGATGGAACATTTAACACTGCAAAATTTAATATTTTGATTTCTATAGCTACTTTGATGCTGATGATGATGAGACTGCTAACAATGACATGGACTACCTTCCTGCCCCTGGAAGTCCTGGTCAAGAGAAGCAAGAGGACTCTGATGATAGCGAAGACCCTCTTGATGCCTTTATGGCTGGTATTGAGGTATGTAATTCAACACTAAAGGTGGCTTGTAACAAACTCTCCTGATGGATACCATACAAGGGGTTATCATAAAGTTCTCATAATATCTCTCTAATTTCTTTATTTTTCAATATATTCTAATGAAATTTTTACAGAATGTGCAGCATAGAATGGCTTATTAATCCAGAGAAGCAAATTAAGTAAAGCAAAATATTAAAAAGTAACAGTTGCCATAGTAACGGGAACCCCGGAGCAAATAAAAAATTGAGAAAATGATCCTAATTATGAACCTGATGTTTACATACATAATAAACTCTCATAGATTATCAAACATATAGAAATGTAAACTTGAATATGTTGCTAAGTGCTTAGACACTAAAAGAAATTGATCATGTGAATTGTGTGATGCCATAGGGGATGCTTACATGCTTCATTTGATACCAGACTCTGACGTATTAGATAATGCAATAGATGCAGAGATCTTTAGAAAAATAAAATTTAAACTGATAAAAAGTTATGTTTAGTTTGTAAAATCCATTGGTCAGACTAAAGATGATCTGAAACAAATCAACAAAGATTTCAACAAAATTACACTCTGTGTGTGGTCTGAACAAATTAAAAATGAACTAAAGGGGAAAAATCAGCTTTCCCTGAATATGACAAAACAGTCGTAGGGTCTAATATAACATCAATTCTAATGAAGCATTACAATCATCCATTATGAGATCACACATTTCACATGACCATTATAATAGTTTAAAACAGTCAATAGCACATAGTACTTAGGTGGTTCAAAAAGTTTTGCAGTTGATGCCATAACTTCAAGGAAACTTGGAATGGAAATTTTGAATTTTTTTCCAAAATTTTCAAAATGGCAGATGTTTCCACACCAACCAAATTGATGAAATGGAAGCATAGAAATCTGATACAGTGCATGGTTCAAAATGGCAAGACTTTGCAAGAGACTTATGAACTGGTTCAGGGAGCATTTGGAAATGATGCCAAAAATTACACAACTGTAATGAGATGGTACAAAGATTACAAGAAGGGAAAGCGTGACAGTCTTTCAGACAACCCCAGAAATGGAAGGCCAAAAACCTCTGTCAACTGGTTTTTGGACAGTATACATCACAAAGGAACTTATCGTGTCACTTGTCTATTGTGATGTCATAGAGACAATTAGAAGAATTGAAGAATTTGAAGAAAAATAGCTACCCAAAGACACTTACACCTGCTAATTGCCATTTTACAAAGAGTTTATTCCAAAACTCCTATTTTCCTTGAAGTTATGGCATCAACTGCAAAACTTTTTGATCCACCTAAGAATTATACAATTCAATGTAATTGATAGCTTATTTGATTACTTATTATGTATGTCTCGCTTACTATGGCAACCATTTCATATGTAATATTTCTGTAATACTAAATATGGACTAATTCAACTTTTTATGTTTCACATTCTGTGAAAATTTCATTAGAATATTATTGAAAAATAAAGAAATTAAAGAGATATTATGAAAACTTTATGATAACCCCTTGTATATATTCCATAGGATCGTAGACAAGGCAATGAAAATTAGATCAGAGAGTTATTCATTTGATTCAGGATTTTTATGTCTCCGTTTTTTTTTGCGACGGCGGTTGGTAGTTGGAGGTTGGCGTCCAGCGGTTGGAGGTTGGCGTCCAGCGTCTGTAACAATTTCTTATAACTTCCTATAACTTAACAAATACTGTTTAGATTGACTTCAATTTTTTTCTAAATCATCTACATGTTCTCAGAAGTTCAAATCTGACTTTAGATTTGACATTTGACCTTCAATGACCTTCTCAAGGTCAAAAAGGTCTTTTTTCAACTTGCTTCACATTGACTAAATTTTTTTTCAAAATCATCTACATGTTCTCAGAAATTCAAATCTGACTTTAGATTTGACTTTAGATTTGACATTTGACCTTCAAATCTGACTTTAGATTTGACATTTGACCTTCAATGACCTTCTCAAGGTCAAAAAAGGTCAAAAAGGTCTGTTTTCAACTTGCTTCAAATTGACTGAATTTTTTTTTCAAAATCATCTACGTGTTCTCAGAAATTCAAATCTGACTTAAGATTTGACTTAAGATTTGACACTTGACCTTCAATGACCTTCTCAAGGTCAAAAAAGGTCAAAAAGGTCTTTTTTCAACTTGCTTCAAATTGACTAAATTTTTTTTCAAAATCATCTACATGTTCTCAGAAATTCAAATATGACTTTAGATTTGACTTTAGATTTGACATTTGACCTTCAATGACCTTCTCAAGGTCAAAAAAGGTCAAAAAGGTCTTTTTTCAACTTGCTTCAAATTGACTAATTTTTTTTTTCAAAATCATCTACATGTTCTCAGAAATTCAAATCTGACTTTAGATTTGACATTTGACCTTTAATGACCTTCTCATGGTCAAAAAAGGTCAAAAAGGTCTGTTTTCAACTTGCTTCAAATTGACCAAATTTTTTTTTCAAAATCATCTACATCTTTTCAGAAGTTCAAATTTGACTTTACAAGTTCTCAGAAGTTCAAATCTGACCTTCTCAAGGTCAAAAAGGTCTTTTTACAACTTGCTTCAAATTGACTAATTTTTTTTCAAAATCATCTACATGTTCTCAGAAGTTCAAATCTGACTTTACATTTGACATTTGACCTTCAATGACCTTCTCAATGTCAAAAAAGTCAAAGAGGTATTTTTCAACTTGCTTTAAATTGACCAAATTGTTTTAGGTGGTGACATTTTGTCATGTTAATGCCTTGTTATACAAATGTACAATCTCATCAAAATTGCTAATTAAATCTAAATTAAATGTAGCAGTATGATAAAAATAAATATACAGTGCATTTTTAAATGTGAAATGTTGTCATATTTCCAATTTGTTTCTTTGGAATCACATACTGATATTTTAAATAAAAGGCATGGCACAGACAGGATTGATATCAAAGTAAAACATGCAATTCCAGAAAGAGGTAAAGCACCAGGGTTCAAGCAAACCAAAGAGCAATGAAGCTGATGCTGAAGGAGAGAAACCCACTGGGAAGAAACACAAAGAGTAAGTAGCTAAAACTTCCACCTTTTGCAATCAGTTTATTTGAAACTAAATTAATGCAGTCCAAATGTATTTTAAGAGTTCTCAATATCATCTTCATCTTGATTTTAGGTGTCACACTGAACTGAGTGAATATTATCATCACTAGAGTGTAAAAATCAATGAACTATTATGCAATGATAGCTGAAGGTGCACTTTTTGGATATTCAATTAAGTTTGGCAGGAAGGATTTATAAAACAAAATAAATAACACTGCGACTTTGAATTACCTTGTTGAACTTAAGGATAGGAGCTCAGGTGTAAACATTCACATTTAGGATGTTCACTGAATGAACTCATGAAAAATTAATTATGGCAATTTGCAGGAATTTCCGGGCTGACATTGAAGAAGAGGATGAGGTTGAACAGTATATGAGATATATGGAGGAGAACCCAATGGCAGGAGTACATGTAGATGATGATGGGGACATCATTGATTATGATGCTGATGGGAACCCTATCATACCAGAAAGAAGCAAGGTACAGTAAAACTGGTGATCTTTTGAGCATTAAAGCAATATCCAAAAAGAGCTTAAGCGTATATATAAAAATCAATTTGTACCCACTTGAAAATGAGAAAAATTGTCAAAATATGAATACTTTGATTTTTGGTCTGAATTGTAAAAATTAGAGTTTTGCACCCACTTGAAAAAAATATCTATGGAGAAAACTGAAAATCTTTCAATTTGAACACCTCTTCAGCTGAACACATCTGCATTATGAACACTTTCATGACTTCATTTTGATTCTTCACATGCTCCCATTTTAAATCCCCCTCTAAGAAGAGTATTTATTTAGAGTGTCGTTTCTGCATTGAATTGGGAAATCACACCTGATTACAAACTATAAAGGGCAACATTTACCTCAAACTTCAATAAACCATATCAACCATTGCATTTAAATAAGAATTCATCATTTGAAAAACGTTACATCAGCTTTTTATTATGTCTTGCGTGACATATTTGAAATGAGGAATAATATAGAGTAACAAAACATTTTTTTTAGTATGTACAATATTTTTTAGTTTTATTAGTGTTTCATTATACACTGCTGATTATGGGGTTGGAAAGCATAGAAGAGGTTAATTCTATGTTTTTGTGAAGCCCTCCGTCTATCTGTCAGTCAGTCAGTCCATCCATCCAGAAGATAATTCAAATACAAATGAACAGATTTGCTTCATATAAGGTGGAAAGATGTATTTTGGTGAATAGTTTTACGCAAAAAATCATTCAAGATGGCTGCAGCTTGAAAAATGGTAGGAATTTCGAAAAATCTCAACATCTATTTATTTTACATGTTTTTCAGCCTGACCCCCAGGGGCCAATTATGGTATTGTTTTTAAGATTCGTGGCTCCGAAAATTCAAAATGGCTGCCTAAAGTGGTAATTTGCTATAATTTAAAGATCTCTTCATAGTATGGTTACATTTAATTACATGTCTGTCCTACAAATCAAGGGTTAGAGTAGATGGTAAATATTTGATCAGACATATACAGATTCATGGATATTTTCTTCGTTGGGATTTGCTACTCCTTGGTGTTGCAATTTTCTAGTTGATAGGTTGTTTGGGTAGTTGTCTATTTAGTAGATGTAATGGTCAAGCAGTAGCCTCTCCTTAATTCCTGTACATCATTAAGGGATTCAGGTGGTACATCACTGATCTGATTCTGATCTAACCGTAAATAAGTCAAATTTGGCAAGTGCCAGCATATATTGCTTGGTACTTAATTTAGCTTATTGCCCCTTAGTATAAGGTCAGTGAGCTCGTCATTAGCCTTAAATGTACCAGACTCTATAAATGATACCTCATTGTTTTCAATATACAGATATTTCAAAGAGCTCAGTCTATCAAACATCCCTTCTTTCAAAATTGTAAGCTTATTGTAATTTAGGTATAATCTTTCTAAGGATCGCAGTCTCGACAATGCACCCGGCTCAATGCTGGATATTCTATTCTGGTGAAAAACAAGCTGTGTTAGGGACTTCAAGCCACTGAACATGTTCTTAAATAATATTTTAACTTTATTTTGAGTCAAGGATATATATTCTAAAGAACGCAAGCCAGAAAATGCCCCAACCTCTATCTCTGAGATGTCATTATATTCAAAAGAGACTCGTCAAAGAGGTCAAACTTTTGAACATTTGCTTGGTCAAAATTGAAAGTTTATTGTGACGTAGGATTAAATTACCTAAAGATTTCAGACCAGAAAATGCACCTGTTTTTATTTCTGATATATCATTGTTGTATATATCAAGATATGTCAGTGATACCAAACTACTGAACATGTTTTGGGTTAATGTTTTAAGTTTGTTGACGCCAAGGTCTAGTTTTTTCAATGATTGTAAGCCAGAAAATGCACCAGATTCAATATCTTCTATTACATTACTGTCCAGATCCAAAAAGGTTGTTAAATTAGTCAAACTGCTGAACATCTCATTTGTCAATTTTGTAAGTTTGTTTGCTCTGAGGTATAGACTTTCTAATGAAACCAAACCTGAAAATGCCCGAGAGTCTATTTCTGATATTTCATTGCCGGAAAGGGAAAGGCTCGTCAAAGTGGTCAGCTGTCTGAACATGCCTGTCATTCGGGTAAACTTATTGTTATTCAGCTCTAAGCGTTCCAAAGTGGGTAAACCATCAAATGACTCAGGTTCTACTTGTGATATTGTATTACTGCTAAGGGCAAGAGTTTTCAAGGAGATCAAACCGTCAAACATTTTATTTGTTAGGTTTGATAGATCATTGTAAGACAAATATAACATTTTCAAAGATCTTAAGTCCGAAAATGTTCCAGATTGTACCATTGATATATCATTGCTTCTAATAGTTAATGTTTTCAGGGAGGTTAGATTCCTTAGCACACCGTTTTTCAATATTGTCAGCTTATTCCCACTCAAGTTTAATGTTTCCAACGATTGTAATCCAGAAAATGCTCCTGGTTCCATCTCTGATATAACATTGGCCTCAATTTCTAGAGTTTTTAATGAATTCAAACCTCTGAACATATTCTCCTTCAATGTTCTAAGTTGATTGCCACTCAGGTATAACGTTTCCAATGACGTTAAGCCAGAGAATGCACCAGGTTGTATTGCATCTATGTAATTATCAAAAAGTATGAGAACTTCAAGATTTGGGTACTCATTGAACATTCCGTCACTCAATACATGGAGATTCCTATTGCTTAAGTCTAGTTCAGTGGTGCCACCTGCTGGACATACAATCCCCTGAAGGTGTAGCAAAAACATCACCAGCATCATCAAGGACACATTCTGAAAAATAATGACATGAAATAATATGATATTGACTTGGCAATACAGGATCTTGGGATGAAATAAAAGAAGAATGCTGTTTTTTTGTCACCACCAGAAAACATATGAAAGTGAATAGATACTCTCTTGATGTTTTTTTTTTATTTTTTATTTTATATAGTGTTAACATTTACTCACCATATGCACTCAACAGTGTCTTACTCTCTGAAATTCTAATATAATTACATGTGCATATTAAAATAGTTTTAAAAAGCAGTCAGAATTTTTGCAATCTTTTAATAATGCACAATCATTTGTAAAGTACATATAATTTCAAGTGCCTGGAAATATATGTAATATACATATATGGTTCTTACCCAAATGCCTTGTGTTGTCATTGTTATTAGTTGAGCAGTTCTAAATCTCTACACCTTGTGTGCGTAGTTACCTTTTGTAACGCTTGAGCACACTGATGAGATATAATGCTATATACTTTTATATGTACTCATGACATTGTACTATTAAGATGGCGACAAGTTGTTAATCTTTAGTGTTTGTTGTCCTTTTAGCTTTTATATCTTGAAATGATTTCTAAATGTTGCCTTTATATGTATATAGTAGCGTAAACGTCATCATTTTTTCACATTTTCACATAGTTTATCTATTTACTCAGCATGATGAGTGCTTTCAAGGTCAGTTTTAATATCAGTTTTAATATCTAGAATTTAATAGCTATTAAACTGTAGTAATTAGTACAATAAATAATGTTTGTATCCTGTATACATGTATTGTGATATTGAGTCTGAATATCATTTTAAACCAATATGCTACTAATCCTGTCACTTATTTTTTATATTAAAACATACAACTCTTGACTATTAATCAGTTCCACCCTACAAGTTCAATGAAGAAATGTCACTTGTGTATTTAACCATATGCAATAGAATTTACTATACAAGAGAAACAATAGAATCATAACTTCACATACTGGTGTCTATATTGTAGTTGTTTAGTAAATAGAAGTAGAGTTGCATTATTGACGCAATGAGGGTCTCAAATAATTGTTTCAACTTCAGTGTCTATATTTTAGACTAGCTAAAGTCTGTTTTGGAATTGAATTCATGCAATTTATTTCATTACTCTAGTTTTCTTACATCTTACATCTGTCCTAGGGGAAGGAGGTTTAACCCTGTTCGATCTTTTTATCAGGTTTTGTCTGTGACTTGCACCTCTCATATACTGTAGCAACCTTGTAAGGGTTAGGGATGGAGTCTAAATGTCAACAGTTGAAAAACAAACATTTATTTTGTCAGGCCTAGATAAATAAAAGGGGGAAGGGTCAGTTAAACCATAATGCTCTGTTCTCACATTTAACAACATTTGGTAAGATTTCTGGTATATTTTATATCACAGTACTAACTTATAACTAACTTTATTTTCCAGATAATTGACCCCCTTCCACCTGTGGACCATGACATGATTGACTACGAGCCATTTACCAAAAACTTTTACATCGAACATGAGGAAATACAATCGCTCTCAGAGCAGAATGTTAACGAACTAAGAAATAGATTAGGAATACGGGTAATGAAACAAAACCTTTTATAAAATATTCTCAACAGGGTTCTGTACTTCTACTTAATTTGGCGGCCGTTTTAATTTGGCGGTTCCTCCAAATTGTTGTAGTCTACCAAATTAATTAGCCACCAAATTCCCTGGTAATTTTAGTACCATGTAAATTAGTACCATTAGTACATTGTGATATGGCAAGTTCATCAAATTAACTTGCCGCTAAATGTTCAAAACAGCAAATTCGCCAAAATAAGTAGCGCCAAATTAAGTAGAAGTACAGTACTAACCAAGCCTTTAAACAGTGGCATCTCACTCAAATCTGCTCAATTTACTCTATTTTGCCTTACTTAAACAGCATTAATATACTTTGGTATTTTCAAAATCAACCTGTTATGAATATTCTGGAGAAAATAGAGTACTCTGTTTAATATACCTGCATTACTGTACTGTCTGTATTTATTGCACAGGGGGCCATTAACAGAAACTTCTTAAAGTTAGGAATTTGTAAAGTCAGTTGTTCTCTAACTGTGATGTCATTATATCCATGGTTACAACAATTGATTTACTTTGTAACTTTATGAAGTTTCTGTTAATGGACCTCAGGCTTGTACATTCTAAAAATCTGTTACAAGATGAAATAAAAATAGCGCTTTGATAAGATGAAATAAAAATCTAGATTCTGATGCTATTAGAAGAATGATCATAATAGATACAATTTTAAAATGTTTTGATATTGTAGGTCTCTGGTATTCAACCACCAAAACCTGTGTCAAGCTTTGGCCACTTTGGCTTTGATGATAAACTTCTAGCAGCTGTCAGAAAAGCAGGCTTTACTACACCAACCCCAATTCAGGCACAGGTAAGAAGTTCTTCCCTGTTAAGGTAAGGGGTTCTTCAATGCTAATGTAAGGGGTTCTTCCATTTTAAGGAAAGGTGTTCTTCCCTCTTAAGCTACGTCTAAAAGGAGTTTTAAGTCAAAGGAAATCATATTTAATTGATAGAAAAAATGTTTTCAAACATGTATTTGATTTCAGGGAGCTCCAGAGAGGTATTATGTGAACTCTATACTTCATGAACTCCACCATCAATAAGTATGTAACCGAGATGTTCATTTTTGTTATTGAAAAACATGCATTTGATTTCAGGGAGTTCCAGTGGCAATGAGTGGTCGTGACATTATAGGGATTGCTAAGACTGGAAGTGGTAAAACAGCAGCTTTCCTCTGGCCGCTGATAGTACACATCATGGACCAGGTATGACAAGTTCTAATTTACACATGTGGGCTTTTGTCTAATTGTCACATATCAAGATTTATATAATGTCTATTTTTTCAGCTCCTAAAAAGCTCTATTTTGGCATAGTGACAACCAACATTGAAAATGATGGCCCTTTTAAATCTCATTCTTTAGGTTATGTGTGATTTAAATACTTTATGCTATTTTACTTAATATGTACTTGTGAAATACTGTACTCCAATTTTGCTTCTTGGAGGAGAAAACTGTAAAACTATTGAAATCACAATTTTGTTTTATCTGCAGAAAGAAATTAAAGAAGGAGATGGACCAATAGGATTAATTCTTGCTCCAACGAGAGAATTGGCGCAACAAATTTATAATGAAGCCAAGAAGATTGCCAAAGTCTTCAACATCAAAGTTGTATGCACCTATGGAGGTGGGAGTCTCTGGGAGCAGGGCAAGGCCTGTGAGGAAGGAGCAGAAATAATTGTAGCAACTCCTGTAAGCTATGCCTCTAATACAGGGTGGAACAAAATGGTTGCATTATATGTGTCATATATAATAAATAAGGGTAACTTTTTGACCCAACTTGTATATCACTTTCATGATACTTTCAATGATTTCTTAGGGTCCTGTCATATGGTAGATTGAAATGTTTCCTGCATTGAATTGCCTGGGATTGTAATGTACGAGTATTATCATCTGAGGCTGTACGCACTGACTGATATTTTGACTAGAATCATTCAAAGGTCAAAAAGATGGACAGAAAATCACATCAATAGAACAAAATATCTGTGATTAGTATTAAATCAACCAGATATATAAAATCTGAATGACGACACAGCGTGTGTATATACCTACTGAAGTCCCACCCAGTAAATAGCCTGTATTGCTATGACAAAGATAACAAAATGTAAATATTTTATAATTTTAATTTTATATAAATCTATGTAACCTCCAGGGAAGATTGATAGATCTGGTGAAGAAAAAGTCTACAAACTTACGACGTGTGACATACCTAGTTTTTGATGAAGCTGACAGAATGTTTGATTTGGGATTTGAACCACAAGTGCGATCTATTGCTAATCATGTCAGGCCCAAAAGACAAGGTAAGTCTATGATATGAATGATAATTTATTGAGTTTGGGTCAAAGAACCTTGTTGACTGTGTTGATTTTATGGGTACTGTGTTGATTATATGGGTACTGTGTTGATTATATGGGTACTATGTTGATTATATGGGTACTGTGTTGATTATATGGGTACTGTGTTGATTATATGGGAAAGGGTGATACTCCACCAAGTCATATTGGTACTCTCTTTTAGGATGTGACCCTGGGTTCCGTTTTTGGAACCGTCATAACTTAGGATTTGGTCTTAAGTCATTGTGTTAATACTTGAGAGTTTAAGCTAGTGATATTTTCACAATGTAACCGTGAACCGCCAATGAATCAATAAACTGATAAAGTAATGTATATAGCGCGCATACAAAACAAGCGCGACTTGGTCTACTTCAGATACCCAACCAGCTTCAAAGCTGTGTTTTGAACGGGAGATTTGCAATTTCACGTTGGTGGCAACGGGAATCATTATACTCATGACTTTTGTCATTTTGTATACTATGCTGCCAATTTTGTTATTTCGATGCATTGTATAATGCTTTCTGAGGAAAACGATGTATGTCATACATGTTTTAGCTCCAAATATCTTACAAAACGATGTTTAAAATATGTGTATCATAGAAAACCAGCTGTATAACTATCAATGGTATAATACACGATGATGTGTAGTCTGAAAGTAACGGTCTAAGTAAACACTGTAACCGAACAGTTATTTTATGTGAGAAAACTACATGCATTTGTATAGGGAGATTTATAAGTACAGGTTTCCCTTTCGATTTTATATGCATTGCTTAAAGTCTCGACTGTCTGATATTTTAGGAAATTATTCGTGCTAGGTATGCTTTGACTTTCCTAAAAGATAATCCAAGATCTCTCAGGCTCTTCATATAGGCAATTTTTGAAACGTCAAATTCACAGATGTAAATTACATTTTACATCTTGAATGTCAAACAAAACATAATAATTTTTGATTCTATTTTACAGCCCTTTTGTTCAGCGCAACATTTCGGAAAAAAGTTGAACGTTTGGCAAGAGACATTCTAACAGATCCTGTAAGAGTTGTACAAGGGGAACTAGGAGAGGTATTTAATGCATTTTACTAGAGGGCCATTAGAGTGCATCAATGTTCATTCATATAATTGACTCGTTGTAAGGAAGTAAAAATATTGCCATTTTGATGCTCATTGAACATCTGAATAGAAGTATGAGTCAAATAATTTTAGCTTTTGTGATATAATACATTATATGGCTACTATTTTAGTGATGTCAATCAATCCATAGAGTAATAACAACATCTTTTCCCTTATTTAACCTGACAAAATACATATCTTATTTAACTATGCACCATCTTTTGTTTAAATAAGATCCAACTTCCAACTGTTAATGAGGTGGATGGTAATCCAGTTGTTATCTGAATGATTTATGTGGATGGTGGAACATTGAACCCTTTGAGACAGTCCCTTTTGACATTTATAAGTACAGGACTGTTTACTTTTACCATTTAAATGTACTTATATTGTAGGCAAATGAAGATATTACTCAGATTGTGGAGGTGTTTCCTCAAGGGCCTGCAAAATGGATGTGGTTGACTCGACGATTAGTGGAATTTACTTCAAGTAAGTATTATTTACATTTATTTTGAGAAAATTCAAAATGAATTAATAAGTTCTTAGGAAGCTCCAACTTGCTGATTTATCAAAAGTGTTGTGGGTTTTCTTCAAATTTTACAGTTGGTGTAAAAATGCAGAAAACTCCTGAATGTTAAGGTGAATGTGGGGTCAAGTGTGACGTCACAAAATATAACAAATTTGTTACTTTTCAATTTAAAAACAACTGTAGGAGTTTGGCTTTGCATCGCAGTCAGAGTGCCTTTAAAAAAAAATTTTATGTAGAAAAGCTCATGTTTAAGGAATGTTACAAGGATCCTTTTGTATACACACTTATGTCACTATAACTAGAATTGAAATTGAAGTTGATGATTGCATCATTGGTGGATTAATTATGTCACCAAAACAAGTGGTGACATATTGTTTTAGTCCCTAACTTTTTCGTGGACAAGTTCGCCTTTCAGAGTTTGGCATCTGTAACAAATGGCAGGTAGTGACATTTTGCAAAATTAATTCTGCAAAACAGAATGTTAAGTAATGTTATAAGTTTATTATATAAAATATTTTGCTTTTAGTGGGCAGTGTCCTTATATTTGTAACTAGAAAAGCCAACAGTGAAGAACTTGCCAAAAATCTTAAGCTGAAGGATGTATCATGTAAGTTGTCGGACTCAAACTTTCAGTCATCAATCTGGAAACTTTAAAATATATGTTTATTCCTTCATTATGGTTATTTAAGTATACACCATTATTACAAAATTAATTATTTAAAGTGTGGAACTTTTATCATTTAGAATAATACTGATAATGTATATGAAATGACATATGAAGCATTTTTTTTGTTTTGAGAATCATAATATTAGGCCATAAATCACAAATAAAAGATTACATGTTTTTTTAATCTGTACCTATTCCAGTGGGACTTATGCATGGAGATATGAGTCAAATGGAAAGAAATGAAGTGATCACAAAGTTCAAGAAGAAGGAATTCCCTGTATTGGTAGCTACAGATGTTGCAGGTATTCCATTGATTATTTCAAATATTTAAAGTATCTCCATATAAATGAGTTTACTAGGTGCATGCAGGCTGACGATATGATTCCACCTAATTTCATACAATTTGTTTTCAGAATTAAGGCATATATTAAGTTTCTATAATATAGATGGAGGATTGTGATTTGTTGAACAGTACTGGACAATCCTTGATTCAGTGTTGTTGGTTTTCAGTTTAATATCTATGTTCTAGCTGAAGATGTGTTGTTGTTTTTCAGCTCGAGGGCTTGACATACCATCCATAAAAACTGTGATAAATTATGACGTGTCTAGAGATATTGATACCCATGTACATAGGATTGGAAGAACTGGGAGAGCGGGTAAACTAAAGCTTTCATATTTTAACACATTTAAACGATTTTATTTTTATCACTGGTACGTACTCCACTCAATTATGCCAGTTACAGAAAGAGACCATTTGGTAACAAAATGTTGGAATCCCAAAAGTAAGATTTTTCTTTTTCCCTTATTTCATGCCTTGTAGGCAGAATTTCCAAGACATTTTTATCACAAACTTGTATCAGTATCATATGTTTAAGAAAATCTACATGTTTGAGAACAAATAGTTCAAAAAGACAACAGAATCGTCAATTTAATACATCACTCTTTTTATGTAAATGGAACGGGTTATAAGTGCAGATCTTAACTGTCTTTGAAGTCCTGTTTACATAACAAAAGTGATTGAGTACCAGTGATTATAACATGTATGTAGGATGTATATTTCACCCTCACATCTTTCTATATACGTCTCATGGTTTACCATTCTCATTATATCAGTGATCAATCCTGCCAAGCAATTTTATAAAATAATAGCGAAATACACCTTCACTATTAATATATTCAGTAAAATTAGTGTAAGTCGAATGCCTTTTGGTACACACTTTTATTTGATATTGAGTCATAGTATTCAAGAAGAAGGAATTCCCTGTATTGGTATAAGTTCCAATCCAAAAATATGAAGAAGAAAATTTCAAAACTCCCTCAAGAATTGTGTGTGTATATTTTCAAATTGATTTGTAATTGTTCTTTATTTAGGTGAGAAAGGCACAGCGTTTACTCTTATCACATCGAAGGACAAAGATTTTGCTGGACATCTTGTGAGGAACTTGGAAACAAGTGGGCAATATGTTCCACCCCCTCTAATAGAATTAGCTAATCAGGTAAACCCAGTTCTACATTCATCTCTCTGAAATAACCAAGTTTATAAGATATATATTTGGCTTCAAAGAAGCAACAAAACCAATATTTGGTATTCTGCCATATCGATTATCGATGCCTTCAATTTTGAGATTTAATGAGTAATGCACATTTTATTTTACATGTTCAGTTTGCCCATTTTTAGGATACAAGAAAACAAAAGTTCTCATCCACCAAATGAAATAATACCATTAATATAACTTGCTTATCTATAAGTGACATTTTGATCATAGATTTATATTCATTGTTTTGCAGAATCCATGGTTCAAGAATTCTAGGTTTAAACAAGGTAAAGGCAAAAAGCTGAGAGGCCTTGGGTTCAAAGAGAGGCCTGGCCTAGGAGCTGGAACATCAACCGTGAGTATTAATTCAAACTTTCAAGATTTTTTAGTGATCTGATATTCCTTTTGTTTAATGTTTTTTGTTTCAATTCAAAAAGTAATAAAAGGGAGTTTCTTGTTATTTTAAATGTAAATCAATTGAAGCAATGTCAATTTGCACAATGTGGTGGCAACTTTTGAAAAGAAATGTAGTGATTCATTGGTGTATGCTATTTGACAAGCAGTTCAGTGGGAATTGATATGCCCTAGTGTTACTTTTAAGTTATTTCAAGATAAAGTTGAGCTATTCGTCAAAAAATTGTGTTTGGATTCATGTCTCATTATGTAGCTTGCAGTGAAGTATTAAAGTTGTGGCACCCATTTTGAATCTCTGTCCATTCTCGAGGATCTATGCTAAAATATCGTATTTCTGTGTGATGTCTATTGTCTATGCCTCTATCTCATACATTCTATTGATGTGTTTGTGAATCTCCCAATTCTAGAGCTCTTCTAAGTCTTCTTCTACAGCAAGTGCCCCAGCGCAGGAGGAACGTCTTGGCCCTCAGAGTGACAGGATATCAGCCATGAGATCAGCGTTTAAGGTGCATATAATACTGAAATTTCCCACATCTTGTACTTTTGAAATTCTCCAATTTGAATATTTCATACACCATTGGATAAATAATATTATTGTCAAAAATAAAGCTCTAGTACGTGTAGCCTGTACAAAAAAGTACAATTTTTTTTTTATTAAGGCAATACAAGCGTATGTATGTATGTATACAAGTGGGAATTTGAATATTTATTTCCTTCTTTTTTTCAGTCACAGTTTTCAAGCAATTTTGTATCATCAACTTCTGAAGAAACTGGTTGGAAAACTATGCAACGACATAATAATAAGGACGAAAACCCAAACAATTATCAAATTCCCGAGGCACCAGTACCAAAAAAGCCACGGAAAAGTCGCTGGGAAGACAGCTGAATTTAATTTATAATTTTCGGTACAAGTTGTGAAAGATACCTGATGATTTGGAGTCTCGATATACATCATGCATTGGTAATATCACCCAGAGGAGTCTTATAATGTTGAATTATCTTCAAATGTTGAATTATCTTCAATGTCGAATTATCTTGAACTTTCATTGGATCGAATTAAAGGATGAAGAATGATGTAATCTTGTAAAATCTATATTCGTCAATGTTGGTTGATAACAACAACTAAATCTGGCATATCACATTTTGACCAATCACGGATATGCTTGCAAACTGACAATATACGCCATAAAATCACCATAGAGTTGAAAAAAGAATGAATTGAGTGAGTTCTGGAGCAGTGTCTACAATGAGGCATACACCATGGGTAGAAATCCTGAAAATGATGTAGGTAGTATAATAGTTCTAATATTGATAATGATGACAGATATTTTGTGGGCATCGATATTTTCCATCTCATAATGTCTTATTCAAAGTAAAGTCTACAATTGATGAATAAATTCATGAAAAATAGAACTTCTGTAGTTGGTGGAGTGTATATCTGAAAATTAAGTGCAATACTGCAGCATACGTTTTAGTTTGTCATAATACACTTACTTATGGTTATTTATTTAAGAGGGGTATATCAATGAAAAGTTCCCTCTTTAGAAGCCCATGGGCACCCATTTCAAATTACTTTCAAATAAATGCTCAGTGGGTGAAGAATTTTAAAAAGGATCAATTATTCCTAGAAATGTTTGAGATCTCATTGAGGGCTATGTCAGTGTCCAGGCAGAGATAGATTTGACTGATATTCCCCAAAATATTAATGGCCACATATCATCTGATCAAAATAAGTATGATTTGACTTAATGGGAGAAAATTCTGGAGGTTTGCTCATTAAAACACATCAAGAATCAAGAAAGTGTCATCAACTACAGATACGCATGCATATTAATTTTTTCTAATTTCATTTGTTATTAACAAACACAAACTTAATTTCAATAACTTTTTATTTTAAGCAATAATTAATTTTCTTAGGATATCCAATAATTTTGATCATGTAAATCAAGATGAGTTTTGAAATAATTAAATCTAGCAAATGCTATAATAATGGATAGATTTTAGTTAAGATATATCATATGATATATCATTTTTCATATCTATTTTTATGAATAAGTACCAAATGTCAAATGATGAGATACTTTTAGTATCAGCAACATTTGGGTACTTTTTAATGATCATTGATCAAGTCAGTGTATACACAATTCCATGGACTACTAGTATACATGGATAAATATGTGAAACACTTTTTTCATACATGTTAGACAATTGGTTATAAATATACATGTATTATGTTTACATGGACTACATTGGAAACATATAACTTGTAACACTTTTTTCATACATGTCAGACAATTACAAATGTAACATCAAAACTGCAAACACAAACATTGGTTATAAACATTAACTTTTATATTGTTTACATAAATGAAAAAAAATCTTCAATATGTCTGACATCTTGATCATTAAATATCATAATGATAATCCTTTGATATCAATGTACAGGTATGTTTTACATTATATCTGTCAAGTGGCTTGCTACTTTCTCTCCCCTGATTATTCAATAAACATTCCCAAAGGAACAAAATGTCAGACGATATTACATAACAGCTTATATGAAATTTATGCTAAAATAATGACAATTAATACGAGAGAAACAAATCAAGTGGCAATATACGAAAAAACATCTTACACTCACACATGATCATCCTCTACTATATATAAAATGAGGATACACTGGTTAGCTGGTACATTAATACCCTTTTGGTATTATGCGCAGCAGATACCACATTTTATTTAAAAATACTCTTTGTACAATACACCATCTGATTACAACCAAATTCAAGATATCTATGGTATTTCTTTTAGTGACTCTTTGAATGTCATAACACGACTGCACAAAAATAAAGCTATTTAACTATACTGTACATAACTATTATGCTATTAAAATGCAAGATTTTACATACATGTACTATTTTTTGGTGGTGCATCTAGAAGGGTAAATTCAACCCTCCTCATTGTATTTGAACAAAGCATTCTCTGATGGCATTTACATTATGAATGCACTTTCAGGATGACCTACATCAATGTCTTATCAAGGTGATACTACATTTACAGTATGAAACAATATTTTACAATTTTCATTGGGCATTGGACAAATAATCATAAAATGCTTTTGTCACTTCATGAAGATGGATTTTGGTATGATAACCAAGTATGAATTAGATCTTAGGCATGCTGGGTAAAATTTGAGGTGCCATTAGGTATCAATGCGTGCTTTGTTAAAACTATACATTCAATATTTTTTAGTCTTCAAATTGAAAAGCCGTACACTGGCTGTATCAAAAGTTTTGATTCAATATCAAAAAGCAAAAATATTATCAGCTATATGTACACACTATTTTTCAGTCTTTTCTTTATTGAAAGCTGTGGACTGTTTGGCTATACCAAAAGTTTTGATATAATGTTGAATAATATCAAAAAGCAAAAATATTATCAGCTGTATGTATACACTATTTTTCAGTCTTTTCTTTATTGAAAGCTGTGGACTGTTTGGCTATACCAAAAGTTTTGATATAATGTTGAATAATATCAAAAAGCAAAAATATTATCAGCTGTATGTATACACTATTTTTCAGACTTTTCAACTTGAAATTGATATAATATCAACTAGTAAAATTCAATAAAACTATATCAGCTGTATATTTACACTAATTCACAAACAGAAAAGCTATACACTGTAGGGTCATTATCACAGGTTTTGATATATCAAATATTATTATATCACTGTCATATTCCTCTCTTATTGGTCCATGGCCTACATTAGTCCAGTGACTTAGTACAGTGTAATTTTAATTTTATATATACCCAGGGTTCATTGTAATGATTAATTAGACAACGATAGTTTGTTATTCAATTAATGTGAGTGAGGTATATAACAGTGAATAATAAAAAAACAAATATTTAATAATATTTTTGGTAAATACCTGTGACAAATTCACAAGATGATATTCCACTAGCCATTCGGGCTTCGTGGAATATCACTTGTGAAAGATGCACAGGTATTCATCTCAATAGAATTAAATATTTCTATAATATTACAATTCAGCAAAACTGATTATCTGATTCAGCTATATGTATACTAATTTCAGTTTTCAAACTGAAGCTGCACATTGTATGGCTATACCAAAAGTTTTATTTAGATGTACATGTAAATGTAGTATCATGAATATCGAAATCCTAAAAATGTATGTTTTAACCATGTAATCTCAATATGCAATATACATTTTCAGAGGACAAACCCCATTTACAAACATGGTCATTGATGATTTATTCTCTACTTTGAAAAGTGTAAATTTCATTTCAAAGCTTACATGTGTATGTACATTACATGAATATCACACATTTGGTGCTAGATAACATACAGTTATTAATTTGAATATATTCCATCTCTGAGTTGATTGAACATTTACATGAAACACTCAGTGTGTACCTCGATCTCCACATTTTCACAATTTCATATGCAGAAATTCTCCAAAATATCATGGTAGTTGTGGCATGGGCATCTATCTGCAACTCAATGAAGTCTATCCATATATGCTTGTGACTGATCTACTATTTGCTGGGTAAGTGAGATCACACTATATGAATCTTTATTCAAAAACATGTCACGTGGTGTATGGGGGTAAGGTACTTTACTGGGATATCTCATTGTTGTGTGCTCTCCTGTTAGTGCTTGAAGCTGTTTAGCAGCTGATGTTAGCTGAAAAAAGATTGAATATTCCATACTTGGAATTTTTTCATATGCCCAAATTTGCATAAGTAAAACAAGGGCCAAATGATCCAAACTTACAGTTTAATTATACTTGAAATGACAATGTCTTACACACATACTATTAAACTTAGTTCAAAGTATATTACTACTATAGCATATTTCCATTTTTATGTCACCCACCACCACGAGTGGAGATATATTGTCTCCAACCTTTTTGTGGATTGTGTTTGGTAGTCGGTGGTTGATGTTCGGCCTCTGTAACAAATGGCAGGTGACATTTTGCATGTTAAACCCTTGTTAAAACATAAAATAAATCTTACCATGCCATCACCCAAGTGACGTGCAATGACTGGTATATCATGTGAGAGAGAGGCTTCCAGGGCATCTATGTAGTACAGAGCCGCCTTCAGGGCTTTCTCAGCAGACTAAAATTATAGTAGTAGGTTGGTTATAATAACTGTCAAGGTTATAAATAGTGGTGTTGACCCAAAATGTAATAATTTATAGATACATTTCAGAGTGACTCCCTACCCCCCCCCCCATCCCACAAAAAGTACATAATAACAAAGTACTGTAATAACTCCCACAGAAGTGGACTAGAAAAATATTTTTAATATATCTTTATACAACATTTAGAGTTCGAAATAATATGAACATTTAAAGTACTCTTACTTGCAGGCAGATATAGTATATCCATTCCTTGGACTTTTTAAGACCATGACACTGGGCAGTCTCAAGGTCAAACTTTGCTTGTTTCATCCATCTTACTGCTTCACCGGGCTGAGGATTCTTGGCACCAAATGATGGAGACTGTTGAAAACTGAACCTGCTTTTACTTCTAGATGAAAGTGAAGATCCACTAGAGATACATGGGTCGCTATTTACATGCTCTAAGTACATCTTACGCTGAGCTATATGGATTTGTGATCTGTCATACAGGTAGTCCTTGACCTTCCTAAGTGATTCTGTATATGATGGTTGCTGACTCTCCCCCTTTTCATCTGGAAAATGCTCATCATAATGTTGCTTAGGTGTTCTACTGATTTTTGATAGTCTAATATTTTCATCAAAGATATGCTGAATTATGTTGTTGCAAAATGTCTCTTCCCTGTGAGGGTTTTCACTTGCTTGCCACATTTCCATTGCCCGAGTGACAAGATGAATTCTTACATTTTCTTCCAAATCCCATGTCCTTTCTAGCATATCAGACACTTCTTTCTTAATCTCATCAAGAGTAGGAAGATGGTCATCTGTGCTTGCATCCTCTTCTTCAATATCCTTGATGGATTTAAATGCATACAATTCAAAATCTGGCTTCTCAACCTTCTCTCCACCACCAACATCTATCTCAAAAACCTTGTATGTTCTATGTTCGTCTTTGCGAACATGTCTGATAATCTTTGCATATTTGTAGACAGGTGCTACTCCACATTCTATTTGTACAACAATGCTGTCTTCAGAGTATGCTACAAAATCTCCTGCAAACAAACTGCCTGGTCGCTTTTCTAGTAAGTGATGGTCAGCAACTGGGATATAATCCCCAGGTACAGGAAGATTCATATCTTCATATGATATGTTGTATTCATTTATTCCATCATCATCTAACACACTCAATATGTCTCCTGGATTGTCATGCCTTAGCATAAAGTACAATCTCATCTCATAGTCTTGAAGGTTTACATGCATCCCTATGATCATCTTAACAATTCTGTTTGCAACTTCAGTGTGGCCTCTTCTCTGAAAATTGATATACACCTTTGTTCCATCAGTCTGATCAATATGATATGGCTTTTGTTTTTCAGTATTAAGTAGTATTTCATTGGAGTCAGACAGTTTTAATACAGTTGTAATTTTTTCTGTACCAATGATCTCAATACTTTGCAGCTGTAGTAGTATGTGTTTGTCCACATCAGCATCTTTTCCCTTGCTTCTCGTATTGTGGACTAACCTGAGAATCCCATGGTAGAAATGTTTATCTTTTAGCCTAGAGTTCAGTTGTTCAACAATTGCTACATTATATGTAACTGGCACTAACTCTGAATCTGCAAGAACCTCTACTACAATAGATGAAAGCATACGTGGTCTTAAGTGTACTGGTAACTGTTTCAGAGACTCTGCTTCATTAGGTAGTAGGATGTCGAGACTTGAGAGATCTTTCATAAAAGACTGGGATTCAACTTCCAGTTTTTTCACTCTTCTTTTGTAATCAGGTCTATCGTTGCAAACTAATGTAGCAGCATCTTTTAACTGGTTATTGTTGGACAGAAGGTAAAGTTTGTCTATCCCACTGAAATCATGTTCTTTCTCCACCAGGACCAAATGGAAGAAGTGAGTTAAGGCCTTCTGGAAGGCATATAAAGCATTTGGATCCTTCACAAATTCAGTTTGACTACTAGTATTTCTACTTGCAATGTATATTTCCTCTAGTACTTTGGATAGCTGGCAAAGAGTCACTTTTTCAGTGCAGCCTAATTTTTGCAGAATGCTTTTACTGGCTTCAAGGTTTGATGGTATTTTGTAAATATATCCATATATTTCATCTCCCCGGTAGGGATCTATTAAAAGTTGCCTTGGCATGACAAGTCTTTGCCCTGCATCCACAAAAATGACATTGGTATTCTGCAACTGATCCCAAACTTTTTTATCTATTTCATGTTCACATCTTTGCAGATACTCAAATGTTTTGGTACAAATTTCGATCAGCTCCAGTTTTTGGTACTGATGTAGCTTGTCGAGTTTAACAGCCTTGCAGATGTTTATCCAATTCTGCCCAACCAAGGAACCTGTTGGCTGCTTTGGTGATGATAGCGTGTAGTGTAACTGATCTTTTATTGAGATCAACCTTTTTTCAATTTTATTGAAACCAATGAAATCATGAAATAAATCAGAGTGGAGGTTTGCATATTGTACAGCTGATACATCTGCATATCTTGGCAGTACAGATGAAACTGTCCAAGTTAATTTGTCGAAATCTGAACTCAGAGAATCTTGAAAACACACATATGATCCTGAAACTGGTCTTCCATCTTTTCGTGTAATGCCATATTGAGGGGATATACCTGCCAATGTACCCTTTACAAGATGTGGTGAAATGAATTTTATAGCTTTCACCATGGCCGATATTCCTACAGCTAGGATATCCTTTCTCTGAAATAGGTGCTTTACTAGAACTCTGGACTTTTTCTCAATACCATCAGCTGCAGATCTTTTACTATCGTAGTGTGAGGATTCATCCATATTCAACAGTTTTGCCTCACTTTCAACTTCCTTAGCAAATTCTGCAAACTCTACTGGACTAATATATGATTTCAAACCAAATCTTCTAAAGAATGGTGTCCAGTTATCTTCCTTCTTGAATAGTCTATATTTGTCACATTCTGTAGTGTAAGATTGAAACCAAGCGTCTGGTAGATGTTGAGTTGGTCTCATCTCTCTCCAAACAGGGTTGAGTTGATCAACAAATTTTGATACACAATGAAGAATAGTGTCATCTAAAGGATCTTCAATGAATTCAAGTGTCCTTAAGCCACTAAGAAGAACATCTCTTTCTTTAGCAGCTTTAATTTTTTCTGCATTTGTATATTTTTTATATTCTGTATCAACAATGTGGTCAAGATCAGGTATGACATCATTCTTTAGGTATCTCAGGTGATGTTTCCTTTCTTCGGAGTTCAACAAGCTGAACTGAGGGAACATAAATCCACAGTACAACTCTGACACAGTCTGGGTTGTGAATCCAAGCCAATCGTATAGCTCTTCGAATCTCTTCTTCTCTTTTAAGAAACATCTTCTATGTGTTTTACCTTGGAGCCAACAGTCCATACCAGCAGTTGGAACACTACTTGGAATTACATAGACATCTACATCTTGTGGTTCATCATGTTCATTTGTGTCAGTCACTGAAATGCAACTGTACTGCATTGTTACAAACAAAGGAAGCTGTCGTAACTTGGTAATGGCATGTGGTGTATCCTTTGTGAGTTGAAGATTTTCTACATAATATCCAAGAACAATGTCTGCATCTGTCGACCTGAGAGTAAACTTTTCTGGTGCATGTTTTTTTATGTGTAATAACATGTCAAGCATATTTGATGGGTTACATACAGTAGTAACTAGCAACTGGGCATAACCTGGGAGTGCACCGGAATCTAATTTGAGCACAGGTATTTTCTTGAGCACATCCAAAAGGCCAGAGTCTTTTGTTTTGCTATCTGGTCTTGTACAGTTAACATCTAAGATAGTATACCTTCTACAAATTGGAGCTAAAACAGATGTGTCAGTTTGAATCATATTGTGAGTTTGACTCCTTATGCATGGTATTATGGACCACTTTGAGAGGGGCTGTAAACAACCTTCAATTTCCATGATTTTTTCTGAAACATCACTTTTCTCCTGAATTGCTTTGATTTCAGTTGTAGAACCAACAAATGTCCAAAGTCTAGATATCCAATGCTCAAATTTGTAACCAAACTTTGATGATTCAACATCTATTTCCTTATCAAACAGTTTAGACTTGAATTCAGACTGTGGAAGAAGCTCAGATAGTCTTCTAATTGATAACTCACAAAGAGCAGGTTGGTCCTTGTGCTGGTCCAATATTGGAAGCAACATCTTGTGGATGAACTTATTGGACATCTTTGGAACTAGATCAACAAAGTCAGATAGAATCTTTGGGTCTTCAGATGAAAATTTAGTCAGTACATTGTCTTGCTGCACACAGAGTGGTAAGTTCTCTATATCCACTTTGCCACTGTGTTTGTCATTCAAACAATATTCTAGTAAGTCTGCCACACATTTTACTCCACAAAATAGTGAAGATTCTACTGGAATAGAAAGTTTTAACTTGCACAATGGTTTTGGTGAATGCCATGTCTTCAGAAAAGCGATAACTGAAGCTGGTGTGACAGTTTTAAGTGTGACACCAGATTGATTGAAGTTGTCAAAAATTGATTGTGGCATGTCCAATAGCCTCATTCCTAGAGTTTTAAGAACATCAGATATACATGGATTCCTACTCTCCGTATCTCTCTTGGCTTTGATGTTGTAAGTACCAGCTCTGTTAGAAATGTGAACAAAATTTTCCATGGCTTCTGAATCTGAATTACAAATGTTGTCAAAGTAAACATCTTCCTCATCTGTGCTGATGCTGTTAACAGGCCACCATTTGATGGTACAACTATCTGTTGATGTAGTCTTTGTCACTACTGGCAATAACATCACATCTTGGTTAGATGCTATGGTCCGATACAACTCCACACTCATAAAATCCCAGTAGCTTTGTGAAAAGTTCTCATTGGCTGCTTTTGGAAATAAGTTGTAATATTGCTCCAGTTTTAATAATGTGGATCCATATGCAAGTGGCTCACCTGCACCAAGATTGAGCATTACTTTAATTTTATTTATATATGTGATGTATGCTGGAACAACAATTTCCTTAAGAACAAGATGATTCCATTCAGTCCTGTAACTTTTGTCATCAAACAGGTCTCGGCGGGCATCGTCTAGAGCGAAATGCCCATTGATATGAACAGGTACATTGATCTCAACAGGGAGTGGAAGAAAACAAAATGCCTTGGAATGTGTCTGTCCTTTTGTTTCAGTTCTCCCTGCCACAGCTCCATGAGGTAACAAAAGCAGATCTCCTCTAGTGTAAGCCTCTTTAATGCAAGGTGCTATTTCTATGCCCTCTTCAAAGCCAAATCTTCTCGATATAAGCCATGTTTCTTTCTTTCCCTTGCTATCAGTAATACACTTTTCATATGTGACTTCAATGAGAGGTATTTCATCAACTGTTATCTTTCCTGATTTAAGACCTATTGTATGGGATGTCACTTTTTCATTAAATGCACGAAGCTTTACTTTATCTTCCTCAGATATCTCTGCAGTCACATGGTATTGTGCATGCATCTTGTTTTCTTGTGCATGTGCATCTATCTGTCCAACTACAATTTTCTCAACACTATTCACAAAGAGTAGAGCATCAAACATCTCACTTTTGAATTCTTCTAGCAATTTCTGTACATTCTCTGGTTTGACCGCCTCATTGCTGATGGCAGATTGATCAGCTATTTCTTGAGTTCTCAATGGTAATCTAAATAATGTAGATTCTTCCTCACTGAAGAATTCATGTTCGTAACATGAAAACACATCTGGATACACTTCCCTCCTATGATTGTTAACTTGTATCTGTACACCGGGAGCAGGGGTGTCTTCATCACACACATACTTTAGGTTAGGATCAAATGCACACAGTTTTGTGCCAATTTCAGACCCATTAGTCAGGAATGTAGGTGTGTCAGTTAAGTGGTATACTGCATTGAACCCTATCCCATACTGTCCAGTTTTGTTAGGGTCACTTCCCTTGCTTCCCTCACCAAGATTCTGAATTCCTGCCAAGTCCTTCTCTGTAAAAGGTTTGTTGTTGTACACAAGCAGTGCTGGGCCTTGAAGGTGACTCCAACTTTCCAGAAACAGTTTCTTTCCAGCATGTTGGCGTTTATCAAGGACAAAATGAAGTTCTGTAGCACAAGCATCATCTGCATTCTGCAACAACTCCTTCATGATAGATTGGTCACATGGATATGACTTGATAATATTCTTAAGTCGTTGTGTCAGTTTTTCCTTTTGACCGAACGGAATAGCTTCACTTATTAATCTGAAATTTTTTTCCTGTTTTGTTTTGATTCCAAGTCCACGGGGTAAGCTATCATGTGCAAAATTCATTGTCTCAGTAGTCTTGACCCATTGAGATGGAATATCATCAAAGCATAGGTCTGAAGCAAGTACTAGTCTCCGATCTTCTGTCGGCGCATATATTTCAGCCAAATCATCTATCAATACATCCTCATATTTTCGAGCATTGTAAAGCTGACTCACAAGATTCAGTGCAACTTCTAGCTGCTTCGGGCTCATCACATTATCTTGAATATCTTGGTGCATGTCTCCAAGGGCTTTTTTGAAGTCATCAGAACCAAATCTTGCTTTAACTTCAAAGGCCTTTAACAGCTTTTGATATTTCCATTTCATGGAGTGTCCATTCAATCCATACAGATATGGAGGACATGAAGGATTCAAATCCTCAGCAATTTGCTGTGGATATATCAATGTTTGATCAATCAACAAACATTGCGAGAAGCAAAGTGCATTGTTGATCTTAGTCTTAGTCTGGTGATATGCCTCCTCTTCTGCTTGAACATGTTTAAGTTTCTGTTCTAAAAAATCATAGACAGAACTGCACATTCTTACCAGTAACATCTTGTCGATACAGGGGTACGATATGATAGCAGTCATTTGATCAAGTGCCCAATCTAAGGGGATATTTTTCCTATCCAAACCGAGTAATACAGAGACAGAATATGGAAATGGAGACATATTAGTTTCATCTAAAATGAAACTGGCCTTGCTGATGTAATGCATATGTTTTGCTAAATGGAGATCATCTGCAGTTCCAAATTGTGAATCAGATTGCTTCCACAATTCGTTTGGAAAATCTAGAGGACATTGTTTTATAGGCAGAAAGGCTGTCTTTAGAAGTTTGTCCTGAACATCATTGGGTATGTCCTTATCAGTGTTTTTGATGATACTCAATCTTGGTGACTCAAGTTTCTTGGTCATTGCTATCACACACTGCTTAGAACGTTCCTTAGCACTGGTTCCATCCTCTTCATTGAACATTTCAACACTTGTAGCTCTTTCCAAGATATCATACCATGTCAGCTGGGTGCATTTGTGCTTCATTCCTAATTGCCTCAATACCCTCAATATGTCTTGTTGAATGTAAGCATCTGCAGGGAATACCTCATCTACATCACAATATAAATCCTTCAATTCAGATGAAGAATCAATGAGATCTGGAATTGTTCTCAGTTGACCCTTTGGCTTAACTGGCACACATGGCACAGTATTCATCAGATAGATAATGCCTTTACTCAACAAAGCCTCATTTTTCAATGCATACAACATCAAGGAGTCCCTATATTCCTCAGGTAATGTATCTATCTGATGGAAGAAAACATCCTTGAAGAACTTGTCTACAGTATACATTGTCATTTGGAAACAAGATGTTTCCTTTAATGTTTTGAGAACCACTTCTGGCATATCAGCTACTACGATGCTCTCTGGATGGTGAATTTTAAGTACATGCTTGGCTTCAGTCAAGGGTATCTTGGATTCAGATTGTTCATCATTACTGGATTGTTCATCAGTCCATTCTGTATCCATGAGAACAGTATTCTGTACATTTCTCCAGGATCTTCCATCCGTAAATATTTCTGGACCATTATTTACGCTTAGGAGTCTCTTATAAAAACTCTCTTGGAACTGGCCGTACACATTTGAGGAATTTTGCATTGTTGGCCAAACATTGTAGTGATTTTTTCTCATATCTGGATCCATAATGGCTTTCAGGTCCACCAGTGAGTCAAGGTAAGCACAAACAACAGAATCCCTCATTAAGATTTCATTCCATTTGGCCTCTTCATTGCTCTTATCTCCCGGCTTCCATTCACAAAGCTCTCTACGGCTCTGAGTCACAGCAAAACTTCCATTGATATGAACTGGAAGAGATGCAATGGGTGGAACTGGCAATGGCATAAAACAAAAGATGGTGGCTGAACCTGTACTTATGGGCCTGTAGCAGCCTTCCTTATCTGTTGGCTCAATATTCATGGCAACACCAGCTAGGGAGTTGTGTCGCCTTGGGTCTGATTTGGCAGTTTTATAGGCACCACTCTCTCCAATGTTCCAAGACACTAACCAATGTTTTTCTCTGTTCTCTGGAGATACTTCCAAAAACATATTGCCAGTGTCCTCAATGGTCTTTATTGTTTTGACAATGTCAGAAGATTCCGGTTTGGAAGTGCTTTCGCAACTCTGTTGAAGATACAGGTATGATGAATCCAGCATGCTATTTTTTGAAATTGGACTCCTGATGCATTGTATTTTCTCCTTTGTAATTGTCAGTAAGATTTCAGATTGTACTGGTTGGACTTCATTTTTATTTGATGTGCCTTTGGGAATTTTAGAAATTGTTATCTCCCTCACATTCTGAGTAAAAAGCATCATCTTATGTGCCCCAACCTCAAGAGTCTGTAGCAGTTTTTTCATTTCCACCTCATCATAACAGATTTTACTGATTTTGCTTGGTTTTCTCCGCAGGGGAAATCTGAAAAGGGTTCCCTTGTAGTAAGGCACTTCATTATCATTGCAGCTTAAATTGCACTTACACATTCCATTGTATGGTTTGAACTGGTCGGCTAGTTGTGGTAGTTTCTTTACAAAGTGAATTGCAAGTTTAATTCCTGGTTTTCCACTAATTGCTTTTCCAAGAAATGTTTGATGTGGATCAAAAAAAGCAATGCTCTCTCCACTTACAAAACTTGGGACATCAGTGAGATTGTACACAGCGTTAAAGCCAAGGCCAAACTTTCCAATCTTGTTTCCCTTTTCAGCTTTGGTTGCACCTCCAAGCTTTTCAATGTTTTCATAGTCATCTTTTGAGAATGTGGCATCATTGTGAACCCATAAGGCAGGTCCCTGTAAATCACACATCTCTGGGTCCAGGAGGAATGTTCTAGCATCTTGATTATCTCGTTCATCGTAGATAAAACTGACCTTTGTAGCCCCTGCATCATCTGCATTCTGAATCAATTCTTTTGGCACAGAAAATCCATCTTTGTAATCTTTGAGAATATTTTGAAGTCTTGTTGTCAAGTCTTCAGTTTGACCATAATCTCCAAAGCCATTATCATCCCCTAAAATTTTGCTCATCAGAGAAGGGACACCTAAAACAGTACAAGTGTCCTCTGAGATATCTCGATGTACGTAGCAATGTGACATTAAATGGGCACTACATTTTTGTGTAAGCCATGCCTGTACACTGTACATATATGCACACTCATTGATCTTTTTCAGCTTAAGAATACCCCGATCCTCGTCACTTTGCACTGGAAGCAGCAATCTGTCTTTCACTTGACTCAACTCTACTTTCTTCCTTTTCACTTCAGAGGCAATCTTATTGATTGTGGCCACAGCTATTCTCAAATCTCTATCATAGTCTCTCTCTGCTATAGGTGCGGCATTCATTTTTTCCAGTGTGCTCATTAGAATTGATTCAACTGATCCTTCTTGTACTGGAGCTTTCCTGATGATATTTCGGAATTCTTTCATCTCACTGGGAAAAAAATATATGTATGGCTCTAATGGAAAGTCTGCTTTGGTGAGGGCTATGCTAGATGGACCTGTGAAGCCATTTCCATGCCAGATCCACTTCAAACTTGAGTCCTGTATCAGCAATGTTTGAAGGGTTGGACTGCTAACCATTTGTTTATACACTGATTTAGCTAATGTTGAATAAACTCCTTTATCCTCGTGTTTGTAGCTTGTGGAGATATTTTTCATGTGCTGGTGTATGATGCCATCGTGAGGTATTTTACCCCAGCCAAATGCATTGCTCACTTCTTTGACATGTTTTGTCATTATCAGTGGTTGTGCAGATCCAATCAAATATACAAACTTTTGGTCACAAACTTCACTTGGCTTCCATAACTTCCTACTCTCCTCATACGACACCTTTAAAGAATTTGGTAATTCATTATTTTGTGTCTCATCTCTAAGTACCCAGACAATGTCAGCGAGTTGATCTACCAAGCTTTTGTCACGCAATATGCTGCAGTGCCTCTCCAAATATTTCAGTAGTTCTTCTGATTTTGAAATATCATTGTTGCATTCAATATTTCTTGCAATATTCAGAATGTCATCTTTAGATAACACAGGTTTAAGTCCAAGCTCTTCAAGGATTGTGATAGAAGACTTTTCTTGGTACACTTCATGTGGTACTTTGTGCTCAACCAAACTAGACAGCTTTGGATGATACAACTCACTGATACTGCACAAAGAGTGATCTTTATCTGCTAGACATTTGCTTGTCTTCAGTACAATTTTTAGTCTTTCCCAACCTTTCCCCTGGTGCATCATGCGGTAGCAGTTCTCCAGTATATGTAGCATAAGTTCTTGTGTTTCCAATCTTGTGTACTCACTCAGATAGGGTACAATGTGATCCACAATGAGATCTGCCTCCTGTAAGGGATTTACTCCTGCCAATGATGCTAACTTCATCACTCTTTCATTGTTCTTAATCATTCTAACTTTCACCTTGATAGGGATAACTTCTTTGCACATTATAGGATCATTACCATCAAATGACACCCACTGTTGATCTGTAGATTTGAAAATTGGCAAGGATCTTATCAACTTTCGATCAATATTTGAATATAAGCTGATGTTGGCAAGTTCTATCTGGAGTGCTTCTCGTTCTTTTTTAGATGCTCTATGCAGATACTCAGGGATTTCATACTGGTGGTTCACTTTGTCAGCAATTGCCTGAAGAATTCCAACAGGGGTAGCAGAATGTATATAAGACTGGCTTTTCAATTTTTGCTCTTGAGAATCCCATGGTTTGGGAAGGTAATTAATGACAGTTACACCAATGCCATTAAGCAGCCTCTTCAAATGGCTGTTGATTTGTGGTTTCCCCTCAAGAAGTATTCCCGAGTTCTTTTTCAACTGTATCAGTTTTACAGAATTCTGCTGTATGAGATGAAGGTGTTCAAACTGATCTAGCCCTTTTCTGTTATTCACAATGTAGTTCGAAACACTATCTGACCATGCTATGTTCTGCTTTGCCTGATTTGGTGTCAAGTCAATGGTAGTTTCATCCTTCCAGCTTTCTGGTTCAGTTTCAAATATCAATCTACGAGCTTCAGAATCCGTCATCTCTGCTAACTGAGTAGAACCTAAATTGAATTAAACGGGACTTGATTTGATACATTAGCACTTATCTAAACAGTACTTTATTTCCTGAGTATTGAAATAGGTGCTACAACCACCCAATAAAACCACCCTAGAAAAACAGCAAGTCCCAGGAGTACCAATCCCACCAAACAAAACATATATTATCAAATTATAAAAATGGCAGCCATTTTGAATGCATCAGCATAAAGATTTCGAACCAAATCTGTCAACTGGTATGCGATATATCAAAGATTAATTTTTACTTAAAAGGGTGGCTCTTTTGAATTCAGTGGTAATCTTGAAAATGTTTGTCCCTAAGGCAGCATATAAAAAATTGATTCAATAGTATATGAGTTATTAACTAGAAAAACAGCAACTCCAAGGAGTAGCAAATCCCACCGAACGGCAGTTGAGTTACCAAAAGATTACGAAAATGAAAATGAAAAATGGCAGCCATTCTGATGATCAGCCGCCATCTTAAAAAAAATTTCTCGAACAGAGCAACTGTGTTTCTAGGCATCAGCATATAAAATTTGAACCAAATCTGTTCACTGGTATTTGACTTATCAAAGATTACGTTTTTTCTTATGAAAAATGGCTACCATTTTGAAATTCAGTCGCCATCTTGAAAATTCTTTCTTGAACAGAGCTACTGTGTCTCTAGGCATCAGCATATAAAATTTGAACCAAATCCATTCACAGGTATTTGAGTTATCAAAGATTGCAGAAAAATGGCGGCAATTTTAAATTCAATGGCCATCTTGAGAAATCTCTTGTTGAGCAAAGCTTCTTTTTCCCAAAGCATCAGCATATAAAATTTGAACCAAATCCATCAATTAGTATTTGAGTTACCAAAGATAACATTTTTTATGAAAAATGGTGGCCATTTTGAAATGAGTGTCCATATTGAAAAAGCAGAGGTCCTATACCTACAAGGCATAAGCCTATAAAATTTAAATCAAATCCATCAACTAGTAATTGAGTTATCAACGAATGGTGGCCATTTTGAAATGAGTGGCCATATTGGTCCTATACCTATAAGGCATAAGGCTATAAATTTGAACCAAATCCGTTCACTGGTATTTGAGTTATCAAAGATTACGTTTTTTACAAAAAATGGTCATTATTTTAAAATTCAGCCACCATCTTGAAAATTCTTATTCGAACAGAGCTTCTGTGTCCCTAGGCATCCTCATATAAAATTTGAACCAAATCCGTTCACTGGTATTTGAGTTATCAAAGATTACGTTTTTTTACGAAAAATGGCTGCCACTTTGAAATTCAGTGGCCATTTCGAAAGTCCCATCTTGAGCGAAGCTCCTTTGTCCCTAGGCATCATCATATAAAATTTGAACCAAATCCGTTCACTGGTATTTGAGTTACCAGAGATTTTTTTTACGAAAAATGGCCGCCATTTTGAATTTCATCGGCCATCTTGAAAATTGTAACTCGAACTCTACTGTGTCCCTTGGCATCATCATATACAATTTGAACCAAATCCGTTCACTGGTATTTGAGTTATCAAAGATTAAGTTTTTTTACGAAAAATGGCCGCCATTTTGAAATCTAGCCGCCATCTTGAAAATTTTTACTCGAACATATCTACTGTGTCCCTAGGCATCAGCATATAAAATTTGAACCAAATCCGCAAACTAGTATTTGAGTTATTAAAGATTACATTTTTTACGAAAAATGGCGGCCATTTTGAATTCAGTGGCCATATTGAAAATTACTTCTCGAGCAGAGGTCCTACACCCATAAGGCATAAGCCTATAAAATTTGAATCAAATCCGTGAAACGGTATTTGAGTTATCGCCCAGGACAAACAGACGGACGAACGGACGGATGGATGGCTTTCCTATATCCCTCTCGAACTTTGTTCGGTGGGATAATTACAAGTATAGAACCTCATCAAATGAATCTAAACATGAGTTCAGATAAATGGCACTAATATATTTTGGTCAGTGATTATTCAGCAATTATCAAAAGAGCAGTTACTAAAAAGAAGTATTTCAAGCAGGTCACCTTGTGTTTGGCTATACATTATGTACATGTATGTATTGTGAGTCTGTTGAATAGGAATTAATGAAACATGGTTTAACAAATTTTCAATAAACTAAACCTGCTTGGACTAACTGACAGTTCAAATATTCTTTTAAGATTGGCTGGTTGCTTGTTCTCTTGTGTTCTATTGCATAAGGCTGTTAAAATTATCCTTTTATGGGTAAAATGTTCAAACTATGTTATGCCTTTTCTTCAACTGTTTTCAATGTGACCCACTTTATTGCTTTAGATTGTTGCTTTTGTGCCCTAATACTGTAATCACATTTACATGTTGCCCATTGTGTTTTCCATTTAACAACTTTACCCATGGGAAACCATAGATCTCAACATTTTTCTCTTCATAAATAATAAAGGCGAATATCCTAGATGGAAGATTTAAATCAAATCATACTTACAAGTCTGAGCGACGCTATGAAGCTTCTGAACAAGGCATGGGTCCATGTCGTCTGTATTCATGAAAAAGCCCTGGTGGTTTGGAAACATTGCCATTGGGTATTTTTCAATAGATGGTAGGTAGACAGGTGTGGGATGAGGAAAGGAATGTGTACACTTCACGAAAGCAGCTCCAGTGCCATCACATAGTGTGATCAGTTCCAGTCCCTCTAAGGCAGAAAACTGTTCATCCTGTAGAAGGTAACTTAGAAGAGAGTGTTTATCTTCTTTTTGGAGACCTTTGTATGTATTTGGCTGTGCTTGCATTTGCTCACGGACATATCGAGGACTGATAGGTGTTAAAGATAAGCCAGTGTATGTTACAATGCCATTCTGGACATGAGCTGGAATCTGTGCTAAGTTACATCCAGTCTTTCTGAGAAGATCATACAGCACATCTCTCACTCTATTTGGTTGGCTGTGCAAGTCATCTACGACACAGTCTGATGTTTTAACCCACTTGTTCTGGACTGCAGAATATATGATGTCATTCTGATATAGCTGAGGGAAGAGTTTTGCAATTACAATCTTCCACTTGTCATGAACCTGTAAAAACCCAAATTATAGAAATCAGTCAAGCTTCCACAAATTAATATGAAAAACTAGTGTCCATTTCCAATTACTATTTTTGAGGACTTAAAATTCTTTAAAGTAATACTTTTAAAGTTACACTTTAAAAAAGTATTTGTATTGTCTGAAAATGGTGATATTGATGATTTTATTTAATTATTATGGTTAAAGGTTGATTTGAGCAAGTATGGGTTTTTCAGGAAGGATATAGTAACTAATGTCAGCATTATCTGGATAATCTGAAATCTGATAGTTGAATGAATGAATGACTAAAGACAACTTTACAATTTGTGCATTACGACCTTGTATAAGATCGTTGAATCCAAGGTGAAAATACATGCCTTGTCACAATCTGCAATCATGTGATAAATTAAAGCAGGTTGAAGCTCCAGATTCCGTGCTTTCAAGATCAGCTGTATATAGCATTGAGGGAGCAATTCAGTTAACAGACACATGTTCCACGTTAGCTTAGGGTCACTGCCTTCCTTCTGGTCCACTGTAGGCCATTTCAAATGTGCTCTATTCTGAAAGACAATAAAATATGGATAAGTACATGATTACAAGTTGTATAGTAATAATGGATGTTATATCACTAATACCGAATATTGTTTATTCTTGTTGAAATTGTTTTACACAAGTGGAGGAATGTTTTTCTACATGTTTTTCCTGACTAATTAAAAACAAAAGTAAAGATCACTATATATCATTAATGATCATTAAATGCCAAATAATTGTGACTGTCATGTTGTCATGTTATTTGATGAGAATATGTATAGAGGCCCAAATAAGCAAGAAATACAAAACTGCAGAATACCTGGTCCAAAGCAAAGTATCCATTCACATGTATGGGCAGACCTGATGGGCTGGTCTCTGTCATTGGTAGGGGCAGCACACAGAAAATGTGCCCAGCAGGTTGTTTACATTTCACCACATCTGAAATATATTATATCACAATATAGGCACTTATGCAGGATCTGTTATTAAACGAAAGCTGAGGAATAATACATGATTTGATGAATAAATTTGGCTGCCACATGTATCATCTTAAAATGCATTTAAAATGCAGAAACAATTTTTTGGGGATATTATGTTAAGTTTCTCAAAATGAATGATTGTGAAATACCCAGCAGTGTAACACTAAACTGGCCATTGCACCCTTTTGCTTTAAAAACTATATTCTACCAAATCTGTTTGCATACTGGCAAAACGATGAAGTATCATTTTGACCAAAATAGAAATTATTGGGATTTAGTGCCCTGTGGAAAGAAAAATCTGGGAAGATGAAAAGGGATTAAACACATGACACTTAAAGCATATGTTGTAACACATTAAAAAGATCAGTTAATATGTGATACATTATTCAGTGCATGCTTTATGGCTTAGCACAAAGAGCTGATTAAAACAAACAATTTTTACCTTCTTTCGTGATCTCTATTGCACATCCCACCAGTGGAATCAAGCCAACCTTTCCATCCTTTATTAGATTCCGTAAATCAACTGAAACTTCACTTCCTGCATAGTAGTGGCTTACAAGCCACATTTTGTGTTTCTCTGGCTCATTTAATACTTCCATCTGAATGCTAATGACTGCAGACATTGTTAGTGGTTCATACTTTGTATCACTGTGGTTGCCTAGTTGACGATCTTTGATAGACTCAAGAAAATCAGCTCGCTCTTTAGTGATATCAAGGTCTGCCTCTCCTGCTTTTAGAGATACTTTAAGAAAGGCTTCACCATTGGTGTTATCATGAAGGATGGTCACATGGATCGTGTTCAGTGTCTTCATGAATAGCAGGATAAGGTCAGCATCTTGCTTGAGTGATTCCAACAGGTGGCGAATCTCATCCATTTTATAGCACTGGTCTGTTAGTTCAGACAACATCTCATCTGGCCCAGGAGCAAGTCTTATGGGGAATCTGAAAGATTAAGGGCAAATGTTTAATGTATCACTTGACAGTCATGCAATGAATAAATGTATACAGAAGGGTTATCAAGGAATGAGTTGGGAATGAGATGGATAGTATTAAGATGGAAGAATGAAATAGAGGGGGTGCATGGAGTTATACGTAAAGAAATGAGATTAGGTAAATGACAGGGAGTTCAATTGAACTGTGGGGCTTCTCCTTTAAGAGACAATGGGATATACAGTGTAGTTGCATTATGCTGATAGTCATAATTATGACATCACTTGTCTTAATCTAGATTACCCTTTGCATTCGTTTGACTTTGCTTCTCAAAAGAGAGCTTCGTCTTCACTCTTTCAGTTTCCAATAAATCTCTGAACTCACTGCGCTAATCAGAGTTCACCGTCGAAATAAGGACGACTTTCTATATGGTCATTTTCTCTGACATAATGGCATAATTATTGTGCATGCATTTAGCACTTGTTCCTTCAAGCTTACTGATTGGTTGAGAATAGCTCAGCGCGGTAGGTGTGAAATGATTTATGACCCGAGCTGTCATGGGCATCAGTCATGGAGGCGGGGCTGTTAAACTGTAATATAGTCTATACTAGGCAGAGGGTATTTTATAACTAGACTCTGCGCGCAGGGTAAACCTAAATTAACACATACCTGTACTGCAGTGCATGTCCATGAATTTGCCATCATTGTATAGTACAATAGTAGTATAATTTTCACTGCCCTATAACACATGTTGGATGTCATTTCATTGTCCATTTATTCAATACATTTTGTATGCTTACCTGAATAGAGTCCCCTCCAAGGCTTCACCATCAAATGCCCCATTAAGTTCAGGATGATCAAGAACTCTCTTGAATGCCTCCAAATGTCCCGAATATCTATCTGATCTCTTCTTAGACGTTCCACTTTTCTTGTTGAGATATAGGCTGTGGGTGCCTTGTTTGAAGAATCTCTGATGAGGATCAATCATCATGAGTTGATACTGGCTGAGAACAGATGGCAAATCTGCAATATTGCAATGGACAATCACTTTTCTATATACAATATACAAGTTAGTCCAAAAGATGTACATGTATACATTTTTGATAAAGTAGCATTCTTTATTGAAAGGAGAACAACCGCTGAATGCCATCCAGAAAAAATTGGAGACCGTTGTGGTGACATAAAAGCACATCTAACAAAGGATCCATTACATAACAATAGACATATTTAAGGAACTTCACAAACACCAATCAGATGGATGTACTGATACAGTAAAATTTGCTCTGAAAAACCTTTCCAATTCTTTGCATCTGGGTGATTCTTGAAGAGAGTTCAGTAACATGGAAAAAATATCTGGTGTTGTTAAGATCCATTCTCTGTTCAAGTGTTCCTTTCATATTTTCAACAAACGCAGCAGTCTGGTTGCTTAAATGCTGGAGAGATTGAGATTACCTGTTATGTGAAACACAGATTTGAAACCAAGTCCAAATCTGCCAACTTTAATTGGGTCATCCTTCTTCACGCTTGTCCCTAGACTTCTAATACCCTCCCAGTCTTTTTTCGTGAAGACTGCATTATTGAATACATACAAAGCTGGTCCCTAAAGCAACAAATATAACATCTTTACACCATAAATCTTAATCAACAACAGGTTAGTTCTGTCATTGTTTGTTCTAAGAAGGAAAAGAGAACCCAAGGACCTGGTTGAGCAGATTCATTACCTACACTAACTGTTATTATCATTCACATGATATAGCATTAATTTTGTCAAACTTATAGTCTATTATGTGAATCATTTATACTTGTGAGACATGTTGTCATACTGTCATATAAGTACATGCAACTTTTATTCAGCATGATCCACCTCTGTTTCCTCAGTTAATACCATTAATGGTTGTCCAAGCCACAAAACATTTTAATATATGCAGAGTGGAGCTATAACTACTTGTACTTAAATACAGAATCAGACATACATTTTCAAAATTTTATTTCAATTAAAGAACATTTTGAACTGTATATCATCACGGGTCTAATTTTGGTAAAGTGTGGGACCATAATACTTTATCAAGAATTGTTCAACTAAAGCTGGCAATTAAGACAGGTTGAAAGAAACTTAGTCAACTTTTCTTTGATACTGCTTTATCAGCATGGCGATTAAGACTAAAGGCTATCATCAAAGAGGGTGCCAGACCAATGGATTATGGAACTCCTCTTTTAGATGAAATACAATCCAAGTTGAAGGACTCATTACATTATTTTATTATTTAGGACCCCTGGGCCTGGCACTAAATAATTGCAAAATTTGGTGTATGTAGGTTGGAAAAGAAAAAAGTTATAGTGTCTTGAAAAAAGAGGCATTTTTTGGCCCACCCTGTATATCTGATTCTTCCTTTCAGCAGAGGGTTGTATAAGCATTTACCTGAAATTGCTTGAGGCCATCTTTCAGCAATTTTCCTGACGTCTCTCTTGGTAGGGTATCCAGGAAGAACTTTATCTCAGTTGCACCCGCATCCTCAGCATTCTGAATTATCTCCTGATAAAGAAAGAATATGTTTATTTGAATCAAACTAAAAATAAGTCTATTATGAATATTAGTTGGCATCAGGTTAAATTGAACATTATTATGCATATAAAAGTATGAAAGGACTGACAGATGGACAAATGGAGGGCTTCAGTAGTCCTTATCAAACTTTATTTGTTGGGATAACAACACTCCTGCTAAATTGTACCAATGGTAAGATGTTAGTCCAAAGGGAAATCTCAGTCTCTTAGATATTTAACAAACTCATATAGCATTAATTTTCTATCAGTATTTTCATGTTGATCATGGCAATTAGTCCAGACATAGTAAATTAAATCTAATTGAGCATCTTGTCAAGCATCAATCATGTCAATGAATCACTCTTACTTTTTGAGTATTAAAATTAAAGTGATCATTTAGCTGCCCCTCCCTCTAATGTTACATCATTGGTGTTCAGCCTTGCTTAACTCATTTAGCTTTTGCCTGGCTTATTAAGTTTTGCCTCCTCTAATTTTAGGTCCTGGCTTAACACCCATGCATATTTTAGTTACCTTCAGGATCTGGCCATTGTTTGGATACTCTGCAAGAATATTCCTAAGTGTTTCTTTAACACCTGGCAATATGAATCCCCCATCGGAATCATCTGATTCCTCACTGCTTGTAGCCATCACAACATCCAGTCTACGCTGAACCTCTCTGAGGTCCACCACATGTGCTATTCTGTGATCCTCAAATTAAACTGAAACAAAGAATACACCACCTAATTACAGGATACAGATATTGGTGATCCTATGATGCAACTTTCAACAGCTAGTATTCAAATGGATTGTGTGAGGTTTGTGGACTGATTATCATTTAGAGGTGTTGTTTCAAACTTTGCATGGATGCATAGCATCGAGTGCTAAGTTTACAATGTCTCAGTGGAATGAATCAGTCACAATAATGCACTAAATCTTGGGCTTAAATTCTTTTCATACATTGCAAAATATTTTTATAGTCTATAATATTACTTAAAATATACAAAATCACTTAAAAGATCATAATATTTTCAAGAAAACTTTTTGCAAGGGTCAATTTTAGCAACTCAATTTCAGTTTGTAGATGGCTGCAGTGTTTCATCCCCTGCGAACTGATCATTTGGTTCAATATCGATCAGACATAAAACTTTGGGTTCATTTGTAATGGCGTTTATTCTCACTTATATAACCCTCTATCTAATTCATAGTTTATATATTCAGATATTCTTTCAATTGAGCCATGCCAGTTTCTTAACCAGAACAAATTTCTTTACAACTGTACAGGGCGTATCAAAAAAACTCAACAAGTCGTTATCTCGTAAAATCACAAAACTAGTGATGACTAGTACACCAATTTCATTCAATGTACCATAAAGCCACGTCTCTCCTCTTTGCAATGATATGTCATTCATTCATATGTGGTAATGGTTGGGTGAGAAATCCTTCCATTTGCACAGTGGGTCAAAATCGGCTCTGGACCAAGTTTTAGATATTGCAAAAATCAGTGCAAGGGCTTAGTGCCAATGGAAGTCCCCCTGACTTGAATTGTTGTGACTTTTTCTTTTGGAGCTATCTCAGGAGCATCTATGCTCACAATTCCTTCACTAGATATTGCAAAACCTCGAGAAAGAATTGCCCGAGGGCTGCTTTTCTCTGCTTTAACCCACAGATGACTCAGGGCTGAACCATGCATGACGTGGACAGATGAGCGCATCTTTATGTGCAAGAGTGTGTCGGCAGATTATGAGTGTGAACACTTTACTGTCTATGCCACACCTGTCACGCCTTCTTCCAATAGCCCCTATGACCCTTGTACTGACTTTTGCAATGTTTGAAACTTGAGTCTGAGCTGAATTTTGCCCCACTTTGCAAAATTAATGATTATTCGGCCAGCCATGACTCCCTGTGAATGAATGATATTCCATTGCAAAGAGGAGTAATTTGGCTTTTTGGTACATTGAATGAAAAGGATGCAGTCAGCATTGGTTTTATGTTTTCTTCCAATATTGCATCGGGCTCCGTACACTGAATTTTGCGATGTTTATAACTTCGTCCCGAGCTAATTTTGGCCCACTTTGCAAATGGAATGATTACTCACCCAACCATGACCAAATATCAATGAATGATATATCATTGTAAAGAGGAGACACTTGGCTACATGGTGCATTGAATGAAATCAATGCTGTTATCAATGGTTTTGTGCTTTTCCGAGATAACAATCTGTTGCGTTTTTTTTTATACGCACTGTACAATGAATTACAGCGTCTCCATTTAAACTCCTGCAACTTTTGAAGGAATGGCCATCTTGAAAATATTTTTTCTTGTGTAAAACTATTTTACAATTATACATCTTTCCACCAAAAATAAAGAAAATATTTTAACTAATTAGTATTTGAGTTATCCGGACGGACCGACAGATATGCTTAACTATATCCTACCAAGCTCTGTTCTTTAGGATAATTATTAATTAGTACTAATATAGTATTGTACTTTGAATTAAAAAAATAAGCAATCACATGACCATATTGCAACAGTTTATTGAAAAATAGAAACTACATGACCTAACTTTTGTATATTCTAATTTGTTTTGTAGGCTATCATATGTGTCTGTGTGTGGCCTCATAAATTTTGATGCTTGTCTGCCATGTTATTTTCGAAAATATGGCTGTAAATTACAAAAGCCCACTGCTAAACTGCACTACGCAACTTTACAAAAGTTACAAGAAAGAAAAAGGGTAGACTAATGATTTGCCCCCCCCCCCCCTTGTCGGTTCCCAGATCCGCCCCTGTAGACGTACGTCATCCTTGAACCCTGGCCCGGTTTCTTCCCCTCTAACTTTGAAGACAGTGCATGTTCCTTTAACCACAAAAAACGCACCCCCTTGCGAAATGTATCTGACTTACATTTACAGCAGGTCACAAAATTAATATTTACCTGGGAAACCATAATCCCGGGGATCATAATCAAATTGACAGGCAATCAGAATCTTTCCCCCCGCTGTTTTCAGTTCCTTTTTCGTTCTGCTCGAATAACTTTGTGCACCACATGAAATGCTTCGCTGACAAATCGTCGATCCTACGCAAGTTTAACTTGAAGAATGGATGGTTGCCTTGGTGTATGATGATTATATGCAACTTGTTTCTATTCTGAGAAGTATTGGTTTCGATTTATAATGCTTCATATGCAATAATTTCGATTCCGGGAACTGAGGACTGCAACCTCGCTTTCAAATCGTTATTAATCAATAGCTATAGGTAAAAGCGTTAATGAAGACAGTTGACTCAAAAGCCCTCGGTAGAGTAATAAAAGCGTGTCTTACCATTGTTGATTGTTTACAAACACGATTGACAGTCAGATGCGTAACCATAAACCAGGCAAAAACGGCTTGATCTTATCGCGCGATAACCGATATAAGAAAAGTACAATAAAACCCATATCAGTGAATCAACCTTCTTGGGCAAAAAGCGTTTTAAAACTTAAATGTTTAATTGATTTGTCTCTTTTTTAAATGTGTGACAATCTCTAAACACAATTAATTTTTTACTCATATGTTTCGCTATATCAAAGAAAATTACCAACTCCATCCATATACGAGGGGTGATCAGGAATTTCTTGACCGTTGGCTCTATTTTTGCCATTTGTTATCCTTTCTTAGTGATTTTTTACACAATATAACCCAAATATATAGGCTCACACCATGAGGATTTCACTGTTCTATGAAATCATTATCCTTTTATTTTTGTTACCATGGTAACCGTTGACGCAACAAGGTGGAGCTCAGAAAAATACCAAATTTGAAAAATCAACAGTAGTTTAAAATATGATGTTTGGACACTGTATTGATTGCTGAATATGTTACATACTGTAATAGGTTGTATTATATCATAAGTATATTCATTAATGTTCAAAGTAACTGCAATTATTTCCATTTATTCTAATCCTTTAAAGTAGTTACCAGCATTTTCAAAATTTATTTTATTTTGTAAGCATTTGTATTCCTTTTCACTCACTCCTGAGAAACGTGATGCAGACCGTCTTTGCCTTCAAAATGTGATTGTTTCCATTGGTTGTGCCCTTGTAGCACACACACCGTATCCCCCAGAATTAGCTGGGTGTGATTTCTATCTTTTCCCAACAGTGAAGAACAAATTATGAGGTATCCACTTTGAGGACAGTAATGAGATCATTCAGGAATTTACGCACCAATGTTACAAAGTAGGCAAAGACGGTCTGTGTCACGTCTTTCAGGACTGAGTGAAACGGCATAACAAATGCTTCCAAAATGCTGGTAACAAATTTAAAGGATTAGAATTGATGGAAGAAGAATGACAATTACTATGAACATTAATGAATATACTTAATGAAATAATACAGCCTATTACATATACAATACACTGTATGTCACATATTCAGCAATGAATACAGTGTCCAAACATCATATAAAATTACTGTTGTTTTTCAATTTTAGTATTTTTCCTGAGCTCCACCTTGTCGCGTCACCAGTTACCATGGTAACAAAAATAATAGAATAATGATGTCATAGTAGAATGAAATCGTCATGGTGTGATCCTATATATTTGGGTTATATTATGTGAAAAAATCAGTAAGAAAGGATAAAAAATGGCAAAAATAGAGCCAACGGTCCAGAAATTCCTGATCACCCCTCGTATATCTTAACACCATTAAAATGTGAACTTAGTTCGATGATGGCAATAAAAAACACGATGATAACCCTTACATGAATCGATACAATTAAAAATCAATAAATCTTATACAATAAATATTATTGTTAAACATTGCATATACAACTCATCATTGATAGTCGATAGAGGGATATTTCTGAAAGGATGCTAAAAAGCGATGAGGCAAGCGCCTCGACTGCATTTGTTTTGCCTAACAAATTGAAATGATCACTGGTGCAAGCAGGTGATTCACTTGCAAGGTGTTCACATCTACAGGTTCTACTGTATCAACCTTTTTATTCATTGAACTATTGAAACATTTTACACACTCTTATATATCATTTGCTGTCACTTTTCAATTGAATAGCTAATAGGCGACAAGTAATTGATCAGTTCTGAGAACTGAGACTATACATAGACTTCACTTCTTAGAACACAACTTCGATCAATGAATAAACAAATAAATGATTGCTATGTATATCCATCCTTGGCCCAAGAGTAATTCATTGCATATTATCTGCATGAGCTATGAAAGCAGTGAAGGACCGATCTTGAAGGATGATGTATATCGAGGTGGGGTTATTTTTCCCCATCTCTGGAAAATCCATTTTCTATGAAAATGTTGGGCCTGCTTCAGAAAAATTGGTCTCATTTCAAAATGTGAGCCCCAGTAGTCGAAATGACCCCAAATTTTGGGTTTGCGCTCAAAATAGGTGATTAAATGTTTTAACACGGGGCTCGTCCTCCCCCTCCAGAACGGCTCTACCACAGTACGTATACGTTAAACCATGGGCCTTCAACTAGACCTTGGCACTGATATTTGCATCATACCGTCATTTAGTTTGAATAAGAGAGGGCGTCGTGACCTGGAAATAATAGTAGACGGATTATTTACCTGAAAATAAGTACTAGATATAGTACTTTACCAACAACTTCAACATTGCATCTTTTCTCTCAATCGATGAGTAAAAATAGTTTATGTATTATTTTTGTGGCCGGTCTAGATCCCAGGGTTGAGGGGCGGGGTCATCAGTAGCTTATACCGGTGTAAAAGGGTGGGAGGTCCTATAAAGGTGCAACAATTAGTGCAGGGGGGAGGCACTCAACGATCATCGACCAGTGTCAAAATAAATTCAGTTTGGATTTTTTTTCAAGACTAACATATATTTTTATTATCTTCAAAGAAACATTTGACCCCCTGAATGAATATAATTTCAGCTGATATTCCTCTTGAAACGTGATGGATCTTAAAAATGTGGAACTCCCTTAATCATGTTAATGGAAGCTTTGAACAGAATTTACACTTCTTAATGCTGAAAATTGATAGTTTATCCATACATTTGAAGAAATTAGGTATGTCAAAGAAGATTGACCTGATAGCTCAAAAAAATAAAAAAATTCAAATTTTCTCTCTGCAGTCCTTGTTGCCCCTATGATTCATGGTCCTAGTCCCCATTGATTTATATTGTGACCTCTCTTACAGGGTGGTCAAAAAATGGAAACCCTGCATTTTCCTAATATCTTTGTCATTTTTTACTCCCTGATATTTTACACATTTGTACATCATTCAATTTCCTACCATCTTACTAAATTTCATGACCATCAGATTGAAAGTCACAATTTTACAGCACTTTGAATAACATGCTTCAAGTTTGGCCATCATCGCGCTCTAGGCAAACCTGCACAGTTGTCAATGCATCCTCAGCAAGTATGGCCTGAATGATATGGATGATCTCACTTTTGATGTTTGTGATTGTCCTGAGGTTATTCTCATATTTCTTGCCATATCCCTACAGGTAGGGGCATTTTGGACGCCGAGTGCAGGCTAGGTGGCCCGACAGCGCAATAGTGGCCACTAGGCATGTTCTGTAAAGTGCTGTAACATTGTGACTATCAATCTGATGGTCATGAAATAAAGTAGGCTGGTAGGAAATTTAATGATGTACGTGCAAAATATCAGGGAGTTATTTCTTAAAATGACAAATACATGAGGAAAATGGTGTAAGGGTTTCCATTTTTTTACCACCCTGTATTAACGTATACACAATAAAATGGCCCAATAATCCCCGAAAGACACTCTAATCGGGTTTTGGGCCTAAAAATTGTTTAGGGCTAATTTTATTTTCTGGGCTGATAGATCTGAGACCATCATTTTATGTTAGTCTCAGGATAGATGGAGAAAGAGTCGAAGGCATCCAGGGCGAATCCTGGAAACCCGGTAAAAGGGTAGGAGGTCCTATTAATTTATGGTCCTTCTCTCCATTGATTTATATGGTGACCTCTTTCTCTTATTATCTTATACACAATCAGGGCCAGATAGGGGGACCATAATCCCCGGGGGACCATAATTTCTTTCCACCTGGTTCAGGAAAGCGGGTTCACTGTTTGTCTCCGTTGACACCTGTGCGAAACTACATTCATAATTTCAACGACAGTGAACAGGACTGGAGGGTATTATAGACTATATATCTATATTTATATTATAGACTATATGAATGAAATGTCCCTTGGTCTTCTGGTCTTGGATTGTGACTATTAGTTCTTGAATGGTGGGGGAAAGGGGGTTTCTTTTCACGTTAGATCATGGTTTTGGGCTATATGGGTTTTGTTTTTCTACTGGTATGCACTTAGAGTTTGCTTTTTCTTGCTCAGTTCCATTACAACTTTTGGTCCTTCCCCGGTGTAAAAGGGAAGAGGTCCTATCAAATTATGGTCCTACTCTCCATTGATTTATATGGTGACCAAAATACAACTCTTTCCCTCATTATCTTATACGCAATCAGGGCCAGTAAGGGCCGTTAAGAAAGGGGACCATAATCCCTGGGGGACCATTATATCTTTCACAAGTGCTTTATATATTTGTCTAACGTTGTGCCGAATGATAATCCGCAAATGACTTATAAACATGATAAATAGTACGTAAGTTTAAATCGAGACAACAAAATAATTGTGTCCAGGAAATATCACAAGCTTTGTCAAAATAACAAAAGGCATGCTATTTGTGCTAAAAACAAGATAATAAGAGATTCTCAAATTGGTTTTAGTACAACTTTAACAGTTCACCGCTTTTCTGCAATTTTATCCGTTAGATACACTTAATACATCCGGGCATTTCAATGGTTCTTGTTGGGGTAAAATATTGGATAAATTTACCGAAAGAAATTATGATATTATAGGCTGGAATCAGTATCTGTAAACATGGCAGATGACGATCCTATCAGTAAATTACACGAAGGAAAAGGAAAATGCAAAACTTTCGGGCTTAACTTCATGTTTCCTCTTAGTTTATATGACGAAATTCAAACTTTGGAAAATGAGGGCCCCGTTCGGAGCTTTAATTGCGAAGATCGGTTCGGTGCAATGGAAACTGTAATAACACTGAGCAGACGAAATGATATGATAGTGATGAGTGTTCAAGGTAATTTCAAATTGTTAATTGTTGGTTCCAACATAATCCCACGGAATGTCATCGACTAATTCGATCAATGGGGGTACGGCTAGAATGTTTACAAAAATATTGAGATTTTCATAGAATCAGACAAAATGAAACAGCATTCAGTAGCTCAAAGAATAAAATCGATAATCAAACCCAAAGTCTGATGCTTTAGAACCTCACACATCCTTTTGGGGCTTGCATTGCTCGTACGGATGCAAACCACAAAAATCGTGCATGGTGCACCCCTTTGATAATTGCTGGCTACGCCCCTGTATTATATCCCCTGGGTTATATCAGGCATGTAACCAGTAGACGCGACGCGGGTACACACTTTGCGTACCTTATCCTGTGGGGTGTTCTATTACTGTTAAATTATATATCTGCTTTATATGGGCTTATTTGCCTTTTGCAGATTATTGTCATAGACATAAACATACTTCTCTTCAAGACACAGTCTGATATTGCTCAAGGGAGCATGTCCCTGGACCCCCTAGTTTTGCTCAGCCTTTGGCCTCGCATACCTGCTATCAAAATCCTGGTTACGCCACTGTATATCACTGTCATATTCCCACTCTGTCTCTTATTGCTCTATAAAATACATGTGAGATTAAAATAAGAAGACATATTTATCGGCCAGGCCTTTTAAGTCAGGCGTTTTCAATGAGGCATATTCACCGGTGTGGCAGTTTCATCCAAAGAAAATCTAAAATCAAATATATAAAAATGTCAGATGAAAGTAAGCTCATTCTTGTTCCTTAAGACATTCCCAATGAGAGAGTAAGGAATATAACAGTGAATGACAAAAAAAATATTTCATGCCCTCAGAGTAAAATTCATATTCAATCCCTCTCAGTAAATAACCTCTTTGTATTTTATAATTGTTATATTCTGATGATATAGACCTGAATTTTGTTGCATTTACACATTTTGTGTTTCAGGTCACAATATGTACATGCTTCAGGAAAAATACCACGTTGTTATTGACAACATTGTTGCAGATGACAGTAAAAGGGATGTCTCTGAAGATACACTTACATGGAAAACACTTGGTGGACCAGTTGAAGATGAGCTGTTTAACTGGAAAACAATCAATGAACTCACCTTGGGAATGAAATCTGCAGATCCTTCGGACACGCTCAAGAATTTGAAATATCCAGGTTTTACACCAAGGCGTAGTGGTCGTGTGAGACAACCAAAGAGAAAAGTTGATGATCTCGTTGAATCTCTTATGTCAAGGAATGCAAAGACAGTGAAGTATGACCCAAATTATATGGAGACTCCATCAGATATGGTAGACAATAGAGGGCCTGACAGTGAGAAACTTGTGCATGATTTTAATGAGGAAGTTGACCTACCTCATGATACAGATGTAAAACCTGAGCTTAATGATTCTGTTGGAACAGAATCTGCTAATGGACTTCAAGCCTCTGCTAAACAAGGATGTGGTAGATCAAGAAAAGGTGAACCAAAGAAAGCAAAACTCAAAACTAAACCAAAACCTAAAGCAAAGCCATTAAAGGTTAAATCTAATACTACTGGGGAAATAAAAACTGACATACCTGAATCTGATTTGACAATACTTGAGGTTAAACCAACAGTGGATTTACCACCAATAGAGGACATTGTTTCATATGACAAACGAATGGTTTCCTGTAAATACTGTGACAAAACATTTGCTAAAGGGTACCTCATTTATGTTCACTTGAGTGTCCAGCATCCTGAGTTGAACAAAGATGAAATCAAAGTATATAAGACAGAGCTTGGGACAGATAAATGTAAATACTGTGGAGAAATGAAGAATTCGCTACACATTGAACGTCATGAAAAGAGATGTGCAAAGTTAGGTGAGACTGCCAATTTCTGTCATCAAGTATAATAATTGTTTTCAAAAGATCTGTGCTTTACTTAAGTACTTTAATCTGATATTAGAATTTACTTAGTTTGACTTCCCTCCCACCGGAAAATGTTGGGTTTTCCATACATGTTTTTTCAAAAGTGAATGTTTATGTTATGTTATTTTATTTACCATCTTAAAGATGAGTACATATACATTATACATAAAGAAGCCATCATTTACATTTTACCTCCAAAGTGAAATTAATTTTTTTTACTTCTGTTGAATCTACTTTAAAATTGAATTCCTGTGTGTTCCAGCCCATGGCCAAGAAAAGACAAGAGTTTCAAAGACTGTACAGTGTAAAATTTGTCTAAAGATGAAAGCCAACTATTGCACCTTATATGCCCATGTCAGGGATCAGCATAGAACTCATGAAGATTGTGCTGCCTACAAGAAGGAATTACATCCTATGTTAAAAGGTTTGTATTGTCACAAGGGCACCATTTTTGCGAACAATCTATTAATCTAAATCTATCAGATAAATAGCATTGGGTGCTAATACTAGTATGTACTTTTGTGGAAAATTGTTATCAGTAAACCATAAAAGGATTAGTATTGATATGGTGAACTTTTTGAATACACGTTTCTCTAAAACCAGTCATCGAAAAATTCTAAACTTTTACAAATCGACAATTTAATGGTCATCTTTTGAATGGTAACAATATAGTTGGAAAAAAAAATATATACTTTTCTCTATATTGTTTTAGAAAACACATCAGACACTTCTTTTGTTCTTGGTATCATATGTTCAAAATGAATTGAAACATCTTTCCAAACCTCATTGGAACAAAATGACATAAACACAACGTGTTTACGTAGGTCTTTCAATATTGTAATTGTACAAAATGAAATTTTGGTTGATTATAAAAAAGTATCTTGTTAATGAAATAAAAGGTTACTAGTATCTCTTTTGGGGGGTTTTGTTTTAATTTTTTGGATACTTTTTCTTAAATCAACCAAAATTTCCTTTGTATAACTATAATATTGAGAGGTCTAACAAAATGTTGTATCTGCAATTTCGTTCCAACAAGGTTCGGAAAGACATTTTATTTCACTCTCAAGAATTGGTAGAAAGGAACAAAAAACAATTGTACTACAAAAAAATGTTAACAAAAACAGTTGTATATCATATATATAAATAATTTACGCATTAAATTGTTGTCAATCAGTTTATTTCCATGCCAGTAAGCTAAAAATTGATGCAAAAACCATAGGCATTTAGCATAAGGGAGTCAAAGCATGCCCTTGGAAAAATTCAGTTTTAGATCCTCTCTGAAGGGACTGTTACATTGGAAATGGGACAATCTGCTTACCAGTATTTTAACCTTATATGCTTTTGGCTCATACATTACTTGGCAATTGCACCCCCAACACTGTCTACCACCCTGCATAATTGGAACAGATTGGAAGATTTAAACAGATATATTTTTGCCTCACCCAAAGAAACCATTTGTTTTGCGAACATGCCATAAAAATAATATACTATTTTCAGGAACTTGTGAAAAATGTGGAAAAGAATGCATCAATATGTTGATCCATAGGAAAGATGGCTGTGGGGACCAAACCATACCATGCGAACTATGTTCTAAAATGGTTTCCAAGAAACATATAGTGGATCACATGAAGCGGATTCACCCAGATATGTATAGGCATAATAATGGGAAACCCATAGGTACACAAAAATACATATGTGAACATTGCTCTAAGGAGTTCAAAAATTCTCGTAATATTCAAATTCATGTCGATACAGTACATAGGAAAATCAAAAAGTTTAAATGTAATTTTTGTGATCGAGGGTTTTATTCAAAAGGTGATATGCGTGTACATGTGAGGTATGTACACAGTAATGATAGGCCTCATCTGTGTAACTATTGTGCCAAGGGATTTAAAACTGCTCGAGATTTAAAAGATCACATATATGTCGTCCATGAACATAAATCAGATTTTTCTCATTTTTGCCCTGAATGCAAAAAAGGATTCCATGAGAGAAAAAACATGATGAATCACTTAGAAAGCTTTCATTATAAAATCTATAAAAACCAATGTACACAATGTCAAAGAAAATGCAAAAGTCACAAGCAGCTGGAGGACCATAAGAAAGTCTGTCCTGGGATGGTAGGGACATCTGTCCTCCCTGAGACTGTTGCTCGACAGAAGCGTGGTCAGTCTGGAAAGAGCAATACTGAAGTATCTCAACAGGCTACATATATTGAGTATAAAACAAGCCTTGGGGAGGGGGCACAAACTATGCAGGTTCCAGTCATGATTGAATCAGAGGGTGACGCCATGCGTGAGATGTACAAGGGTAGCACTGCCACCTATTATACATTTCCAAATCTTCAGAGCATGTTAAATCTAGGTGACCAAGCAAAGTTGAAATCAACTGAACAACAGCACCTTGCTGTATTGTCTAATAAACCAGATGGACAGGAGCTTGTCAATTATGTTAACATAACTGGAGATGGACACACATTTGTGAGGGAGGATAGTATCCAAAATGAGACTCCTGATGTCCAACATGTTCAGACAGTGAGCACAACAATTCCTCCGATGGGGACCCAACATGAACAGGAAGTGAAATATATGAATAACCCTAAAGAAGGGGAGCCATTTATTCCATATGGAGTAACAGGAAATACTAATGATTACACTTCATCCCAAACTATAATCTACGAGGATGTTCAGGATCGTCCAATCACAAACCCTCAAAGTGCAACCACTGGTTTCCATGACAACACTAGACAAATCATCTACCCTCAATCTCAGAGTGTTCCAATCTCCTACCCCTCCCTATCAACCACAGATACATCCCAGCTCTATCCAGGAACCAACAAACCAGTGTACACTGTCCCAGACCAACGCCTTACATCTGGGACGGGGACTCAAATATCTCAAGTGTCAAACCAACAGATTGGAATGCCTATGCCTGCTGCCAATACATGTAATCCATCTACATCTTTTCTGTCTGCATTGAACAATGCTACCCCTACATATGGACCAATGACAACTAGAACTGTAACACAAACGCTGGAGGAGACATTTAATACTAACCCTAATGCATAATAGATTATGAATATTGTCCAAGGAAAGTGACAGAATGATCAATTGCGTTGTTTACCATGAAATTTTTTCTAGTGTATTCATATCTGAATTCTCTTGACATTTTCCGGACAATTGTGATTTTAGGGATGACAGTGTCAGTCCAAATACATTATGTTATTTTGACATCATATAATGAAAATGTATGAATGGATATGAGCAAAATAGTGAACTGATAATAATTCTGCTTTCTTTTGTAAATCAGATTAAAGAGAAGAAGCTGTATTTGGAGTCACTGACATTGATTTTCACTTGTCACTCTTGGATGGCCCAAGTCCAATTTCCTCAATAGGAAATCACAATCACATTGATATTATTGCAGTATTGCGGGGGGTCTACATAAAAACATTGTGAGATATCACAGCCTTCTCTCAGGTTCCTTCTAGATTCTTGTGCATTGCAAAGATGGTCTGAGTATCAGAATGACATAAAAAGCCTTGGGCCAACCACCACCAAAGATATTACAAGTAATTAGCCTACCAATCTGTTCAAATGGATGCAGGTTGCTCACCAGGGGTTTGTAAACAGAGGATAATGGTTTAAAGTTGATTGAGATCCCACAATTTCTGTATTGTTACAGGAAATCTAAATAATTTTACCTGTTCTGTCATTAAAACATATAGTGTTTGTCGTTTGAGAAAATACTATAATCATTGTATTTTAAATTATATAAGTAAAATATTTTATTTCTGTTGTATATTTTATTTAAATATATTACATAGATTGTGCAACATTTTACTAGTAAAATATATTGTTAGAATAGAACTTAATTTAAGAATGTAAAACTGAAGTCTGTTTTTTTTTTATGTACTTATTATTAAAAATACTGCAAATTGAGTTAAAATGGCACCCCTTTTATTTGCCGATTCATCAATTCTGTACAAGATGACACACTGCTGGAGATGCAGAGAGGTTTATAAACAGAATATTCATGTCCAAGAAAGTTTCAGTTATTAATTCTGCCAAATCGAGGAGAGGCCATTACTCTAGTAAAAATGGCAAGTCTCTCAATCTTAACAGCATCAAGTTGACCCAGGTTACAGTAAAGGCTATCAAACTCCATATAAAATGATATGATTTACTAAATTACATGTATTGCATTGCATCTTTCCCTTGCACCGCAAGATAAAAGTATTCCATTAATCAATAGCTATTTCAATAGCTCATAGAGTACTTTCTTAATAATTCTACTTTTCATCACATATTTTCTAGCCCTATTGTCCACTTCCACTAGTTTGTTATTATCCATAAGAAGGGTAATTCTCACTATATTACCAGATGGTAACATTTGTTATCACTTTACAAGGTCCCACATATCATCTATTCTCACTGCCAGCTACCAAGTAGTCTCACTCTTCAGAGTAATGCAACATGTATACTATTACTCCATCCAAGGTTCTATGTAACATGATTCTCAAAATTCCCCTCTGACTGTTCAGTGTTCATCCGTCATAGTTCCGGGCAATACTTCTAATCTGCAAGAGAGAGAGAGAGGTCCAAATGATATTTATCAATTTTTGAAAGTTGGAAAAAATTGTTCCTTTGAAGTTTTCTAGAATAATGTTATTTCTGGAATAATGTTGGGTTTTCCATACATGTTATTTTCTAGAATAATGTTTTAGTTGGGCTAAAAATGTGGCAGGAATACAAAAAGCCAATTAATTCTTGAAGTGGGCTTTCCTTTATATTAAAGGTAGAATCAGATCTATAGGGGTCACAAAATTGTTAGCAACATGTACAACTGACCTATCAATCTATTCCTTACAATCTCGATTAGAGTATCTCCCAATGAATTTGTGACATGTTATAAATTGGCATTATTAATAATTCAATTAGTGTAAAAATGGAGGAAACGTGTTTGAATTCTTCCAAATAATAACAAGGCATAAATATATGCAAAATGTCACCACCTGCCATTTGTTAGATGCCAAATGCTGAACACCTACCACCAAACACCGTTACACCATCCAAAGTTGTGGACCAGTACAACATGACCATGACATAAAAATGGTAGCCATAATTATAGATTTTGTAAAATTTTTAAGAATGCATTGTTCTCCCCAGAATTTTTTCTTGAGTGTGTGCAAAATTCTCATTTTCACAATTCAGTCCAAAATTGGTCAAAATATGCCCATTTAACATGATTTTTCTCATTTTCAAGTGGGTGCAAATGAAATCTTAGGTGGGTGCAAGCCTGTTTTTAAAATCTCAGGTGGGTGCTGCATCCACTGGAATGCACTCTACGTATTTTTAAAAATATACATGACAACATCATTCAAAAAAATATTTCAAAAAGTTGAAATGACATTTCCACAATTTTTTGTTTTGAATTTTTTTGTATGAAGTATGAAACTGAAAGGTACAGTATGTGAATCGGGAGAATTTGCTCCAGCAGTTTGGGAATACAGATTGACTGAGAGTTCTAGCAATGGGCAAAAACATGTTCTTTGTGTTGAGTTGTACTCTGCTTTGATGACTGCCCATTTTTAGGTTAATTAACCCAATCATATTATAGATTTAACAAAATCACCATATTGAAATTACCTTATCTTTTTGCATTAGAAGACTTTGCAGAGTCTCTTGTAGTAATGAGAGTTTATCTGCCTGTTGGAAATGTTCATTTTCCAACTTTTCTATCCCCAACTGATACTCATCTTTGTGATGCTGAATCGCTTGGATTTTATTGTCGATTTCCTCTCTCTTTTTGATCAATTTTGCTTCTTCAGTCTCTATATTCTGGAGCTGGTGCCTCTCTTTTTCTATTTTTTCAGTGATCATATCAAGTTTTATCTCCATTGATTCAGCTTCATTTTGAAGAACTTCACACCTCATGCAAAGGTTTTGGAATTCCTCAGCATGATCTGCAATTAAGGAGAAACTATAGCAATATATTCGACAATCACCATACAAGACAATGTAACAACATTCAACTCAGAAACCTGAGAAATGTGATAAAGTACTTGTATTTCTGGAAAAAGAAACATTTGAAAAAGAATAGAACAAGATTATTTGTTTTGAGAAAAAATGAGTTTTTTAAATTGGAAAAAAACAGGATATTTTGAATAAATGATTAGTATTAAAGAACTAGAAACTAGAGAATCGGATAATTACGTAATTGGGGAAAAAACTGTGATACAATTTGTGTGGTAACAGGGTTACAGATCTAGACTAATATTACTTCACTGTGCGTTCTCCTAGGGTGACAAATTCAAGATGCAACCAAGTCAGTTCTTGTGAAATAGTTTTATGACAGTGTGTTGTATCTTTACCTCAATTGAGTGGTGCAACTAATCAGGGGGTCATTAACAGAACTTTCGCAAAGTTACGAATTCGTAAATCGTAACTTACTGAAATTCATTTTAAGTTACGAATGACTTACGAATTCGTAAAGTTACGAATTGGCCATTAACAGAACACTTTCGTAAGTCATTCATAAGTTTTATCGTTCGTAAACGAATTTCAAATTGTGACGTCATCTTATATCATTATTTAGCACAAATAAAAATATGATGTCATTTAATATCATTGCGCGCTGTGATTAAACCTGTCTCCGCGATTTCAAAGATTCCCAGCTCAGGAACATATTTGCTTATCATGTAAGAATAGGTTGATATTTTAGCTTGAAACTTAGCATGCATATAAAGAACAATTTCTTTTTGCCAACCTGTATACCTTACATAAGAATTGGATGAGAAATATGCCATTCGCAAAGTTATGAAAGGGTCTGAGGTGCTATTAAAGTTACGAACGAAAGCATATGTGATGTCATTTTTTCTTAACTTTGCGAATCGTTCATAACTTTACGAAAGTTCTGTTAATTCACATTTACCAAATTAGTAAAATTAACAATTGACTTGCGAATTCGTAACTTTGCGAAAGTTCTGTTAATGACCCCCAGAATGGTTTTACGCTGAATATGTTTAAGCAAATTACCTTTCTTCTCTATGTAATTGTTAGGCTTATATTGAGACCTCGAATTTCTGACATTTGCTTTGGTTGACAATGTTTTCTTCTCACTGTAGTCCATTATAACTTGTTGTAGCATGATGTTACATGCAAGTGATGATATATCACACAGGCAAGTTGGGCACTGATCTTGAGCTTCTATACAACACTTGCAATAGGTATGTCCACATGGGATAATCATCATTGGACTGTGGGTGGGGGGAATCTACAAGTAAATGATGAATATCAAAAAGTGATCTGTACATCATGATAACTAAATCAAACTCACACCATCATTAAACATTGAAAACCTTCTTTTGTGGTGTTTGTTACAGGTATGGCTTCTTTGATATAAAATATGGATATCTTGCAGGCCTGTAGCCAGGATTTGCCAAGGGGGGTTCATTTTTTGAAAAGTTCCAGGGGGGTTCACTTTTGACAATTTTGGTCCAAAAATGGCCAAAATCACTTAAAAAGTGCTCAGAATGATGCAAAAATGCATGATTTTGAAAGAATTTTTGGCCAGGGTGGGGCATCGAATCCCCCTGGCTATGGACTTGTTTGTACAATATGTATACTTACCATTGTTCTGGAACAAATCTGACAGATATGACTCTGAAGTTGATGATCTGAGTGACTATCTCTGCCTTGTGATGATGACTGATGAACTTTGCTGTTTCCTGTTGCATGGTAATCACTTTTGTTCTTATGCGTATCCTTCACATTGAGTTCAGCTTTAACCCTTTGAGCTATTTGATCCGCTAATGCATCAAATTGATCAGGATCCAATGTCTGCGTGGTTAATCTGCTACTGATACTTCTAATGTCTGACTGATCAGATCGACTCGAGGGAAGATTGACTGATTCACTCGCTGAATCATAGGATTTCACAGAAGTTGCTGAACGAGAACTTAAGGATACAGACTGGGCACTAGGCAAATGGTCAAGCTCTTCAGAATCACTATTTTCATACTGTTTCTCTTTTGCCCGCATCCATTGTTTGAATCTAGTTTTATTTTCAGATTTAGTGGGATTGGTGTTTGATGAATGACCATTCAGTTTTGAAATGGCTCTTTGAGTGCTATCTGTTACATTATTTTGGTTTCTAGAACTACTGGCTGCTTTGTATCCCTGTAGTTGAGTACTAGATTTATGATCCATTTGTTGTTTGGGCATTTCTGAAATATGAAGAACAATAAATTACGAGGCATTATCAATTATCATGCAAAATGTCACCACCTTCCATTTAATGCAGATCCCGAATGCCGAACTCTAAATGCTGAACTCAAAACACTGACCACTGGACGCCATCACAAAAAAGTTGGAGACAATATTAACAATATGTCCTTACTTGTGGTGGTGACATAAAAATGACACCATTTGATTGGCTCTATATGTTTGGTCATATGATACAACAGTAAACTGAATATGAAGCTTAATTATCATGAAAAAAATCATGGCCATGTATAGGCCAAAATCCTTGAAATAATATAATAGAGATTTAAATAAATACAGGATGGAACATAAAAAAGTAAAGAACAAACCTTTCCCATCTGATTTTGTTGTCAACTTCATATCAGAACATGACGACCGTTCCGCAGACACTGACCTTTCTTTCAGCCAGTTTTTTTGACGCTGCTTTATTTCTTTAACCTAAAGCAAATGAAAACATTATAGGTAGTAACAAAAGGTCACCAACTAGCTAAACCAAATAAAATCAGAATGCCAAATATTTTGCTAGGCTGCGATCAACTACAGCAGGCGGAAATTTTATTTGAATTTCTTTACAACAGGCAATATTTCATTGAATAAGGTCATAGTCTTGTGATAATAAATTATCACTTTATCTAAGAATTAAATCATTGCCATAGACTCAGGCCTGTCAACTGTCCCGCAATTTGCGTATTTGTCACGCATTTGCTGAAGAATTTGAAGTCACGCCAGTTATTTTTGCGTGACAGAAAATGTCACGCAAATACGCATTTTATCTGGTAATTGTCAAGCAAAAATATTTCTGTAGAAAATTTTCTAAAAAAGATCGTCTACACAGCAAAAATACGAAAGATGGGAAAAAACGTACGCATTTTGTTCGGACTTTTCACGCGTATTACGGATATGTCACGCATTCCGTTTCGTACCCCCCCCCCCCGTTGATGGATGTTCGAAACGCGAGCTTAGCGAGTGCGAAAAATTTGAGGTGTTCAAAATTTGGCAAGATGTAATAAAATTTAAACCAAGGTGTTCAAAATTTGGATCAAGGTGTTCAGATTTGGACCAAGGTGTCCACATTTTGAGGGGAGGTGTTCAACATTTCCAAGTCACTCATGTTAGGTGTTCCCAAGTTGACAGGCCTGTAGACTGATAGATGTGTTGTTTTCTTTAGATTTTTCAGAGACAGCCTGTCTCCATGAACACTAATTTGGGATGAGATGATGACATAATTTTAATTACTATGGAAATACTTTAATGTCATCCCACAAATGACCACACTGAAATTACACATATCTTTGTTTTCTGACAGTGTTTTACGTATTTCATACCTGCCAACCTAAGACCAAAATTTTGCGGTAGATTTTTTTTAAATTGCTGTATTTTTGCGGTAGATTTTTTCAAAATGCGGTAGATTTTACGGTATTTTTCAACAAAAATCCGGTAGTATTTGCGGTAGATTTGTAAAAAAACGGTAGTTTTTGCGGAAGATTTAGAAAATACGGTAGTTTTTGCGGGAATTTTTTAAAAAACGGTAGTTTTTGCGGTAGATTTTTAAAAAATACTGTAGTTTCAGAGGTTTGGGGTAGATTTTTGGAAAAAGTGTAATTTTGCGGTAGAAATTTTAAAAAAGCGGTAGTTTTACAGAGGATTTAGAAAAAATGTGGTAGTTTTACGGTAGATTTTTAAAAATACTGTAGTTTTACGGTAGATTTTTAAAAATACTGTAGTTTTTACGGTAGTTTTTTGAAAAATCGGTAGTTTTGCGGAAGATTCTGAAAAAATGCGGTAGTTTTACGGTAGATTTTGAAAAAATGCGGTAGTTTTTATGGTGGTTTTTTAAAAACCGGTAGTTTTGTGTAAGATTTTGAAAAAATGCTGTAGTTTTACGGTAGATTTCGAAAAATGCGGTAGTTTTTACAGTAATTTTTTGAAAAACGGGTACTTTTGCGGAAGATATGCAAAAGATGCGTACTTTTACGGTAGATTTTGAAAAAATGCGGTAGTTTTTGCGGTAGATTTGAAAAAAACTAGTTTTGCGGAAAAAATTGAAAAAATGCAGTAGTTTTGGGTTAGATTTTGAAAAAATGCGGTAGTTTTTGCGGTAGATTTCTAAAAAACTAATGAATAAAACAGTATGTTAACCCTGTTATCACACCAAACTAGTTCTCACTACGTTCTCGAAAACGGGCTTAAACTGTGCACGAACGGATTTGACGTACTAAGAACCCACTAAGAACCGTTTGGGATCTGTTACAAACTTCATGAAACTACTTGAACGAGTAAGTCCTCCAGAACTTAGAGCATGCTCAAAATTTTCTGGTGATCGTCACGTTCTGCAATCAGCACGAGTGATAACGTACTTAAGACGACCTGGGCGCACTGGGGACACACTACGAACGGAAGTGTCGTACTTCAAAGCTACTAGGGACGTATTATAACGTTGTGTAGTCAGGCGTTAATTGCAGCCGTGAGTACCCCAATCTAGTCCGTTTGTAGCTCGTTCATTCTGTTCGTAGACAGACCCAACTCGACCGAAAAAAATAAATGCGTTCTGCACGGATTAGGGACACGATGTTTACTATTTTAGAACGAGTTCAACCGTATGGAAATTTGGTGGATAATTCAGTAACATATTAGGACGTATTGAGAACGAGGTACAACTAATTGTCAACTGGTTTAAACTGATTAAGGACATAATTGAACTGCTTGGTTACGTTGTGTAGACCAGACGAACGCACAATTTAACCCCATCTAAACTTGATACCAACGTACTGCAGACGGAATAAAGACGAGATGAACGTATTAAAAACTGCTTATGAACGAATTAACAAAAATAGCTATCACACCAGAAACAGTTGTCTCTGCGTTCTGCAAAACGTTGCCGAATCGGTTTTAAACTGTGTGCGAACTGAATGAACGTAGCTACAACGTTCTGCGGTCTGTTTACGAACTTCATGGACTTTCCCGGACGGGGAATGTGATTTAGAATTTTGAATCTATTCAATATCCTGCCGATACCTTATATTCGGTTTGGTAAAGGTTATTACAGGGACAGTACAGAAAGACTTCAATTTTAAGCATTTCCAAACAAAAACGGGAGATTTTACGGTAGTTTGAACAAAAATACTGTTGATTTTAGCAGAAATACGGTAGATTTTCAAACATTTACGGTAGATTTTCAAAAATTTACGGAAGAATTTACGGCCGTTCTCATGGAAAAAACGAGTTTTTAAAAAAAAATTTACGGTAGATTTCGGAAAAAATACGGTAGATTTTTTTACGGGCGTTTTTACGGGAAAAAAATGGCATTTTTTTTACAGTAGTTTGTCTTTTTTTTACGGAAAAACGAAAAATTTACGGTAGATTCCCGTAAAAATACGGTAGGTTGGCAGGTATGTATTTCATAGTTGTTCCTGTTGCTACTGTATCTGTGCTAAGAATTTTGGTGCTACTTATTCTATCGTGTAGTTTCCTTGTGTTACTCATTGTATCAGCTCAGTTATTGTAGATTTGTTTGAAGTATTCAACGATATTTTCCTCAAGCTTAGTTAGTGTAATGAGTGTTTTTCTTATCTACTTTTGTCCTTTTTATGTGTGAACCTAATGGCCTACTGGTTTCTCCAATATAACTTTTATCACAAATGTTGTATGGAATTTGATATACTATAATGCTGCGTTGGCTTTTCAATCTTCTTTAAGTTAACCTTTGAGGTGAACTAGGATATCTGTGAGTGTTTGTATGGGTTTGAAAGCCACTTTGATATCTTTTTCCCATGGTCCTTCTACTTTGCTCTGACACATTTAAGGTATTGTTGCAACTATTGTTGGCTACTCTGTCTTGTTCTCTTACATTTTGCCTGTTCCTGGATCTTTTTAATGGTCCATTGGGGGCTACTATTGGTGGTAATTCACTGTAACTGCATTATAATAGAGACTCAATCTGCAGTGTACAGAAAGGTAAAGTAGAAGAAAAATCACTTAAACTAACCTCTGAAAGATGTTGATCCCTATGGACCATTAAATTGATCAAAAAATGGGCAAAATGTAAGATCCCTAGATCAGGTCTACGGTAGGAAGAAATTTACCAAGGTAGAAACAGCAAATTCATTGAGTGCATCATCATTGCCATACAATTATACATGAATAACCTTATAAGCAAGGCAATTTTCTTTTATCGTAATTACTATGACAATTTAGCATGGGATGTGTAACGACCCTGGATAACAAGTTGCCACTACAACTCAGCTGTGGTGACTGACCCTTATGACTAAGCAGCAGAGCATCAGACTTGGGAGGTGAAGGTCCTTGGCTTTATTCCAAAAATTGGGGCACTGCATTTAGCAAACCCACTTTCATCTCTGTATCTGGCTTGTTACAATTGAATTAAGCTCTGTGGAGATGTCAAAATCGTCTGAATTCAAAGATGTCTGAATATTTTCAATGTTGAACATTGAATATCATGGTTGGTTGGTTCCTCACTAAAGGCCCGAAGATTGATTAGCACTCGCAAGACCCAAGACCAAGATGACGATGATTGAAAAATTAAATTCACCAAGACCAACTCAACACTAGGATCTAGACTAAGAAATTCTCCATCTAAAATGTCACTCGACCTTTTTGTGATTATGAGTCAAAGAAAGCATTCTTGATTTTCAAATTGACTTCTGTGGTAACTTGAAACCATCTTCTAATTTATTCCACTTTTACCTTTTATTGTTTCTCCAAATATATTCTTTGAAAATCGGATTTTAAGGGTGTTAATCAGGGTAATTCTGTGCCATTTTATCAAAAATCTTGTTGCTATCTAGAAATGAGCAATTGTGATCTTGTTGTTACCTAGGAACAAGCAACTGTGATGTCACGTCACACTCATGTTTATTCTGGAATCACATGGCAGCCATTTTGCAAATTTCAAAAAAGTTCCCAATTAAAAAGGCTAAATGCTGTTTACAAATTGGAAACTATGGCAGAATCAACAAAGGGTTTGTGAAATAATTAGGATATGGTTTCAAAATTATGCACATTGCAATATATGACTACTAAATGCAGGCAGGGACTTTTAATTGCCAAAAAGTCGAGTGACATTTTAGATGGAGAAATTTTTAGTCTAGATCTCAGGCCTGTCAACTTGAGAACACCTAACATGAGTTACTTGGAAATGTTGAACACCTCCCCTCAAAATGTGGACACCTTGGTCCAAATCTGAACACCTTGATCCAAATTTTGAACACCTTGGTTTAAATTTTATTACATCTTGCCAAATTTTGAACACCTCAAATTTTTCGCACTCGCTAAGCTCGCGTTTCGAACATCCATCAACGGGGGGGGGGGGGGGTACGAAACGGAATGCGTGACATATCCGTAATACGCGTGAAAAGTCCGAACAAAATGCGTACGTTTTTTCCCGTCGTTCGTATTTTTGCTGTGTAGACGATCTTTTTTAGAAAATTTTCTACAGAAAGATTTTTGCTTGACAATTACCAGGTAAAATGCGTATTTGCGTGACATTTTGCGGGGGGGGAGGTACGAAAAATTTCGAACGGAATGCGTGACATATCCGTAATACGCGTGAAAAGTCCGAACGAAATGCGTACGTTTTTTCCCGTCGTTCGTATTTTTGCTGTGTAGATGATCTTTTTTAGAAAATTTTCTACAGAAAGATTTTTGCTTGACAATTACCAGGTAAAATGCGTATTTGCGTGACATTTTGCGTCACGCAAAAATAACTGGCGTGACTTCAAATTCTTCAGCAAATGCGTGACAAATACGCAAATTGCGGGACAGTTGAACATTAGCAAAAGAAAAATTAAAAAGTAGATCTCTATACCTTTTCAGCTAAATCTGCCTTTGATTTGCCTTTATCCATGATTCTTCGAGAAGTCATAGTGAAAATACATATATATGAATAGCCTAAAACCCCTGCAATCTCGGCTCAAATTGAACAATTTATGAAAACTTTGATGGACTGGAGTATGATGTCCACCATCTTGATGCTTTTAAAACGAGGCTCGTTTCTAGACAGTACTCGCGTTGTCTTTATTGGTAAAATTTTTTACTTCCCTAAAGATAAATGTCCAGATATAATGATAGCAAATATTATTCATCATCTATGTAATCTGATGTGGTACTTATGATTCTCAAAAAAGATATACTCGATACATAGGCAATGTGTACCATTATTGTCTCTTCTAAGTATAGTTAGCCTAGAAAATCTGAAATTTTTTCGATGTCAAAAAATTTAAACTTGATGAACTATTGATTGAGTGCCATCCCCGTCTCTTTAGGCCAAGTACAATGAAAATTAAACAGATACATATTTGATGTCATGGATATTGTACCGTACGTTTCAGTTTATATTGGTGAGTACGCCCGTTGTTCTATGTTATTGTATCCTAAACTTAGACTACAGTGGGGGGCATAAACAATTACAAAACCTATGGAAATTACATGTTGTCACATATGTAATAAATTCTTACCTCAGTGTATTCAGTGCTCTATTTTCTCCGTCATAGTAAGTCCAGATATAGTGGAATTTGTGTCCATAATGACAAATAAGAACTTAAAAATTTGATGTGGAATTCACATGTTAATGCCGACTCTTCAAATGTTGAGGTGATTTTGAAATATTTTGACAAAATAATGTTTGGGGAACATTCATGAATACATATTTTACAAGTTGTGTGAAAATTGACCACATATGCGATGAAAAGGGGAACTATTTTCCCCAAATTTTGGGGATTTGCTTCATCTGCCCGCCGCAGTGTCTATACCGAGACACTGCATTGGAGTTCGTGCATAGTACTTAATCGAATCTCTAGGCAAATAACTTGGCTAGAATTACTCGAGTCTCAAACCAATACTACACTCTTCAGTCTGTGGCCGAAGAATAAGGTAACATAGTACTATGTAGCCTAGCCTAACTACATGTATCTAGAAGTGTTGCCGCGATGTGCTATATTCGTAAAGTGGGGTGCAAAAATAAATCCCAGCCCTCAAAAGTTGTCACAATGAGCTAAATGCTAAGTTTCGTGTCTCAAACTCTCCCAAGTGGTAGAAAAATAATTCCCATTGACTTTAAGTAGCACAATAAATGAATCCAAAGCTTCATACCTGCAAATGATGGATAAATCCCTACCAAACGAATGTTTTCATGAATCACCATGTTTGTGATCCAAGGAGGATTGAATGCCAGAATGCAACATCAGGTAACCTTATTATCCCAACGAACAAAGTTCGGTAGGGATATAGTGAAGCCCTCCGTCTGTCAGTCAGTCAGTCAGTCCGTCAGTCTGTCCATCCGTCCGTCAGTCCGGAAGATAACTCAAATATTAGTTGACCGATTTATTTCATATTTGGTGGAAAGATGTATATTGATGATTAGTTTTACGCAAAAAGATGGCCGCCACTTTAAAAATGACGGGACTTTTTCGCAAAAATCATAAATTTTTCATTCTAAACCAAAGTAATTAATATTATTGTTTGAAATTTTGAAAGTATATTCACATCATCTATCTATTTCATATATATTCTGTGTTTTTCATCCTGACCCCCAGGGGCCGTGTATGGGGGGTCAGGAAAACAGAAATTTTCGCTAATTTTTAGATCTTTACCTGAAGTATAGCTTTATTATACTCAAATGAAAGGCAATTAAGAGTAGATTGCAAATATTGTATCTTTTTTCTGATTCGAGCCTCGTAAAATTCAAAATGGCCGTCTAATGTATTATTTTGCAATAATTTTTCGATCCCTTCAAAGTATGGCTATATTATACTCAAAAAATTCAAAATGGCTGCTTTGCAGGAATTCGCAATTTTAACCAAAGTAATGAGTGTAATTGATTGGAATTCGGTAATTGATATTTTGTTCGTTGGGATTTGCTACTCCACGGAGTTGCCGTTATCTAGTTTACTCATTACAGATTTCAAAATGGCGGAACGGCATTTTGAAAGCTGACACATGTCATGTTGCATTCTGGGAGCCAATCCACATTGCCGCGTAATCCGGCTCCAAAATCACCTCAACATTTGAAGAGTCAGCATTAACATGTGAATTCCACTTCAAATTTTTAAGTTCTTATTTGTCATTATGGACACAAATTGCACTATATCTGGACTTACTGGGACGGAGAAAATAGAGCACTGAATACACTGAGGTAAGAATTTATTACATGTGGAACAGCATGTAATTTCCATAGCTATAGTAATTCTTTAAGGTGAGCACTCTACATCCATGCATCGGCAATTTTCAATAGTAAACATTGATGCAGATTGCGATGTACATCGGGAAAGCTCTGACCAAAATATGGCATATGCATGAAAACGAGATAGGAAAAGGTGATTTTAGCAGATTTATATTTTTGTAAAAACATTGATGTTTGTTTCAGGCATTGATGCATCTCCAGAATCACTTTTGGCAATGAATATCGCGATGTATCGATTAATTGCGACAACACTACTATATAGTCTAAAATACTCTAGGCATCTTGTCTGCCTTAAGATGTGGTTATTCACTTGCATTACAACTGTCTATAAATTCATAATCACTACTATCAAAAGGTTTATCATACTAATCGCAATCCCTTCTTTTGTGTTTTTAATTTTTTTGTTATGGAATAAGACCCAATCTGATGATTCAAAATCTGAATGGAAAAATATTCATAATGGCGTCATCCTTTAGATAGGCCTATTCACTCACGACAGGCGGAGCACACATCAATTCTAAATTTTGATCAACATAACAAGGCAAAAAATTATTTTCTTTTTTCAAACTTCTTTCCGCACTTGGTATTTAACCTATAGATAACATAAGGGGGGGGGGGGGCACTTGGTATTTAACCTATAGATAACATATGGGGGGGGGGGGCTTCTGTTCACTATGGGTTGTAGGTATGGATCTAGAGGTCATGAAGGAAGGTAGGCTAGAAGATATAGCCTGGGTTTAATTTCAGAAAAAATATTGATATTTTCAAAAAGATAAGATGCATCTAATATCATGATTATCTAATTTTGGCAGTCATTCAAGCCTAAGATAACACCCTAAATGATTTAGAAAAAAATAATTCATATCTTGCTATCATAACCTGGTGAATATAATCAGCTAATAGTAGGACTTCCTTCAACTGGTTTGTCGGTTGTTGACAACTCAGAGTAGATAACTCGCAAGACGGGTTTGGTTGGGGCTTGTATATACAATAGTTCTTAGTTGGGAAACTAGCGGTTACCATTAGTAATTTGGTTTCCTGTATAAAAACGCCTCTCCTTTTCTGAATCAAGGTTTATTCCCGATAGGAATATCAGAATTTCTAACAGAATTTGTAGGGATGGCAGCTTGGGCTTAGCATCCCCCCACACATCCACAAAAAAAGAAAAACAGCAATTTTGTAAAAGGATTGGTATTGATATGGTGAATTGAATTCAATGTCATATTTAAATTCATTTCTGTTTTACACATGGCACCTGCAAATCATAGGCTATTGCATGGGTGTTAAGCCACGATGATACCATGAGCACATGCTTTGAGGATCCGCGTTGTTTGAACCTACCGCCGAGCTCACTTATACATCAAGACCCGTTACACAGTCATGATACTGCCGAGCAAGCTCATTGTATCATCGGGTCTGCTTTACCCCCGTGTATTGACTCTTACTCCACATACACATATTACACCCACCTGCAGAAAATAAGAATTTAAAAATTGTATTTCCAGATGCTAGCTGGAGGGACTTTTTAGTTGCCATTTCAAAATGCACTGTAAGCAGTGTAGACCGCAAAAGAACAGAAGAAGAAATACAGAAAATATGGACAAATGAAGCAAATTCTAATTTTGTCCTTCCATGCTTATCTGTCCGATCTGCACTTGATCTTTTCTTGCGTGTAAAAAGTTTCCCGAAAGGATCTGAGATTATAATGTCTGCTTTGAATATCCCTGATATGGAGAAAGTGATCCGGCATCATGGTTTAAAAATAGTACCTCTTGATGTTAATATGGAAACAATGATGCCAAAATATGAACTCATTGACTGCTTAGTTACAGATAAAACTGTAGGTATATTAGTTGCACCAATATTTGGAAGAATATTTGATCTTGAACCTTTTGTACAAGCTGCTCAGAAACATCAAATATGCCTTATTGAGGACAATGCTGAAGCCTTTGGTGGCTTTGAGCTTGGAAAGCTTGGGCACCCTAAAACAGATATATCTCTATTCAGTTTTGGACCAATCAAATTCTACACTGCATTCGGCGGATCAGTCGTAAAGGTGCGTGACAGAAAGGTATATGATAAGATGCTTGAGCTTTATGAATCATACCCTAAACAAACACATTCCGAATTCCTGAAAAAGATTTTGAAGTATTCAATAGCTGGTATTTTGCTCAATGTTCCATGTGCGTCCAAAACAACAATAATCATTTGCCGATTTCTTGGGATTGACCACAAGAAAAAAGTGGTATCCATGTTGAGAGGGTTTCCTAGTGACTTGATCCAGAGGATAAGATACCAACCCTCAAATGCTTTGCTGCACATGATGTTGAGACGTTTTACCATGTTTGATAAAACTGACTTTGGGCTGTCAAGAATCAAAGGAGATTACATCAGCGAACGACTTCCAGAAGGTGTTACTCAAGTAGGCATGAAAGCGGAAGAGAACAACTATTGGCTGTTTCCTGTCATAGTTGTAAGTATAAAATAATGCTTTATATTTAGAGGTTTCGGTAGAATTTCTGACAACTGGCGAAATTATGAAAACATCGATCAAAATTACCAAAAGTTTGCATGCATTCAGTGTTGCAAAATTCCTCAGAACAATAAGCGATTTAGGTAAAAAAGAACCAGGGAAAATGACAAATGCCACGCCTAACCATCGACAACGTACAGTGTCAAAATATACGGATGTACCCTTTAGCTGGTTGAAGCAAAATTTTTGATGTAGGTTTTGAAAGTTTTTATCTAAGGAACATGATGAAGTATTTCGAATTTCATGTGCATGCTCTTGGCAAGACTTCATTTTTTAATTACGTTAACAGATTCTCAAACAGAGCACAATTGTTTTCTAGGTAATTCCACCCATGTGAACATTTTCCAACCGGTTAATTTTCTGGGTGGAATTGCCTAGAAAAAATTCTAGCACTGCTCAAGAACCTATTAACGTTATTAAATAGTTAAAAGTCTTGCCAAGAGCATGCACATGAAATTAAACATGAAATACTACTTATATTCCTTAGATAAATCTTTTAAAACATACATCACAATTTTTGCTTCAAACATGACAACATACAGCTAAAGTGTATAACCATATATTTTGTCACTGTATATTGTTGATGGTTAGGCCTGAAATGCACGCTGCTAATAAAACTGGCATGGTATTGGGTCTAAATAAACCTGCACACCTCTCCACTTGGCACCCATAATTAAGATAATATTTGTTGGGACAGAGATTCCAGAGAATTTGTTTATCTCTCAGCTGAAGTGATAATATTGATTGATTACACAAATATAATCCAAAAGTAGTAGACAGTCATAACATTGATAACATATCAGTGTTAATATAGCACTTGAACAAACATAGAAAAGAATACATATGTTAAAATGATTGAGTACTAATTTGTACCAACAAATCAGCTAAAGGGGTTCATTTTTTATCAGAAAACATTATAAAACACCTGTAGTGTTATGTTATGTTTGTTCAAATCTTGAAGATGCTTTCTAGAAAGGCTTGTTAAGAGGCATCGCTCCAGTTTGAGCCCATTTACAACTGTTATCATCTGCATAGTTACAGTCTGTTACAATATATTTATCACATATCTGTTTAATTAAAGCAATTCTACTGTTTTATTATTTTTGTTCTGTACTAATATTAAAGTTAGACACTTGCATGTTTTATTAAGGATAACTCTGAAGAAGTGTTGAAACAGCTGAATCTACTTGGTGTTGACGCATACAGGGATAATGTCACACAACTTAATCTTATAGAACCTGATCCTGAACTTGGGATAAGTCATTTCAAACATCTTGATAGATTCTTGACTCACTACCCACACGAGGCACGCTACTTTCGTGACCATGTTTTATTCCTACCAGTTAACAAAATGGTGCCTTTCGCCATGCTGGACCGTATTTGTGACGCTCTTGAAAGGGCTATTCAGCTCTGTAGAGACAGTGATGCCAAATTACCTCAAGTGCATCGACCTATATCTGGGAAGATTAGAGTTAAAAGGATTAAATCCAAACTCTGAATTGAATGTGTTATTTTAAATGAAGGTAGGTGTAAGAGCTGCTTACACTGATAACTTAGTGTCCTTGAAGTATGTCACCAAAAACCTGCTAACCAGAGGCCTTATTCCCAAAGTACATGTATCACGGTGTTATAGCATGACGGTTACGCCACCTCTGAAAACGAGGTTGGACGGCTACGTTCATTGATTTATCCAATAAAATGGCCACGATGGAACAGAAAACTAAGGTTGGTGCATTATTTTCTACTACTGTGTATCAATGAAAGGATGAACGATTTATGGAAGCATCGCATTCGGTGATGCATTTCGGAATGTATATTTTGAACGTAGTCTTTGCAAATTGATGTCCGGGGATAACATGAAATAAGTGAAAAATTGTTGAGTTTGAAATTCAAAACTACACAAAATTTAGTAATTTGTTTATTTTTGTCTTAAGGGCATGGTCTACATTCCCTAAAAACCTCGGAGTATATAGATGTAACCTACATACGATCATAAAAAGCCAATTGAGCATTGGAAACCACCTAATATGTTCTACTCAAGCCATAATAATGTATTTTGAATTTGTGGTTACGCAAATAATTGATGGACGGTTACGCGAACCTCGTTCAAATATGTATCCCCGATCCATTGTTATAAATTTCGTCATATTCATCTGTACTTGATGCTAATTCTTCTTTTGCCTCTTCATTGCTATCTTTTTGACTTTCATTGGTTTCATAAATAAAGCAAGACACAATTTTTTCCTTGCCCTATAGAGGCTCAAACAAGAGCGTCTCTTGCGAGTCTTGAAAACAAATATAAGCAATCCAATATTCCATTTCTTACCTATTATAACAATGACATGGAAAGAGGCTATCAGAACTAGCAACCTTGACTTGAAAGGGGTACATGCACATAACCGTCCGCTAAATATCTAATGTACAACTAATACAATACGTTACTGTCCATAGAATTCAAACATACGTGTATATACAGTTAATAGTTTGAGTGGCTTTGAGGCACATATACTGAGAAAATACAAGAATGGACTCAAAATTATGAACTTTGATATCTCAGTTGGTAAGTTTACAGCTTATATTCTGCTTCTAGTAAACCACCTGGCAGATTTGACCCAGTCTTAAGAACCATCCATATATATGTTACCGAATGGAACTAGTTGAAAAGGAAATCTTATCTGTGAATCTTGCCCACAGGCGAGAAAGAGGACATGCTGTCTTTCCCATCCGCCATTTTTTGTTATCGTTACCGCAAAATTTTGCAAATCGCCTTGACGTAACCATCATGCTATAACACCGTGTGTATTGCAAATCTAATGTGATTGCTATTTCTATGCAGTTACCACATTGCTTTTTGCTTGGTTTTCACAATGATGTTAAATAGCAATCGCTTTAGCAATAGCAATCGCTTTAGCAATAGCAATCGCTTTAGCAATAGCAATCGCTTTAGCAATAGCAATCGCTTTAGCAATAGCAATCGCTTTAGCAATAGCAATCACAATTGGATAACATATTCTCTATCCTGAGTTCATTGGGTTGTTTATTGTCTTTAGTTGTGTTCAATGGGAACGTCTAACTGTGCCATGCCTGATTTAGGCTTATCTGAATGGATGCATCCAGTCCAGTCACAAAATATACCTGGAGAGCTCAATATCCTGGGAATAAAGGAAGAAAATTATAAACTGAAAAACCTTATTCTGAAATTTCAACTAATTTTTAGAAAGCTATATGCATTCATCAAGACATAATGTTACCCTGCCTAATTCCTAATATTGCGGCTACTCTAAGGCTGACGAATTTTAATTTTATTGCTACGTCACAATCGCATTTTGGCACAATCTCACTGTGAATAAGAATTCTAGCAATTTTTGCGATTGCGATTGTGACATAGCAGTCGCAAAGAATGCTACACATAAAGCCTCATCTGCATGCAGGCTTGTAGTGTCTAACAGCTGCATTAAGAAATAATGTCAAAGCCATTTGCTATTTGGGTAGTTCATCTTTATTCACCAACAGAGCTCCTTTACGGTAAAAAGTAACTTAACTAGTATGCATGTTGCCTTCCAACTTGAGCTTTATTTCCATCATTTATTGCTTTCATATTAATTTCCAAATAACATTAGCGACATAATGACTTTTGATTACTATTATGGAGTAATTTTATTAAACATCTCATGAATTATACAAGCTTTCTTTTCTAAATATCAAGCATTGAAAACATTTAGCAGTGTAAATGTTGAAAAACTTAAAATTGATATTACTTCAATATATCACCTATGAGTATATTTATATAATAAAGTATTACGTTAAGTGTAGTGTATTCTTGAATTGATATTAGTTTAGTGTAGTTACTGTTTAGTAAATATTCAATGATGATTTTACCAGGTTTTGAGAATGATTTCGAACAGTGACATCTTTGATCACAAGTATTTTCTCACCATAAATATGACATTTCCTCATCAAAAAATACTTTATATTTTTAAGTGTGATTAATTTTTCCGCCATTCAAATTGTGAAAAATAATCGCCAAACTAATTAAATCATGAAGATTCTGGCTTGTTATGTCACACAAGTAGTGACATATTGTTATGGTCACCAACTTTTTGTGGATGGTGGTTGGTGTTTGGTGGTCTGCATTTTGCAGTCAGCATCTGTAACAAATGGCTGGTGGTCACATGTATCAAAAATGTTGTATTTATCTGTTTATGGTCAGACATGGTCAAAGATATGATTGTCTCATATCAATTTAGCAATCTAGATCTTCTTAGCTTGTGTAACTTGGATATCCTGTATCCTAGTATTGACACACAGTGTAATACAGATTCTTTATTACACTCTGTGACATCTGTATTACATGCTTTGATGTCTGAAGTCATCATTGAATACAAACTTTGAAAATGCCAAAATATGGTCCCAAAAATGCAGAATTTTGAACACAATTTTTTCGGTATTTTTTCACTTGATATCATAAGAACATTATTTAGTGATTTCTTGTAAAATATGTAGGAAATACTTTAAAAGATGTATTGATTGCAACCTCATATTTGTAGGATAATCCGGAAGAAGTTCTCCGCCATCTGAATGCCTCTGGAGTAGATGCCTATAGGGGGGCAACCCAACTTAACCTCATGGAACCAGGGAATGAGAGAGAAAACAAATGGACTGGTCAGTTTAGACTAACAAATGAATTCATGATGAAGTACCCCACAGAGGCACGCTACATAATTGATCATGTACTGTACCTGCCTGTCAATAAGATGGTCCCATTCCATCAGTTAGATAAAATATGTGAAAAACTAGATAGAGCCATTACAGAGATTAGTAGTAAGAATCTTGTGCCACTTAACAAGTCAATGGGTCTGCAGCCAAAGTCTAAATTATGAACAACCAATGCTGGTACCAATGATGCTCAAGGTGGTATCCTTTATTTTCAATTCATGTGAAACAGAATCTTTGTTCATAGATACATTCTGTTGTCTACATATTCACATAGTAAATTTTTTTATTTCATTTCCTCAATAGAACATGGAACAAAAAACTTATTCATGTAAATATTAAATATCTTGTATTCATTTTGTTTCATTGACTGCCCTAGAGTATAACTAAACCAATGGGAGAAAGGGGGGGGGGGTCGATAGTAAAGAAGTGGTACAGTCAAGAATTCCTAAATAAGCTAATGTAACCATTAGATATAATGTAATGTTGTCATAGGAGGAGCACAATTGATATTAGAAATTTTTCGCTTAAACATAAAATTTTGCTTAATGACCATCATAGGACCATAACCATTACTTTCTGTACATTGTATATAGTTTATGTTAATTCAGCTTTAAACTGTAAGATCTGTTTTTGTTGTTTTGTCTCACCAAATAATACTCATTGAAAACAACAGAAAAGTTGTTTCACAGTTCTAAGACCAGGTCTGCTGTTAGTGGGTATAGAAACAATGGACCATGTTTATATGTGCACAAGAACAATTGCACAGCAGGCCCGTAGCCAGGTGGGGGGCCAAAAAATCTTTCAAAATCATCCAGTTTTCACCATTCTAAGGACTAAGTGATTTTGGCCGTTTTTGGACCAAAATTGTCACAAGTGAACCCTCCCTGGAATTTTTCAAAAAGTGAACCCCCCTGGAATTTTTCAAAAAGTGACCCCCCCCCCCCTTGGCAAATCCTGGCTACTGGCTTGTACAGTATTATGAAAAGTGAGGTTGTCATTTAATATGTGTGCACTCTTAATCTGCATCAACAATTTCATAAAAATTAAAATAATTCAAAATTATAAAATTCTGAAGCTTAAGCAATTGACAATAAAATTATTAGAGGGGTACATATATCTAAATCTGATGCTATAATATAAATTAGTAAGCACAAACTACATATGTATAACTTGCACATTGGTAGACATTGATAAAAACCTTGGAATGAAGCAAAAACTTGAAAATTGATTGTCAGATTGAGTTGATTGAAACACATATGACAACAAAGAGTACACAATGCATATAGTGAATACAAAAAGAGATATTTTGATATTGAGTTTACACATATTATATATCCTGGGAACTATGTGTAATGGTAGTCAGTTATCATATTCTTCGATTTTGCAACTGAGTTGTGACATTCTGTTGCAATGCCACTTTGTAAGTTTTTATATAGAAAAGTAATGTTGATATTCTGAGGCATTTAAAAGGATTGTAGCTGAAAAATTAATTGAATGATTTTATTCATTAGTTTATTCATTAGTTTATTTGTTAGTTTGCCAATTGTTTTAAAAATGACAATCCTTTTTATTATAACTGTGCCTTGCCTTGCCTAGATGTTCAATGGGGTTTGCTGCATGCTGGCATTGTCATTGACTGATTTGTGAAACATTCTACAAGATATATATTTATCTCATATGCATATACAATGAATAACTTTTGAATTTCTTTTTTGATATATATTATACCAAGTACAGCTGCTGCTATTGGATCATGAAATGAATAATGTTATAGTTCAATTGTTATACAGTATATATATGGGGGGCCCCAAGGGGGGGGGGGTAAAAATATATTATAGAGGGGTGTATCTAGGATTGGAAAATATATGAGGCAAATTTAATTAGGTGAGGCAAAGCTTTGACCAAAGAGGATTTTATATTTATGATAGGACACAGTTGTTACTGTCTAAACATATGTTTCATGTAAAATTTCATAGCTAGCTCAACAATATATGCTAATTGACTATTATAAGTATTTTAACATGTTGTGTCCATATTTCTTGTATGTTTGTTATGTTACATACCATGTGTTCAGATTTTGTATCTTTTAACATTTTTACTAAAATTTGTGTTATTTTGCCACTGTTCTCATCTAAAGTATTTTGTTTGAAAATACATGTTAAGTATATAACAAAAGTTACATATCAATTCCTGCTTGTTCTGTAGTATTATATTAATCAATGAACTGCAGCATGCAAATATAACTGTTCTTGTTTGCTCAATTTCTGCACTTGTATAGGACATGTTATTAAGTTCACATTTAACATCATTTACACTTTTTATATAACATACTTTTACATGTATTGTAGCCAGAAAACATTGCCAAGAATGTAATTACAGTAAAACCCATCAAGTGGAACAAAATGTGTTCCAGTTGCACAGGTTTTACTGTATTGATTAATATAGATAATGCACATGCGACTAATATCAAATATGTCATTGTAATGACATCAGAGAGTCAATAAAAGGTATTATAACATACCTATGATGATGTATAGTGCAAAGTATACACAAGACAGCGGGCCAATATAAGTTTTGAAAAGCCCGCGCCCGCTAACTTTCTGATTGGTCAAGGCGCTGACGTCATAACCAATCAATCGAAGATAAAACTGCGCGAGCAATTTTTCTAAACTCACTTCAATCATTTTCAAACCATTTGTTTGTCAATTCTATAAGAAAACGGTACTCTCTGACCAGTCTACAGCATCATAGGTATGTTATAAATCGTTTATGTCACTATCGTGGCACATATGCCCTCGGTTCTCAGAGATCAATGTCCCTCCCGAGGTCGGGCCATATATCACTGAGACCTCGGGCATATATGCCACGATAGTGACATAACCTCTAAGTACTATATACACATTTAGCTATAAATTGTGAAACTCAATGTTATCAAAATAATGAGAAATATATATTTATAATCTAATATATTCTATGTATGCTAACTTATGTTGTTAAATACAGTGTCCTAAAACATTGTACAGAGCCAAACGTGGAATAAATCTGTGAGTGAAGATTATTCTTGAAATGGTCAGCTGACATACATCATTAAGATCTGAAAGTGTTTGTAGGTAACTCTGTTTAGTCTCAGAGAAAAGCTTGTAGTACCACCACTTATTTTCTCATGTTGGATGTCCCAATCATACAATAACTCTGAGTGACGGAGAAATATTTCTGAAATTCAATTATCTGAGAGACAATTTAATTATCATAAAAACTTGAAAGTTTCACCAGGTATAGCATCATCAGTCATTACCTATGGAATTGCATTCCGCACTGCATTGATCATGATTACGGAGGTCATTTAGAGCATGTAATCTAAAATGTCAAATTCCTTAATAAGCGATTTTCAAATTTCTATGAATTTCTAACTGCTACTGTAGATTGGGTTAATTTGGCGCCCGCTTTAATTTGGCGAATTTGGCGAAATTGAAAAATTCGCCAATATAAATCTTCGCCAAAATTTAGAATGAATCCCCGGGAATTATCTAGGGTATTTTGTCCAGTGTATTTAGGTCACTTTCGGTTTAGTTTTTCCAAAAATATGAAAAAATGTCTCTCATAAATTGGCTCAGAACTGGTCAGTCACTGATTAATACTCAGGGAAAAACTAGATCGAGGTGCAAAATGTAAAGGATGATCTCACAAAAATTTACAAACGTGGTGAATATTAATTATAATTTTAAAAAAAATTTAATTTTAATTGTTTGTTTTTTGCATATTCGCCAAATTAAATAGCCGCCAATATGCCAAAAATGGCAAAATCGCCAAATTAACCCAATCTACAGTAATTCAATTGGAGGATGAATTCTTTTCATGCCAAAAGTTCAGCTTTTTTCAATGGAGGAAGAAAGAGTTTCTCCAGCTTTATTTATTTATTTGGACACCCATTACATACATCTTCCTTGTCACAACCCTCAGACTGCTGGTCTTTGGCTGTTCATAGAATTCTTGATGCATAGGTGATTCCCTGTATCAGTATACGCACCAATTTTTCCATTGCTAATGTATCCCAATAATATTTGAAACATATTAGGAAGAAACCTGGTCAATACTTCAAACATACTAGGTTAAAGGTATGTAGTTATTGCTATTTCAGATTTACCCCCTCCCTCCGGCAAAAATACAACATCATTTAAAATCAAGAGTGGGTGCATTAATGCGCCTCTGGTGCTTTATTTATATATATGAGATTTGGTCCCTATTAAAACTCCTATAGTCAAAAAGTCACTAGAGGCGCCGTGGCTTCCACGTCGAAAACAAGAGTGGTGTGTGTGAAACTTGAGTTACTATTTTAATAAAGCGAGTTGGCAAGCCATATTCACAAATGATTGAAATTCGCTATAGCGAATAAAAGTACAGATAATGAGGTGTTCTGCACTAGAAAATAGTAAATGATAAACACATTTCGAAATTTTTTCATTTATTTCAACAATTATGCATAATTTATCATTCATCAAAATGATAAAAAATTATGTATGTTAAGGTGAGAAAATAGAACTAAATATTAACAGAATTGTAAAAGTTAAACCCAGAGAGATATTGAGAAATAATTGAATAAACGTCTCCATGGTCTTATTTTTCGTTTGAAAATGAAATACTTCAAATAGAACTAGAGTAGGCCTAAACTAAATTTACATTTAGGTCTAGATCTAAAAACATATCCATTCTATATTTACTTTAAGGCTCAGCTGGAAAGTAACATTTTTGTAAAAAATTGCTATACCTTCACATGCTATTTTCTGGTACAAAATTAAGTATGACGGCATGTGTGTATTTCCATGGGCTCTACTTGCTTTTTTTCAGGAAAGTTCTTTACATTGTGTACTTTTAGTAAACCTGGAGACAGGTCAATGGTAGCTCCTGTGTTGTCTGGAAACTGTGAAAGAAAGTTTGAAAATAGAAAGTGGGAAATATCAGAATTTCCTGGGGTCCCCATTGATTACTCGAGTCTCTACATGTAGCTTACATGGAATATAGAGAAGGCGTTGGACCAAAGTAACCCATTGACCTCTTACCAGATATACTAAAAGAAGACAATGCATTGATACTTTCCTAAAAGAAGCAAGGAAATTAACACATGCCTTCATACTTTATAGTGTACCAGAAAATAACACGTGCAGGTACAGTATGTCAATTTTTAACAAAATGTTATTTTCCAGCTGTACCTTAAGTCTTAAGAAGTAAGGAGGTCTAAAAGTCAATGTTCATTTACAGAAACCTATTTGTGGAACATCATATAAGTAGATCTACAGGCAAGTTCTACAGATCTTACAGTTGCTTCAAACTCCTAACTTACCCTAGACGTGGAAGCCCCGCCTCTAGTGACTTTTTGACAATAGGAGTTTAATAGGGTCTCTGGGGTCTTGACAAATCCCAGATATATAAATAACCCCCCAGAGGCGCATTAATGCACCTAAACTTACCAAAGCCTATAGCCAAAAAAGAAGAAGGCAACATTTAACCATCAACTATTTTAACCATATAGATGATTACAGACTATCTTCTTTAAAGGGGCAATAAGGACTGTAGAGAAAATAGGAAAGTTTTTTCATTTTTTCTGAGCTATCAAGGCAACATTTGGTTTAACATCTTCTTTGACATACCTATTTTCTTAAAATGTATGGATTAATTATCATATTCAGCATTAAGAAGTGTAAATTCAGTTCAAAGCTTCAAAAAGGGGACTTCCACTTTTATATTTTTAAGATCCACCGTGTTTCAAGAGGAATATCAGCTAAAATAATGTTTATCTAGGGGGTTTCTTTGTAGATAATAAAAATAGATGTTAGTCTTGATGAAATATCCAAACTTTAATATATTTTGACACTGGTCCATGATCGTTGAATGACCCCTCTGCACTAATTATTGCACCTTTAAATAAGGAGTAATTATTTGAGGAGTACTTGACATGATTCATGTGAACACAGCAGTCAGCTCTAAAGGAAAGCATGTATCACCAGTGGAATATACATCTTGAACGGAAAAATAAGAGGACATCTCTAAAATCTATTAATGAGTAAGTATATAGGAAGTTGCTTCTTTTGTTTCATTTTGTTGTATTGCACATACATGTACTGTACATGCATTGCTATTTAGAATTTATGAAGGCACGGCCAAGTGTGTTCAGGGCATGGCCAAACTACAATTATACACTTGCATATGTAAAAGAGCTTAAAAGAGAACATTTAGTTTATTCCTCCATCAAAATAATTTTCTCTTCATATTTAGACTATTTAATCTTTGCTATTATTTGAAAAAATATATACACATAATTGTTTGAATATGATGCTCCTGAATTAATGTATATGCATTTTCCTTGTTCTTGTTGTATCATGTAATTTCATTTAATTTCAGTGCGACAAAAACTGGAAATAATGTCACGCAACCTAAAGATACTGATGAAATATTTCAGGGAAAGTTAGATTTGGAATTTCCAAGCAATGTTAAGATTGTGCGAATATTTACCAGTAGCACATTTACAGGTAATACATGTACTGTACTGTATAAAATAATAATATATATCATCATGTATTTGTGGATTTCATGTAAGGTGTATACAGTGTATAAAGGCTTGGTATTTCTTCATATCAATAAAATAATGTATAGAGTGTACATGTAGTTTAAGTTTGACTTTCATGAGCATTATGTGTATAGCACTATACAATGAATGTATTGTACTTGAAGTTAATTTGCATGTTTATTGTTGATAATTTCTTGGTGATTACTCTAGACAAATAAGCCTAATAAAGAATATTTTGCTCATTTGAAAATGGTGATCTGTTGTAGTAAATGTTCCGATGACTTGCAAAACTATGAATAATAATTCTTAATAAATGGTTTCAGACACTAGCCATGAGAGGAATAACCTCATGGAACGGGTCTATCCCAAACTCAAGACATTCTGTAAGGAGAATGGATATGAATTTCAGGTATGATTTTGAATAATATCAAAGCTCTACCTTTATTTTCATTTTGTTATGTCATGTCATATTGTTATGGTGTCCGTTTTTTGTGACAACAGTTGGAAGTCGGTGTCTGTAAAGCAGTTGGCGTTTGTAAGAAATTAAGAACAAAAACTGTACAGATTGACTTTAATTTTTTTCAAAATCATTTACAAGTTCTCAGAAAAGATTCAAAAAGGTCTTTTTGAAACTTGCTTCAAATTGACCAATTTTTTCAAAATCATCTACAAGTTCTCAGCAGTCCAAATCTGACTTTAGATTTGGCCTTTAATGACCTGCTCAAGGTCAAAAAAGGTAAAAAAGTCAAAAAAGTGTTTTTTCAATTTGCTTTTAGTTGGCCAAATTTTCTTTTTCAAATTCATCTTCATCTACAGATTTTAGCAAATAGGTAATGACATTTTATCATGTTAATGCCTTATTTGTCTTTGTTACGAATAACATTGCATGACGTCTTAGATTTTGATACTTGGCAAAATGTCACCACCTGGAAATTTATTGTAAGTGGTTTACAAAAGTGTAACCATTTGTTACAAATGCCATCTGGTGTCACCAAATACAGGTCACAAAAACATTGACTATAACTCTCTGAGAAAAAGACATTCTGCTTTTTCTTCACTAAGAGACAAGAATACTGATGTGGAACTATTAAGCTCTAATTGTCAATTGTAATTTGTCTATTTATTTACACTGTTTTGTATCCTTTGTTTTATTTATTAAAGTTCATTTTAGTCTTTCCTCCTATAGGTTGTAGACATGCGTTGGGGTGTACGTGATGAAAGTGGAAATGATCATCTGACTACAGAGCTCTGTATGCAAGAACTGGCCTATTGTCAAAAACTCTCAACTGGACCAAACTTTGTGGTATGTGCAAATTGTTTACTAGTTGAAATTAGTGAAAAACTTGCATCCAGTCTAACTCCAGTACATTTATCTTTAACAGTCAAGAAACCTTCTATTATGGAATCAGAAGTTTACAAGAGCTTTAATGAAGGTTACAAAGAGCAGTGTTTGAAAAACAAGAATCTATAGAAAAACAATTATAATGCATGTTCTACTTTTGCAGACATTCCTGTCTCATAAGTATGGCTATAGGAACATACCTAGAGTCATTGATGCCTTGGAGTTTGATCAACTCATTGAAGCAGTAGAGAAGAAAGACCCAACAGCATATTCAGTTTTGAAAAAGTAAATCTTTCTTTAACTCTGAACAGTTATAGACAAATGTCTTGTAGGTACATGTACAGTAGTCTTCGTTTTATCATAGATGAACACCTCCATATATTTAGTACTCATTGCTTTTGATTAATATGATCTGTACACATTAAGTCATACCATATACATGTACCAGGAATTGTAATTACTTTGATCTTTTGATGATTGCAGTTTACCTATTACAGGTGATCCAAAAAAGGTAACCCAAACCTTTTGCAAAATGGCCATATAAAATCAGGATCATTTGAAATAGATGAATGAAACTTGATAGAATTGAAAAACATTGAACAAGGTACAATTGTGCCAAATATGACTTTAAACCCATGTTGGATGGAGCTATTACTGGGTTACCATTTTTGAGCCCACCCTGTATCTTCAGCATCTGCATGTTCACATTATAATCCACTTAATCCAATAGGGGATGGGATAATACCAGTAATCAAATTATTATATACATATATCACAATGATTTAATTGAGAAACTTTCAAGCGGAGTGGAGTCTTAGCTTAATGGAATCAGAGGTCCGTGATGGAATGGAGGTTTAGATCAATAGATCCATAAAATAACAGGGTTCTATTTTGGGACCAACTAAGCATCAATTGTTTATTCATCGATCTGTCAGTTTGTCCATTAGTCCATCCATCCTTTTACTTTTATTTGATATTCTATTTCTTTCTTAGGTGGTTTGATAAAGATGAGAACAGCGTTCCCGTGTCTTACATCCTACAACCCATTGACACACATCTGCCAGATTATGTAAGTGAAGACAGTGAAAAGAAGGGGGCAGCTAAGCAGACATGGTGGGAGGATTCCACCTTGATGCATGCTGCCCTCCAAGATGCTTCATTTGAAGTCCTGGCTGGGGATGCTAAGGGTGACAAGTACACAATTTCAGGTATACTAAATTCTTCAGGCTGTTTATTTTGAATTCAGTACAATTCAGTACAATTCCTGGTTTCTTAATTGGACAATATTTCACAATATTAATCGAAAAAAACGTAAACCCGATTTTACTGTCAGGTTAATCGATGTTCATCACTCAGCTTTCTGACTATTAATCCCAATAATGTTTCAGTGACTGAGGATGAAATCACCAGAGGCATTTTAAACACTTCCAATGCAGATGAACATTGTGTCTGGTTCAGGAGGATCATCACAGACATTGGAGACCAACCACCAAACAGGCTTCTGTCTCGATATAAAGGTGCATATTATAGCTTATGTTTTGTTTAATTAGACATATGTCTTTGTCACATAGACATTTCACACCCATTTTCCTCTTCTTGTATATGTTTCAGTCAAGTTTCACTTTTTTTTTGGATGATGTCATGTCTATGGAGACAATTAAAAAAATTATATACTGATTGAAATGTCTAAATACTTTACACATGTATTTTGACAAAAAGGGCATATACCTCAGGATGTTTACACAATAAATTAGTCCGTATACATTTAATATCCTAATCTAATTGAACTTGGTAAAAATATTTTAAACATTCTAAACTTGAAAGCAATCACATTCCTATAAGTACAGGGCTTGCTTAATATTGACCATGGGCTTGTATTGACATGCTACAGTGTACATACTAGTATATGCCATTATTAATTATGATTTAGAAGTCATCCCTATTTTAAGCCATTGTTCTACAATCTATATGTATTTTTCAAGACTGTAAGGATGGTACCATAGACAGGGATTCTGAGATGATGGTGAGCAATCTTGCATCGAAGAAGATTTCCACTGTTCTACCAGCTGACAGTATCAAAGAATACCAAATCAAATGGGCAGAAAATGGTATTATTTCAGTATATTTTGAGATTGAGTCCATGTACATGTATTTATAAATCTGTTGTGAAATGTTTATAAAATTCACTTTCATATTATTCTAATATGAACCTCTGGCTATTTTATTCACATTGTGTAGGGCTATATATTATTTATCTGGATAATTCGTTTTTCTATTTTTTACAATATATTTTGGACTTTTCAATGAAAACTCACATCATACATATATGTCTTTTTAAAAGTTACATCTAACTCTCATGAATCTAATCAGGACCAAGCTACATTACAGGTATATACAATGATTACTAGTATATAGTAATCATGATTATCAATTAATTGTCTATTGATAAGGTGTGGACCCTGCAAATGAACCTCTCCATCAAGAGTATATAGATAGTCTCTGTGAGGACTTTGAAACGACCATGAGGAAGATGATAACTGATGGTATTAACCTGAAAGAGAAGCAACAAGTGCAGGGAGCTCTATATGCAGAGATTGTTGAACACAGCTCATTTGCACAGGACAAATACAAGTCCTTTCAAGGAAGAAAAGATGTCTTAAAGGTGAGTTTTTCTGATGCAAACATTTCAGGACAACCATTACTGACTCCCTCCACTTTCTTGAAAAATAAACATGTATCCGTACTTTAATTTTTCATCACTAGTTTTTAAAAAAATGAATGGACACATGCAAGCATTGATATATTGACTGTCAATGATTTTATACACTCCTGTTCAATATGTTTATTCTCAGATCACTGTAACCTTTCGTTTTAACGCAAGAAAGCACATACTACAAATACAGTATACAACTAATTGATTTCATAGTCAATTAAAAAATAAATATTGAAATGTTTTCTTACATATTATATGAATTCAATTTTCATTTTCCAACAGTTTGCAATTGAATCCAGTTTGACGTGTTCATTATGGGTTTTCATCTGTACATTGTAGGAGATAAAAAATTATATAGATGGCGTTGGTTATGAGAATCACCCATTTGTTGTACATGGACAATCAGGCAGTGGAAAGACATCAATCATGGCTGCTGCTTCTAAACACTGTTGGTCTTGGATACATGAACACACAAACAGAAAAGGTGCTGTCATTCTCAGGTGAGAGCATATGTCAAATTGGTCTCTAAGAAATTATAGGGAAAATGTATAGAGGAAAATATATAAAATGTTATAAAGAAAATTAATGACATTTTTCAAGTATAATTTGTCTTATGTTGAAATATTGACAAACAATGAATATTCTGATATGTATGGCAATTGCTGTTTGTGTTTGTAGGTTTATTGGTACAACTCCAGATAGTTCACACATCAGGACACTGTTGCTTAGCATAGTTCAACAAATAAAGAAGATATATGATGATACTTCACCCACACCTGAGGTACATTTTTGTAATTGCAACATGCTAATCTGACAATTTGATGTTTTCATCAAATACATTTTTATATTTAGTCTCCATCCCAAAAATTGTTTTGCTTTTAAGGTGCACAACAGTGTTAAAAAGTGAATGAAAATGTTACAAAAGAAACATTGAAAAACCATAAAACTCATCAGGTGAAATTAGGAAATATGGGTAGGCCTAGTTGTCAAATGATTTAAAATCACAATATTAGTGAATGTGAGAGACATTTGCATTTGTTGAATTGACTGTACCATTAAAAGAATTTATGTGAGCCATTCTTTTTTATTTCTTTTATCACAGGACATGAAACCATTACAGAAAGAATTTGTTCGTGTTCTAAAGCATGCAAATGTACATTGCCCCCTGGTATTGTTTCTTGATTCATTGGACCAGTTTGACCAGGATGGTGGAGGCAGGCAGGTTGGGTGGCTCCCTCTTAATCTACCCGACCATGTGAAAATTGTCGTGTCAACACTACCTGAAGCTCAATACCTTTGTTTTCCAGCTCTTAAGGTAACAATACTCATTAATGCATGGGCATTTGTACCCTTTTTGAAATTTTTACTTCATTAATATTAGTATACACACTTTAAATTGGGGATGAATCTTTGATCTAGCCTTGTAATCTAGATTGTACATATTCATTGAGAATGAAAGAACAAATTCTTTTGCACATCAGATTTTTAGATCTATATTGTGAGTGAGAATGTATACCTTCCCTGTTTTCTCTTAACCTAGAATGTTTGCCATTAATTTTCAGTTGAAAATTCAGGATCCCAAATACTTCCTTGAAGTGCCTGTGTTACCTCAGAGAGATGTGAACACCATCTTGCAACAGTGGCTCTCTGGTGCGAATAGAACACTAACCAAAACACAAATGAAACTTGTGATTGGTGCCTTTGAATCTCTCCCATTACCCCTCCATCTTAAACTTTGCTTTGATGAGGCCACTCGTTGGAAATCATATTCAAAGCCAGATGAGACGATCTTGAAAGCGACAGTACAGGAAATGATTAGTATGTTGTTTGCAAGGGTTGAGAGAGTACACGGAAAGCTACTTGTTTCTCGTACATTGGGATACATGACTCTGGGTATGTATGACTTCAGAATGCAGTGAAACCTGTCAAAAGGAACACCTCTAGAAGTGGAACACCTCTGCTAGTGGAACACTTTTCAGAGTCCCAAGACCAACTTACTTAAAATGTCAAATGAACACCTCCCAAGTGGAACACTTTTTGAAGTATCAAAGATGTTCCACAGGTTTTACTGTACATGTAATTTTGTATGCCTCTAATCGCAAAATAATGTGTATGATTAGAATTCAATATTTTGTACAATATATATATCTAACACAAATTAATATTGATAAAAAAGTATATTTGTTAAGTCATGAACTTGGAAATTACTGTATTTTTTTGCCTCTCATAGAGGTCAAAGGTGAACTCCTACACCAGATATGAAATTCATATATGGTTGTTCAACATAAAGTAGTTCAACATATAGTAGTTCAACATAGAGTAGTTCAACATAGAGTAGTTCAACATAGAGTAGATCAACATAGAGTAGTTCAACATATAATTTTCATTTTTTACATGTGATGTTATATTTTAGGACGCAGTGGTTTGACAGAGGCTGAGCTTGAAGATATCCTGTCATGTGATGAGGATGTGTTGAATGATGTATACCAATATTGGACACCCCCTGTGCGGCGCCTACCCCCTCTATTGATGGTCCGTATCAAGGCAGATCTTCAGCAGTATATTGGTACAAGCATTTTATCATTAGTTGGTGGACATGAAAAAGTACCTGATCCTGATTGTGATTTAAAAAATAACTTGGGTTCAGTTACACTATGATCTGTAACAGATATACAATGTAGTTCTTTTATTCAGTATTAATCAACCTTTATGAGATAGTATTGTAAGCCAGTGCAAAAGATGTATGAAGAAAAATGCTTACAGTTCAATCAAATAAGATTTTAACCTCCCAAATTAATCACACCAATAAAATACATAGTTGTGTTTTTAATTGTTCTTATTCTGCTTTTCTTGTGTTATATTATTTATCAACAGTTATTATATAAAATATGTAATGTTACTATACTTGTGTACATATATTTCTATTTAGTTGACCGAGGGGCAGATGGGGTAACTGTGATGTACTGGTATCACAGGCAGTTTGTAGAAGCTGCTGGAGAGCGTTACTGTAGCAACCCTGATGAAGTAAGGTTGATGCATTCCAATATTGCAGATTTCTTCCTGGGAAAATGGCAAGATGGTATTGTACCATTTATTACGTTAACATACGCTAAACTAAATACTAAGTACTAATATTAGGTTGCATTATTTTGAGCAGAATTTACAAATTTGGCATTTATAGCATGCTGATCATCTGTTTATTCAATGTAACATTTCATAGTATGTCTCATGGTTTAGACAGTACTTTGATAACATGTGAAGTGTGTTCGGTGTTTGGTGTCCGGCGGGCAGCATTCTGAGTTTGATGTCTGTAAGAAATGGTGGCATTTTGCATGTATTAACTTATCACAATCATTTCAGGTAAAGCAAAGCCATTTGTTGATAAATCAGGAAAATCTGGAGAGGGCGATCGGTTAGTTGCGTCACAGCCTCTTAAGTTCAATAAGATCTTCAACCTGCGTAAGCTCAATGAATTACCCATGCATCTCAGAATGGCAGGGAGATTTGACGAACTCATGGAACATGTGTTGTTCAATTTAGACTTCATGTATACAAAAATGTGTGCAACCTCAGTCAGGTAAATCAAATATTCTCTACAATAAGTGTATATGTGTGCAGTCTGTATGCAATGTATGCAGAGAAACTATTACATGTACTAATATGTAACCATGATTGCCAAAGGGAAAAACGCTGAAGCTCTAAAGTAAGACCATGATATTTTGAACAGAAAAAAAACTAAAACTAAGTCCCAAATTTTGAACAGAAAAAAAACTAAAACTAAGTCCCAAAGACCTAAATAGACAAAATCGAGGTCAAACTAATTCTGTGGTTTTACGATACAATGTACACAAAGATTTTAACTTTCATATAGATTTCACTTCATCCCAATAATTTGCTTAACTTGAAGAGAAAGTGGTATTAAATGTCATATTTGAATTGACCTTCAGGAGTGTCCTAGAAGACTTCACTGATGCCAGTTACAGTATGCCTGATAATGCTGATCTAACAGCTGTACGTGAAGCTATTCAGTTGTCTCAGGCTGCACTTGAAGATGATTGTAGCCAACTACCTGCTCAAATCTCAGGAAGACTTTCTAAGGTACATTGTGTGCATTTCAGGAAACGGGATTGAACTACTTGCCCATTTCTGTTACAATTTGAGAATGTTCCGGCTTCATTTTGGATCTCAAAATATACACTATCTGCAAAATTAACAATGTGAAAATAATACTTTTATCAATTTTTGTAAATATGTTGTTTAAAAGTACTGTTACCAAATTAGTTAAATCAATACATAAATACAAATGAATACACAAATACATATTGTTTTAGGATATTGGGGATCTGCTGAAGCAATGTATGGAGACTACAACTATCTCACATATTCAGCCATCTAATATCATGCTCACACAACCAGGGGGTCAACTCACACATGCCTTGAATGAACAGGCAGACTCAATTACTATTACTCAGGATGGAATGTTTGCAGCAACAGGTATGCCTCTCTTAATAAGCCAGCCCCTTGATATATTCACAAGTCATTTAGAAATTCAATATTTAACCTTTTTATCCATTTCATTATTTCGGACATGAAAAAGATTAAGAGGATTTTCATGGAAATGCTTCTATAATCAAATTCAATATATGCATACAGAACCTTTTGGTAATTTACCAAATTAATATATGACTACATCATGTATGAAACAAGACATTAACATGCAAAATGTCACTACCTGCCATTGTACACAAGACGCTTAACGCAGAATTCCAACCTCTGAAACTGCCAACCAACTGTCAAATGCCAGACACCAGTCGCCGAATACTGAACACCATCCAAAAAGACCATAACAATAACACCACTTGTGGTGACATAAAAATTGTATTATTTCAAATTGTTCAATATTTTACAATTAATTTGAATTCTTCTTGTAGTCAGTAAGGATGCAGGTTGTGTTAAAATCTGGAATGTACAAGAGGCTGTTTGCATCCAAACGTTTGAAAACCTCGGAGAGTATAATCGTATCAACTATGCCGTTGATGACACATATATTGTCTGTGGAACAAATACATCAGGGGATAAAACAGGTACAAACAACATGTTTAATTTATTTCCTTTATTTTCTCAAATTCTTTCTTTTTTGCTCTCTCTCTGCTTTACTTTTTTCAATCCTGTTGATCAAAATAAAGACTTATATTTGATGTGAAACAAAATTAAAATGACACTCTAATAATAATGGTAATTGAAATCATGGTATCGTGCCAATACATTTATAATGGTTCAGCCAAACCTGCAATTCATTTACATAATTTTTCTTGCCATTTTCAGGGTACATTTTGCTGATCAACCTTTCTAATGGAGCAATACATGAGGAGGAATTAAGTGAGGAACACGCACCTTATAATCTCATGAGGGATCTCAGGCGGATTGTTTATATCAGTGAGTGTATAATGTAAAAAACACATAACATTGGAGTTATCAAAAAAGAAGTAAAATTCTGAAATGAAAATATATCTTTCCTTTTATTTATTTTGGAGTATTTGTAGATTGCCCTGTGGAAATTTCAAGGAGAAAGTCATAATTTAAGAGACATTTTCTCAGAACTTATTGATCGATCTCATAAAGCTATTTATGATGCTTATATAGCACATGGATTTCTGTATTATTCAGAGGTAACCGAGAACTATTTATGATGTTTGTTTGTTGTTGTATTTCAGGTGAAAGATACATGTTCATTTATGACATAGTGACAAGAGAAAAAGAGGAAATTAGACGTATCAAGAAGTTCAGGAGAAAAAACTTGGATAGATATCAGATTTGTGGTAAGGTTACCATATGATTTTACTGTTGTGATTTCATTAATGGGTAATTATTTATGTAAAGTTTATCTCTTTCAACAGTATACAACCAGGCCAATTACCTTGTCTTAAAGGAATATTCCTTGCCAAACCATCTCTCTCCTCATATGGTAGCTATAACCATATATATGCTTGCCATGTTTAGCAAAACACGCAAAAATGTTTTGATATGGTCAAATTTGATCACTTAGAAATGTGATGCTCAATTCCAGTAAGCTGCCATCTTTTAAAATTTCACACAGGAAGTGATGTCATCGACTCTCAACTTTGCACATAGCATTAGGTGAGGAGCTATTAAGAATTACAAAACCAGCTAAATATTCTTTTTCAACTTTGTATCTTATTTAATCCTTCTGAAAATCTCTTCTTTTATTCTAAGTTGACAACCCTTAAGAAAAAAGCCATGGTAACCATGGTATTCCATGGTGCGTCCATGGTAATCCATGGTTTTCCATGGAAATTCATGGTTTTTCATGGTATTTTCCATGGAAATTCATGGATACCCATGTTAATCTTCCATGGATATTTACCATGATTTTCCGTGGTAATTGGTGGTTTGGTAATTGTTTTTTCATGAACATGCCATGTTTTTACCATGACACTTGAGTTGTAAAATCAACAATTTTGGCAGGTTTTGTTTTTACCAAAATCTTCAAAATTGAATCAATATTTTAACGAATGAATCCAAGCTGGATTGAGAATTAGTCTCATTAATCATAGATAAAAGAATATGACACCCCCCACCCCAAAATCTTTGAGAAAGTCAACCTTCTTGACAAAAGCTGGTTTCAGGCCTGAAATACAACAATGTTTTTACAATCTGAATATATGTTTAGTACATTCTGTACATAGTGTCATATGACAAAGAACTGTTTACTTAATATTTTTTTAATTGATGATTTGACCCCACAATTAAAAGTAATAATTTGTTTGCTGGGATTTGCTATCATTTAACTTTGGCACTTATGTAAAAAAAGACAAAATAAGTGATAAAATCAGCTCACTGGATTCCCTTATTGCAGACTGAATAAACATTTTTACTTGGAGTAAATCCTATTTGGTTTTATTTGATCAACAATGAGTTTTTGACTTGCACTGTCTACACTCACAGACAATAATAATTACTGAAGAGGGAGCATTAGAAAGAGTAAGATTATCATATATAATAACAATTAAGATCAGAATATTTAAGAATTATGCAAATGAACTCTTATAATCTGTTGTAAAGAGATTAATCTTTTGACATTAATTTGAGAGTTAAGACACCTAATTAACATAGAATAATGGCAACCAAATATTTAAAAATTATGCAAATGATTATTTATTCCTATTCAAAGACAAATCAATTTTAATTACTTAGGGGAGGCATCAAAAGTTCGATGTCGGATAGAAAACTAAATAAATCTAGTTAGGGGGGGAGGGGGTTCAAACCCATTTCAGTTTGCTATCCGACAAATTTCAACATTTCAAATTTTGGGCAATTTCGACTCAGAATGCCTTGGAATGGTTTAAAAATAAAGATTTTGCTTTCTTCGTCAAAATCATTCCAATGGATTCTATTCCATCAATAGTTGTTAAAAGCCGCAAATTACGATAGGAATTAACAAAAACTAGATTGTGTTTAAAATTCTCGAACCGGAAGTCAGTGATCAACTTTCATGGTATTTAGTTTTGGGGGGGAGGGGGGGGGGTCAGAGTCAAAACTAGATTTATTTAGTTTCCGATCCGACATAGAACTTTTGATGCCTCCCCTTAGTATACTATGTTTCATGTTTTAAGCCAAATGGTGTTGTTAACCCCCTCCCCTTCCTTCATGCAACTTCTTTTTAAATATAATATTCTTACATAGACAAATTGAATTTTTATCACTTAGGTATAACATTTCAGTTTGCAGCCATAGGCTTGTGTTTAATCCCCCATCTCAATTTTCAAGTCAAAATTCTGTAAAAGTATATACTTTTCTGTGGATTTTTTCAGATAATATGCTTATAAAAGTTGAATGGGACTTAATTTGGAGAAGTTCATTTAGAAACATAATGTATTATTTGGAGGCCCTACTGAAAGGGCCTCCTATAGCTTTTGTAGCTTTTCTTAGGAGGCCCTCCTGAAAGGGCCTCCTATAGCTTTTGTAGCTTTTCTTTATTTATTATTATTCTTTCAAAGCAGTTTTCTCCTACTTTCAACTAGCTTTCAACTTTCTACTATATTCTCCTACTAGATACCTGGTTTGATCTTGATGGGAAAATATTTCATATCTAGGTCAAGGTCAAAGGTCAAAATCAAGGTCAAATCTAAGCTTTTTTAAGTTTCTCAAAGCCTGACACTACACTTCAACATTTTTGGCTGATTTTTTGCATACAGATAGATATTAGTATTCTATTAGTGTTAGCCTTTTGCCGTCTAAATAAATTTCGTCTAGATTTTGAGATATTAAGGTCAAAAAACGGTCAAAAAAGGTCTTTTTTCAACTTGCTTCAAATTGACCAATTTTTTTTTAAAAACTCATCTACAAGTTCTCAGGATTCCAAATCTGACCTTACTTTTGACCTTTGACCTTCGGTTGACCTTCAGTGACCTCCGAAAGGTCAAAAAAGTTGATTTTTCAAATTGATTTTCTGGATTCAAATTTAGGTATATTTATTCACAAAAGCCCTTCTGAGGTCTAAAAAAGTAAAATTTGCAAGGTCAAAGGTCAAGGTCATCAAACGAAATCACAAACTGTGTTTTCTAAGTTTCTCAAAATTGGAGACTACAAATCAATTTTTTTACTGAAAGTCAGAATATATATTCCTCTAAAGGCTTTAAACATATTAGCAATTGACTATTTATTGAAATTTTGCTCCAGTTTTGAGATATAAGAACTCAAAAACTGAAAAAAGGTCAAATTTCGAAATTTTTCAGGGTCAAATTTCAACTTGCTCTAAATTGACCAAACTCTTTTTTAAAAAGCATCTACAAGATCTCAGGAACTCAAATCTGACCTTAGTTTTGACCTATGACCTTTAATTGACCTTCAGTGACCTTCGAAAGGTCAGAAAAGTTGATTTTTCAAATTGAGTCTTTGGATTCAAACTTAGGTCAGTCTAATTACAAAAAGCAAAAAGCAAAAAAGTAAAAATTTCAAGGTCAAGGTCATCAAATTAGGTCACAAACTGTGCTATCTAAGTTTCTCATAGTTCAAGACTACAAATCAATATTTTTAATTGAAAGTCAAGATATACATTTCTCTAAGGGTTCTACACATATTAGTCATTGACTATTTATTAAAATTTTGTCCCAGTTTTGAGATATAAGAGCTCAAAAACTGAAAAAGGTCATTTTTTCAACGTTTATAAGGTCAAATTGTAACTTCCTTCAAATTCACCCAACTTTTTTTTAAAAATCATCTGCAACTTCTCAGGAGTTCATATTTAACCTTAGATTTGACATTTGACCTTTAGTTGACCTTCAGTGACCTTCGAAATGTCAGAAAAGTTGATTTTTCAAATTGAGTTTTTGGATTCAAATTTAGGGTTGGCCTAATCAAAAAAAAACTACTGAGCTCTAGAACAGTAAAATTTTCAAGGTCAAGGGTCACGGTTATCAAATTAGGTCAAAGGTCAAGATCTAGGTCAAATCTGACCTCAGATTTCACCTTTGAACTTTAATTGACCTTCAATGACCTTCGAAAGGTAAGAAAAGTTGATTTTTTAAATTGAGTCTTTGGATTCAAATTTAGGTCAGCTTAATTACAAAAGTCCTACTGAGGTCTAAAAAAGTAAAACTTTTCAAAGTCAAAGGTCAAGATCATGAAATTAGGTCACAAACTGTGCTATCTAAGTTTCGCAAAGTTCGACTACAAACCAATATTTTTAATCCGGAGTCAAAATATACACATTCCTCTAAGGGTTGTACACATATTAGCAATTGACTATCTAATTGAATTTTGTCCCAGTTTGAGATATAAGAGTTCAAAAGTTGAAAAAAGGTCAGTTTCGAAATTTTTCAAGGTCAAATTTAAACTCGCTTCAAATTGACATAATCTTTTTTTTGAAAATCATCTACAAGTTTTCAGGAGTTCACATCTGACTTCAGATTTGATATTTGTCCTTTAGTTGACCTTCAAATTGTCAAAAATGCCTAAGAGGGCCTCCGTGAGATTGCTTGCAATCTTCAAAAGTCTAGTTCTTTCTTTATTCTTTATTCTTTATTTATTTATTATTCTTTCAAAGCATTTTTCTTCTACTTCCTACTAGCTTTCAACTACCTACTATATGATCCTACTAGGAACCTGGGCTGGAATAGGGGGGAAAATATTTTTTATCTAGGTCAAGGTCAAAGGTCAAAATCTAGGTCAAATCTAAGTTTTTTTTCAAGTTTCTCAAGTTTGTCCTTATACTTCATTATTTCTTGCGATGAATTAAACTGGAACTACATTTAAGTATTCTCTACAAATTGTTCACTATATGTCAGCATTAAATTTTTACCGTTTTTGAGATATTTGACGTCAAAAAACGGTCAAAAAAGGTCATTTTTCAACTTGCTTCAATCTGACCAAATTTTTTTTAAAAATCATCTACAAGTTCCCAGGAGTCCGAATCTGACCTCAGATTTGACCTTTGACCTTTAGTTGACCTTCAGTGACCTTCGAAAGGTCAGAAACGTTGATTTTTCAAATTGAGTCTTTGGATTCAAATTTAAGTCAGTCTAATTACAAATAGCCTACTGAGGTCTAAAAAAGTAAAAATTTCAAGGTCAAAGGTCAAGGTCATCAAATTAGGTCACAAATTGTGCTATCTAAGTTTCTCATAGTTCAAGACTACAAATCAATATTTTTAATTGAAAGTCAAGATGTACATTCCTCTGAGGGTTCTACACATATTAGTCTTGACTATTTATTAAGATTTTGTCCCAGTTTTGAGATATAAGAGCTCAAAAACTGAAAAAGGTCGATTTTTTAAAGTTTATAAGGTCGAATTTCAACT